CGGCAGCAGCAGTGCACTCAACGCGCAAAATGAGGACACCCTGCTGCGCTTTTAAGGAGTAAAATTCATTCCTGTTTCTCTCTTTTTTAGTTTATGTAACGTGTGTATGTATGCGTGTATATTATTATCCGTGTTTTTTGTCGGCGGCACCCTCCTCTCGCGGCTGCTGGTTCACAGGAGAGCGTTTGTTCCCCCTGTGTGATGTTAAATTGCATGTAAAAGTGAGTAACTGTTGCTACACACTGCACGAGTCTCTCTTGTAAATAAGTTGCATTTGCAGCAATCCGCCCATCAAAACATAAAAATAACAATCGTATATGTTTGTGCCGATTCGCAGCTGGGCCAGCTTTGTTCTCGGCACACAGAGATGCTGCATGCGTGACAATGGCTACAAAATCTCAAAGTGTGATATCACACGGCGACGCTGAATGCGCCCCATTAGCAAACATCATTAATGGGACTTCTGCTGGTCTGTTCTGCCACTGCAGCGACGGCCGGCAGATTAGTAAAATAAAAAACTAGTAAAAACTGACACGCCGTACCCCTCCTGCGCTCACAAATCAAAAAAAGATTTATACAAATGAATTTGTTTATCTGCTGTTATAACTAAAATACATATGGGCGTGCATATTTTCTCATCGCTTTTCGGTTTATCTCTTTTGCATTAGATTTTTATTTTTTTTTTTTTTTTAAACTTTCTCGTCTCATTCAATTAAAAAATATAATATCTTAATTTTTGCTATAGTTTTTACTTATCTTATTTAAAAATACTAACATTTTTTTTTATAATTTATTTAGTGAAATAATGAGCCCTTCAAGACAAAGTATGTGGAGTCAAAGACACAGTATAAAAATTCGATACCAAATATTGGAGGAGGAAATCTCCAAACAGCCATAATTTGACCTCTTGAGCTCAATCATGAGATATAAGGGTCCAGGACTGCTCGTTAGTCCGCCTTTCGCGCGCCTCGTAATTGGCAAAGTCGCTGCGACACTTCTTTTTCTTTTCCTTTTGGCCTTGTGTCGAATTTCTCCCGACGGAGAGAGTCCGGCCAACGCTTTATATAACAACATTATAAGCAAGCGTTGAATTTCGAGTCGCGCCAGGAAAAGGTCAATTTAAGGGGACAGCTCTCCTTCGGGAATATTTATTAAACACGCCTCGCAGGTTTAACATCTCGGATATTTGAGTTAGTGGCTATACTTTTTTGAAGACTGCTGTGTAGGTGCGATACGGTTTGCATTGTTGGGTTCTTCAGTGGCACTGTTTCTCCTGAACAAAAGACAATATTTCCTTTCTTTGGTGCACATATAGCCCATACACAAGAGCGGACTGGCTGAGAGGCGGCCGCAAAAACAAAAGGAAGCACACTTGATGTTGATACTGGCCCTGAATAGGGGTATGCGCCGCACAATGCAGAAGTTGCCTCTGCCGCTTCCTCAAGAGGACAACTTTACCCGTGTCAGCAGCTCCATGACACAGCAGCTTCTTTTGCTAAACACAGAGCGGATACATGCCACTTTTATGTGCTTGATTGAAGTGACGCCATTATTTCGCCTCGTGGCAACTCAGTTGAATTTATTACCAACATAGAGAGTCAAATCGATTTGGGCTGCATCCGTTTCATTTGCTGCGTCAATCGGAAAAACTTCAAACGCTAAACAATAAAAAATATTATTGAAGAAACCTGAAATGAGAAATGAAACTTAGTGTTATGCAACATGCAAAGCACCGGAGAGGAGCAGTTACATGCACAAATCTTAAGTTTTTCATGATACTGAAGCAATTTACAAATTAAAATATAAGCTATTTATTTCTTAACATAATTATTTTCACAATCGTCATTCTTAATTGCATATCATTTAATATTGATTTATATGTTAATGCTAATTTGGTTGAATGAGACACAAAGTGATGGCATAGAGAGCGTTGCCAGTTGATTTCCCCCTAATTTCTCTTTAATACATATAATTATGTTCCTTTCAGTAAATGAGCATAGCTTATCAAATATAATAAATAGTAAAAAAATAGGCAACAATCCCACGCAACTTAAGTGCATCAATATTGTTACATCCCGACATGCGGGGGTTTTATTGTGTTATTAATTGTTCACGGCTTCACGCACGTCATCCATCTGCCCTCGTCAATCCACCATGTGCGTTTTGATGTTTTCATATTAAAAATTTCAAGCCATAATTCAGTCTTTTCTGTACTATTTATTTGACAAAAATAACAACTACTTACATTTTTTTTATTAAATATTTGGCTTCTTTTTTTTCATAACTGACAAATCTTTGGAGAAAATTCAAAATCGTGGCAAAAGAGGGTGGCTGTGTGGGAAGTGTGACAAACCAGGCGCAAGCGGACACGAGCTGTAGAGCTGTTTATCAGGGAAAAGTAACAAAAGCGGAAATATTCCACAACACGTCCGTGGCCGGAAGGTTATTTTTTCGCACCCTCGCAAGCTCGTTATTTACAAGAGAGCCGCCACCGCGCCTTTATATTCAACGCGGGGCGGATATCTAATTGAGAGATCTACAAAGCGGGCCCAGTGAGCGAGGGTGCAGATTATCTTCTTCAGCTTATCGTCGCCACTTGCTTTAATATTGATGACGATCGTGTGCCGATTTTGTTGGACGACGCCACTTACTTTGGGCGACGAACGTGACTGGGACAAAACACGGGTTCGTTACGTTCTCCGCTCAGCAGCCACCCTCTCGTCCACGCTTCAACCCCTTATTATCGTTATTTTGTCGCACTTGATTTGCGTCGCGTATAATTAATCGCTCGCGCCATTGCACGTGCTCACCCTTAAGCCTTCATAACGATCATAACCCCTATACGTCTTGAATTTACAAGAGATGAAATTTTTAACTATATCAATTTAATAATTGAATTATATAAATAAAGAAGAAAATACAATAAATCGTCATTACATAGCAGCTAGGAGTTATAAATTAGCTCGCATTCCAAGCAAGCCTAATTTTGGCGTAATAAATATTTTTTTCTCAAATAATATAATTTGGGAAGATTAACATAATAAATAATTTCCTTTTTTCCCGTGAATTTCATTGCTTCTAGATATGGAATCAAAAATCAAATGTCGCAAAACGAACTAAATCGTGTGTATTCCAAACAATTAAATTTAATCAAACAGTAAGATTTAAGTTACTATTGATATATAACCATGGTTCATAAACTATTCTTCAAATGAATTAATTGGACTAGTGTGTACTTACTATATAGTTCTAGAAAATTCATTTCATCTATAATGTTTGAATCTTGTGCCAATATTATATATTTTTGCGCTTATTGTCATTATTGCCAAACTGGTTTCTTTCAGTTTTCAGCCAAGCATTACAAACGGGTCCAAAGTGTATGCGAGCGCCTTACCACTTCTGCAACGCGCACTGCACGCCGGCGTTCCAGGTTGCCGCTCTGCATGGTAGCGCTACCTAGAGATGCGGAAAAACAGTGGAATTACGATGAGTGAACCACTTTTTGAGTATACATCTTTCTGTGTGACCTTTTTTATTATTATGTTGTATGTCAGCATTGTTGCTATCAAATATTTTTCATTGAATTTTTGAAAAACAAATAGTTTGAATTTGTTTTACTTTAATTATAGTTTCTATAATTTCATTTTATTCGACTTTTATTTAGAGAAAAATGTTTTAGTTAAAATAGAGGGAAATTTATTTGCCCTTTATATAATAAAAATTGAATAAATCTAAAATTGTGTAGACAATTAATTGAATTGTTAAAAGTAAAATAATTGTTTAAAAAAATCAGTATGTAATGAAAAAAATTGTGTGGTAATCTAAAATGGCGTTGATTGCATATCTTCGCCCATGAAAAAAATGTTGTATTTTACAACAAAAAATCCTGGATTTTTGTGGTGGATAATAATATTAAGCCCAAAAATGAATAAACTACTGTAACATAACGGGGATAGAAAAGAAAGAAAAAAAAGAAGTGGAATTGTTCTTGCTGATGAAAATGTCAAAGTCAAATGTTTTTTTTCTATTGAAATAGGACAAATGTAGCACATGATTGGCTGATCAATTAAAATTAAACATTTTGGTGATTACCTAGAAAATGAATAACAATAAGGCCAGATTATTTTTCAAAATGAAATTCAGTATGTAAAAGGTACAGGAAAAAATGATACCAGAAAAAAATGTGAATCTATACATCCCTGCTATTAGGAGTAAAATTTGCGAAAAATCAAGCATGCAAAGCGGCTTTTATAACTGTATAATCATTTATCTGATGAGAGCTTAAAAATATTCATGAAACTTAGTATTTTAAGAATAAATGCAAAATACATCTTGCTAATAAACGTAAGAAGAGAAAAAATTGTGCAATTGTAGCGATGAACGGCGATGAAATCGATGAATAATAATTAAATGTTTTGTGTTATTCATATATGCAAAAAAAAATTAAGTTCAAACGATTTATTTTTTAAGTGTACAACCCAAAGAAGAAAACAGTTGGTTTTTGTTCAGAAAAAGTATACTTTTGCTGCAGGGCTTTAATACTTATAAATTATAAAATGTAAAGAAAAATGCATTTTTGAATATGAATAGTTCTAATCCGATCCGCGTTACAGAATTCCATGGGTCAAATTTTACCATATAGCTTAATGTAGCACAAAAAGTATTTGAAATATCATAAAATAAAATATAAAAATATGCTTATTTTCTAGCAATGCCTAATAGTAAAAACAAATATTATTTATAATTTATAAATTATTTATAAAAATTATAAGACTATAATTTCAATGCACAGATTATAAGAGTGCAAATTTCATATTATGTGTGTAATTATAATTATTTTTGTACAGCTCTGAAATCAAAGTTCCCATCCCTCGCATAAGAAGGAATTCTGTGCTTCCCCCACCACCCGCCTGCGTCACAGTTTGGCGAGCCGAGTGTCGCCGTGCGGAGGGAGCAGCGAGATAATTTTTTCTTTGAAAATACGGTGCAGCTGCTGGTGTGCACGACGGGACAGAACAGAACAGAGCACGCGCTGCAAGCACGAGCTCTGTGTGTGCAGTGAAGTGAACTGCCCAGCAGCGAGCGAACTTGCTAGAGTGAGCCGCGAGTGGCGAACGACGAAAAGCCAGGAAAAGTGCAAACGGGCAGCGAGAAAACAAGGTTCAGGCCGGTCTACGGAGGAGTGGTCGGACGGACGGACGGAGGCTGCGAGCCAGCCGAGCCCAGAAGCCGCAGTGAATGGATCCGACCATCGGCTGGTACCAACCTGAGCAAGAGGGGCCCGCCAAGATTCTGTGGAGCCGCATTTGGGACGACGCGAGCAAAAGACTGAACAACCTGAATCTCAACAGCATGATGGAGTCGCGCGACTACATCCCGCTGGAGATTCGCGACGACCTGCAGCAGATGGGCGGCGGACGCACCACCAACAACCATCTGTACTGCCGCACCCGCAGGAAAGCCAACGAGAATCGCGCCTCCACCTTCGGCATGAACGAAAACCGCGACGAGCTGATCGGCACCTACGGCGGCTGTCCCTGGCAGGCCGTGCGCAAAAACGTCCACTACAGTCGCGGCATTCTGGGGTGAGTGTCGCCAGTTAATTTGCTTCTAGAATTTTCAGATTCGCGAATCGATTGATTCGAACCCTTTAATAAATGTCTCGGAAAAAGGCATTCGTCTCTTTTAATTGCAGGAATCGAGCTGAGGGTCGTTTCGCGGGTTTCATTTGATTCGGGGTCTCGTTCATTTCGATTCGAATCGAGGCCCTGCGAGCCTGAAAAGGGCCTTCGACGAGACGGCCATTTGGGTGCTCTTCGGGTGGAGGGGACACGCCCACTTCTCTGTCGACCCCTGCTTGTTATGTAATGCATCTCCCTATCTCTCGCACTCCGACCGACCGACCGACTCGGGTGCCGCTGCTGTTTTGTGTTATGCAGAAATAGAGCGAGGAAGTCGCCTGCCTGCTCTTCGCAAGATAAATTCCTCACCGCTCTGCTTCCTTTTTGTTGATTTATTTTATTTCTCTTCTCTCTGCGAATTCTGAATCCCAAGCAATTCGTCCTTTTACCACAAATCACCACACTTCTGGACTTAAATTTATATAGTTTTTTTTTGTTTTTCTGGAGATTTATTACCAAATTTTAATTAAAATTATTATTTAACTTACATTACAGATCACAGTCATGCATTAATTTATACAATAATACATAAATCATCGAAGATGTATCATATATTTTTATTGCTACGGGTTTAATCAACAGATGCTTCCTAAATGTTATTATTTATATATTTTATGTTGCTTTTATTTGTAAAATTTAAAAATATATATTATTCAAGAAATAATGAACGTTTATTTCTAACGCCGAGAAAATTTATATCCTGAGTATTTCTTCTTTTTTTTTACATAATCAAAGCTATTGAACTAACCCTTGCTAATTTTAATTCTTCAATTTCTATAATTCTCTTTTCAATAATTTGAAAGTGAACCTTGCTTTACGACTCTACGATTGCAATTTTGTGATTTACGATGCAATCAAAATTTTTATCTTCTTCCTGACGACTGGAAAATCCTGCTTCCCAATAATGCGCAGTTTGAATTATTCCTCCTGCAGTTATTCATTATTATATAATGATATTAAAGCAAAAATTTAATTATTGATCTTATAAAATACGGTAAAGGAAACTTGAAAACTTACTGAACACAATTCCAAATTTATTTCCACCTTTTAAAAAAAATAAAGCTATATTCTCCTTCATTTGGCTAGAAGCCAGAATGCTAAACAAATAATATGCGCACTAAAGAATGCAAATTTTTATTATTTTGAAAACAAATTTAATGTTTTGATCCTTTGAAAAAAAATCTATTGTAAACAATAGAAAAATGATTAGCAATAACAACATAACAACTTAACATATAAAACAACATTTTTCAAGAATTATTTTAATTCAAATACAAAATTCAAACGTTCATAAATTAATGTAAAACCTAGCTTAAATGATATAAATGGACGTATTTAATTATATTTAAAAAAATCTTACTATTTAATTTTTTGAAAAAAAAAATTAATGTAATTTAAATTTAAATAGACCGTTTTAAATAGCTCTTATAATCGTTAATTCTACATTTTTTTAATGTTTCAAAATACTGGGCAAACAATATTTTGTTTTTCTACGTAAAATTAAATGGCCCAATTTTCTAAACGCAAACAAAAGAAATGATTAACATTTCGGTGGAACGCGTGGTTTCCACTGCACGAAAACGCAAGGCACAGATAGCTGGAAGTCGACTTCCGCTTGAGTGGCCGCTTCCAACTCTCTCACTCCATTCTGCTGCCGTTTCGCTTTATTGTTTCCACTGGGGCTTGATTTTATCGCAGGCAGTGGCAATGAACGAGAAAGGCGTGATTTCTTTCTTGCTCGTGCAGCGCTCGCTAAACAACCAATCTGCCAGCTTTACGACCCTTCGAATGTTCATTTTGCAAAAAGTAAAAAAAAAAATTAGTCTGGCGACGCCGGAGACGTTCTATTGCTCATCGTGTTTGCGCTTTAAGAGATTGCACTAAGTTATCGAATTAAATTGGCGGTGAATCAAATTCGGCGTGAAATTGCAAGCCTAAGTAAACCTTTTTGACTCGCCTGCAGCTTTCTCAATATATATTCAGGTGAAAAGATCAGACAATCTTTTGAAGCATAAAATTTTGCAAGCAAGATTCGCCATCCCATACAATTGTGCGACTTCAATTAAAGTGCAGTAGTTATTACTGCATATCACTGCAAATAATAGCGTCAGTGTGTCTGCTGAAAATTTTTAAAGCTCTTGCCACTTGAAAAGTAACATCTGTTTGCAATCATTTTAGTAACTTGATTCACTGCAATTTTTACTATATTTTTTTTCTTATCAAATAACTTGCATAGTTTTATTTATAAACTGCAGTGATGGTTTTAAATCAGATTCATTAAAAAAATTAATGTTCAAATAATAATATATTATATTTAAAAAAAAGTTGCCAATTTTCCGCATTTTATATGTAAATTTATTAATACGGTTAAATAATGCAAAATGTGTAAAAAAAAATGTAAACAAGACCAGCTTTTTTCATTTAAATAAATTTATTTTTTACCATAAAGTCTATTTAGTGCAATATCTCACAATTTCTGAGGCTCCACATTCTGCAGTGTCAAAACCCACGCAGGAAATAATATTTTCGCCTTAGCGATTGCCATAATGGAGTTGAAGCGAAACATGCATTTGTTTAAAGTAGGCGTTTACGATCTCGAGTCGGCGAAAAACGCGATTCTTATGAATCAAATGATGTCACCGCAGCGCTCTGTCATCAACAAATCTCTTTTTTGCTCCTTCGGCGATGTGACATATGCAAGTGTATCTCTGGTGCCGAAACGAAAGTTTAACACTTGCGACCCACTAATTACAAATTATCCCACTTACCATTACACGCGTTGTTTTTTTGATAAATAATACAATTTATAATGATTGAAGTCCATTGGTAAATAATATTGCTTTGAGTCTGTTTTATGTAACAAGCCGGAATTTTCACATCGAACTTAATTGGCCAGACTGTACTGATTTTGATATGCACCGAAGGGCAAACCGCAAACTCTCTTGTCAAAGGTTTGCTGTCTCGGGCATCAAATATCAAATTGCCGCTGCGGCCGTATAAACACGTCTCGTATTTATCACACCTCGGTGTATATTTTCTTTCACAGAATCAAAGTTCCCAACTTTCTAAACACTTTTTCGTTTACAATGTGTAATGAAATAAAGACATTTTATTGAGTTCAAGCAACGCGAGTTTCGTGTCTCCGTTGCTCAACAAAGCGTGTCCAATCGAGCCAAATTTAGTTGCAGACCGGCTCAAAATAAACCCTCCTGGTCCAACTTTGGATTATTTTGAAGGCGAGAGTTTATTTTTGTGGTTAGATGGGCGCCAGATTTGCGATGTTGCGCTTGTTTGATAATGTCATTACAGTTCGTTATCCACGCAACGCTTTTAGTGAGTGGGCGCGAGAGATGGGGCCGAAATTGCCAAATGAAAGGCCGCTCGCGGATAGTGTAATTAGTAATTATCCCCGGTTCGACCTTGTCCTTGCATCAATTATCTTCACGCTCACTAGATTCCCGATCAAAATATCAGTGCGAGCAGTTCTTTGAATTTTGGGTCTCCCTTATCAAACTTAATTACTATCATTATTTCAGTTGGTACTTCATGCACGTTTGAAATTCCCAATTCACATGCAAATTATCAGCAGGATCATTATCTGATTCTCGTGAAAGTGAGTCCGAATGGAACCTAATAAAACCCCCAAACTCTAAAACAATAAGCTCTCTGTAAATCAGAAACATTTTTTATTGCAGAGAATATTTTTATTAATTCTTACAATTAGTTCAACGATATTTGCGAAATTCAGAAAACTGCAATATACTTTTTAATTAAATTATTAGCACATTCAAGTGTTATTGTTTGCAAATTGCTTTGATTGGGGATTCCAAGTCGTTGATTTTGCTGCACATAATATGTGTTATATAAGATAAGGAAAACAAAGTCAATCTTATCTTTAAAATGAAAAGTAAAAACAATCTGTTGCACTCAATAAGTTCCACATTTTTTCAAGGATTTTCCTCGTTTGATGCTGTTGTCAAACATCTGTGCCTCTTGTAAACTTTCACTAACAACAGATTTAAACAAAAAATACTTTTATTTTAATTAAATTAAATTCTGACTTGATCTACATTCAGTGGCATGCGTTTCTATTGAACCGAGGTTTTACTATAAAAATGTTGCTGCGGGTGATTTTGTTTGAGAACAAAACCTTTATCGGCACACTCGGCAGAGAAAGGACACCATACTTGACCTCCGTAACTTAAGCAGTCAGATTACATAGGTGGCTGAACAAGTATTGTGCATGTGCTTGCATTAAATTAAACAACTTTCAATGGTTGCTCTGGTTCTATTCTAAATAAAAGGGTTTGGTGGGTAATAAAAAAATATTGGGTCATATCTTAAAATAATTCAAACTAAGAAATTTGTCGTCTATTGATTTAAAATAATTCAATCCATAACTTGAATTGGCAAAATGCCATTTTAATTTTAAAGAAATATTAGCAACAAAAAAATAATTTGTATAAATCTTGAAAGATTTCTTAAACTAATGAAATAATTTCAACCAGTTTGTTGCGTCGAGCGAATTAAAAACCCATTCACGTCCTTGATGCTGCTTCGGTCGAGCAATTTCTTTATGTCAAGTTGAAACAAACAATTAGTCAAGTCTTCAGCACGGCTATTGTTAATTTTGTGATTTTTCTTGTTGCAGACTGCACGAGGAAGTGAAAGACTTCTACCTGTACATGCTGCCGACCATAGAGGAGCAAAAGATGCGCGAGACTGTGGTGGAGGAAATCAAACGAGTGATCCTCGGTCTGTACCCGAAGGCGACGGTCGACGTGTTTGGCAGTTTTCGCACAGGCCTCTATTTGCCAACCAGGTGATTGCTGAGCACCATTATTTATTTTATTTTGAAGGTCGCCGTCCGTTTAGATTGCTCTCTTTCAAATTCGCTGCTCCCGTAAGAAGTGAGCGAGAATGGAATGCGTGCGTGTGTGCTTTAATTAGGGCGTCACCTTCAGCACCACCGCCGCGTCTTGTTTGCTGCACTCGGGATCTTACTTTTACACAGACTTCTTAATTGTGCGCGAAGGCACCTTTTGCCAACTTGCACTTTCTAACGCGTTTTCAACCAGATTAAGTGCTAATTTTGGAGATAGTTAACAAACAATAATTAACAAGTATTTTTGCTGTCTGTAGATTTTGCTAATAAGAAATAAATTTTCATGAAGATCTGTGGAGTTCCTAATAAAATAAATTTATATTTATTTATGAAAGATCAAATTACTTTTCCAAATTGTTTTTCGGCAATTTACTGCAGGTGTTTCGTTTCTTTTAAAGACCATCCTATTATCTTTTTGTTCTGGAAAAAATCACAAAAATAAATTTAATGAACAAATAATTTTTACCATGAAAAAATAAATTTTGCAATCAGGAAACCCTGTCAGGAAAGTTGCAATGTAATACTAGGCAGGAAAACTTTTTTAATGTTCATACATTTTTACTTCTGTTATTAGTTTTTTTATTGTAACCAACAAGTGAGCCTATTTGGCTATTTATAATTGCCTGCAGGAATTTTGGTTTAAAATTTTCAGCATTTTTGCGATTTTTGCAATTTTTACTTGGAGAATCCTTAATGATCACATACAGTCCTGAAAATAAGATACGAGTTTACGTCACTTGGTGTGCAGACGATTGAACCGTCGCATCAGATAGAGCATTATTTCTAAAAACTTGTAGGTGTTCGCCACATATTTACTTGTGATTCAACCCCCATTCGCTTTTTATGTGGTCGTTTGCCTGGCGCTGCTTCGCTCGTTCGCCAGCGGAGTGAACAACGAGCGATTGCGAGCGCTCCAATTTGCCGAAAGCAAGCGAGACTGCTACCTGCATTAGTGCTGCGCTGGTTCTATGACCGGCTGGCAACGTGCCTATTTTAACCCCCTGCAAAGTGGGTCAACACCACCGAACAGACCCATCCAATTGCTCACTCAGTCAGTCTTGCAAAAAATAATAATAAACAAAAAGGCGCGCGGCCGGTGTCTCAACCGCCTCTGCCGCCTCCTCTCACTTTCCTTCGTTTCGCACACTCCATTTGATGTCTGCTTGGTCGCCAGCGGTCGCACCAAAGATAATTAGTCTGCGACTGCACCAAGCTCCGCGCGTGTATGAAAAATCGTCTCATTATGAATATTTGCGCTTGAACGCTTGTGTAGCAGTTTTATTTAAAACAAATAAACCGAATCGAGATTTTCATTTTTTGTTTTGTTACAACATCCTTTAGTTTTGGTCGCCACGCTTGTCGGTGTCACTCTGAATTTCCGTCGTTATTTTGCGTTTTGCGCATCAGGATGTTACCCGCTCGTCCTTGATGCTTGCGAATAATGACCTCATTTCATTTTGCTGCCCAACGCTCATGAAAACATGTTATATAGGACAAGGAATATTTGCGTTGCATTGGCTTTTAAATTGACTTAGGTGGTCAGTGCACCTTTTGTAATTGACTATATTCATCATTTTTTTTCGAATTCTAGTAAAGCTCCATTCTATTTGTATGCAAAGAATTATTACAAAATCATATTGAACACCTTTCTATTTGCATTTTTCTCGTATTATTCTCTGAATGAGAAAACTTAAGAAATATCCTTTTCCAATTTAACAAATGAGAGAATTGTATATTTTATCAATTAAATTAGAATGCGAAAAAAATTACATTTAAATTAATTATATTCAGACGTTATTTTATTTTAATTTATTAAATATTCAATTGGCTTGCAGTGATTTTAGTTGCAAATTAGGTTTATTGGTGTACCACAAGGCAATCTCTGCCTATAAAGGGATACGTCATCTAGATATATTCAAAATTATAAATGAAAACTACAAACAAAATTTGAGTTTTTAATGTCATTTATTTTTTATTGCAGTGATATAGATCTAGTGGTTATGGGTGACTGGGATGAGCTTCCTCTGCATGCACTAAAAGATGTCCTGATCAAGAATAATGTTGCTGACGAGTGCGATATCAAAGTACTTGATAAGGCATCAGTAAGTTTTACAAACTTTCTCCGAGATCTGTCACATTCTAAAATTGTATCCTCACAGGTTCCTATTGTTAAATTGACGGAGAAGAAGTCTGAAGTAAAGGTGGACATCAGCTTCAATATGCAGAACGGTGTGCACTCAGCCAAGCTAATCACTGATTTCAAAGAGAGGTTCCCCGTGCTGGCGCCTTTGGTGATGGTCTTGAAACACTTCCTGTTGGAGAGAGATTTGAACGAAGTCTTTACCGGTGGCATCAGTTCTTACAGCCTCATTCTTCTCACCATCAGCTTCCTGCAGGTTGGATATTGTTAATATCTATGAAATTGTGGATAACAATCTTTTGTTAATGAATGAATAGCTTCATCCAAGAGACATGACGATTGAGAAGGACGTTAACTTGGGAGTCCTTCTCATTGAGTTTTTCGAGCTCTACGGTCGCAAGTTCAACTACTTGAAAACGGGCATCAGGATCAAAGGCGAAGGATCATACATTTCTAAGGAGGAGGTAATATTTCTAAAAGTTCAAATTGTTAAAAGATTCACTATTTACATTATTTGAGTTATCTTCTCTTTAGCCTTGACTTGGGGCAATCACGTTGTATTTGAGCATTAAACGAATGTTATTAAACAAAACTAATTCTATTTTTAGATTCAACGTGATATGGTTGACGGCTACAGACCTTCAATGCTGTGCATTGAAGACCCCCTGACCCCAGGCAATGATATTGGTCGCAGCTCGTACGGAGCACTCAAAGTGAAACAGTCATTCGAATTTGCATACACAACCCTTCTGCAAGCAGTGTCACCTATGTGTCCGGAGTTCATTAGCAAACACAGTATTCTTGGTCGAATTGTGAGAATAACTGATGACGTTGTGGAGTACAGACAACAAATAAAACTCAAATATGCAGACAAGGTGATTGTAGGAATGCTAGAGTGTTACCTTGAATTCATTGCAATATTTTCTTCAGGCTGTGCCAGTAGTGATACATAAGTTGAACTCGTACCACAGGCAACAGCATCAGCTCAAGCGTGTTTCGCAAGACTCGGAAGAGTCTTCGTCGGGCTCTGTTTATTGCACAAGTGAAGGCAGCTCAGCTACTGGATCTGCAGCATCAGGAGACTCGGTTTGTCTAGTGATGTTTATCAAAAATAATTTTTACAATGCTGTAAATCAGGACTCGGAGGCTAATAATGTTTCATCAAGCAACGGTCTGGAACAAAACTACTCTGCAACCATCAATTGCAAAAGCTCAAGGACTAACTCAGCTCCTCCTCAGAGAAGACCACATGGTATGTATTTCTGCTTGATACAAATCCAAATTTTATATTAATGATGACATTTTTGTAGCAATTCCTGCAACTCGAAACAATGGCAACAGGAACCAATTCCGCATGCAGCAGAGTGTGACCAAAAACAGAGAGGAAAAAGAAATTGGATGCGTGGAAGTGAAACGCATCCAACCAGTAGCCTCGATGGGTCCGAAGGAAAAAGCTAAGGAGAAGCAATCAATGTCTCAGTCGTCGTCGTCTGCTAATTCAAGCGGGAGTGAACAAAAGCCACAGAACAGTGCCCAAAAATACCAATATCCTCCAATGTCAAGGAATCCTTCCTTCAATCACGGGAACATTCGCAGCAACAATTTCAAGAGCAAACGGAAGAAGCATAATAATGGACAGAGAAGATCCGATTCTCCTCCCCCTGTGAGACTTTGAATTTTACACTTCCTAAATCAAAAAATTAATGACTATTTTAGGTTGTGACACTTAAGTAAGCAGTTATAACACTGATTTATATGTGTGTGTTGATTTTCTGTAAAGAACATTTCAACAAAATTGCATTACACCTCTTTATAAGCGTGAAGATATCTAATATAACAATAATTTCCTTCTGTCTCTTTATTTTTGCCTTTAAATTGTAATAATTATCAGATGATTTCAATAAAAAAAAAACGACGATGAGAATGAAGGTTTGACGAGGATGTTATTTTTTAGTCCTGCGTCAAATTAGGTCTTATCCGCTTTCTGCTAGTTTTATTGCTGTGCAATGCCTTCATTTTTCAGTTATCATTATTCTGATTATCTGTATTATGCAATAATGTGCCTAAGTTTTATGTACAAACTTTGGTCAAAGAACCAGTTAAATATTCCAGTGTCCTTGGGTCTTCTTGATGAGGACACTTAACTTATTTTTGTAGCATAAAGATCAATAAATTAGCATTGGTAATAACTTCAAAAAGGCTTTTAATTACATGTGACATTCCTATATTAAAATATTGATTACAGTTTTCAGAAATGCATACTATGTCTTGTACACTTAATAAAATTGAGAGGAAAAGTTCACTGCGAGTCACTAGACGAAGATGACGAGCTGTCGGTACTCATGACCTCCACAGTGTCTTGGCTTGTGTCTTTTCCCTGGAAGTTGCCTCTTCCACCAGTGTCCATTGGTACAGTGGCCCCACCTCCACCTGGCCCTCCAAGAAGCATGTGGAGCTCGCCCGATTGCCAGGAAAATTGGTGCGGATGAGAAGCCATGATGGGTTCTATAAAAAAAATATTAAAGTTCAGATACTTGCTGTGCTATTAAAACTCAAGTACATACCAGGCTGACCTGGTCTGAAGGCTGAACCGTCAGGTAAACCTGCACCCATGTGCGCAGGGCTGCCCATAATGATATGGCTTGCTCCGACAGGAACATCTCCCAATCGGCCCAAGAATCCCATTCGCATTTCTATGTCTGCAGAAAAGAGTTTTGATTTGAATTTTTTTCAGCAGTGTAAGAATTATTTTCGAACCAGTAGGATATGGTCTTCTAGGATCGCCCGGTTGCCAAGTACTTGGTGCTGATATTGCATTTGTAGAGCTGATTCTGTGTGCAAACTTTATAAGTTCCTCAGACTGCACTGGTTTCTTGTTGGCTTTCCCTATTGATTGCAACTTCTGCTTGGCTTGGAATATGGCTGTGGCCTGAATGAATATTGTTAGCTAAAGTCAAATGCTTTAGAAAAATTGCACAAACCAGTATGTGCTCGGCTTCTTTTAGCTGTTTCTGCAGAGTTTGAATGTCCTGATCCTGCTTTTCGACCTGCACCCTCAGAGCAGCGATTTTCGATTCAACCTCTGCCTGTGTTGCTGCGACCTGAAAAATTTTACATAAAATAATAAATATTAACTTTTCTCGATTTTTGAGTGTATACCTTGAGGGTCTCTTTTATTTCTTTGTCTTTCGAAACCAGCAAATCTGTTAAGACATCATAATCCGAGGAAGACATCTTCTGAGGCTTTGCAACCAAAACATTTTCCAGCATCTCTCTAAAAGTTTGTAAGCGATTAAAAAAGATTATTTGTAATAATAAAGAGCGTGTTTGTTGGGAAGAAATTTTTGGAATACGGAATGGTTTTTTGTAATGTTTTGTACGAAACAATGAAATATTATGCAAAAAGTCCAGCAACATACAAAGTGAGTTTGAAGTTGAGAGTTGAGTTTAACATTTTTAAATGTATTTCGTAACAGTAATATAACGCGCGGTCACTCCTAGATAGTTCAAAACACCAATTAAACACTCACTTAGATATCAGCTCAACATCGTCAATCAAAGAAAGCAATTTTTCTCTGGTGCCAACATTTGACGAAGCCATGTTTGCGGTATTTATGTTTCAGAGATGGGCGTGCCACAAAACGCGAATTTTGTAGTTTTAAAGTCACGTGACCACCACGAAGTTGGTTTGCCATCTAAGCGCGCGAAAATAAATTTTTAAGCTTAAATTTTACAAAAAGGGGCAGCTTTTTTTAGTTTTCCTTTCCTCATATCTCACAAACTTCCAAAATTTTTATAATTATAATCAATTACTATTATATTAATTATTGTGAAATGTTGTGAAAGCACAAGTTAAAATTATTATGGATTAATTTTTGCCCTTTTCTCCCAAATTTCAGTTGTTATTAGAGTTAAGTGGCTATTATTTAATAGCCTCATAACAACTTTTCTTGAGTTAACAAATTTTTTAATTTCAACATTTTGTGAACATATCCCATTTCCCGCTTTTTACAATACCAGATGATTAATTCAAAAATTTTCAGGTTTTATTAAAATAAAAATGAAAGCTATTAAATTGTGTTAAGTAAGCGTTTTTATTGAAAAATAAAAATTAGAAGGTGACATAAAAACAAAGTGTATGGAAATAAATAAAACTGACTAACAGTAACAAAACAACACGCTCAATTACATAATGCTCAATGCTGTCAATAAATGTTTTTTTTTTATAAATAATTATTAATCAAAGGCGGAATCGTCTTGCCACTTCACTTTTCTAAGTCTCACGGTGCTTGCGTGTTGCACATACAATGTTGCTGCTGTCCAAATTGCCACTGCCAGGATGATTTGCAACAAAATCCAAGCAACAAGCACCCCAATAAATACGCCCATGCTAACACACCACCATCCTTCCAGGGTCTCGATATTGTCTGACATTGCTAAAATTAAAAAAAAATTAACAATTTTAAATACTACGAAAATTGCAATGAAAAAATTACCCATAGTGAATAAACTAGTCGAGCTTTCGGTGGAGGTCAAATTGATTGGATTGGAAACTATTGGCTCTGGACCGAAGACAAGAATACCCGTTTCCAAATCATGAGGGTGATTGTCTCGTGGATTAATTATTGACTCCTGTGGCCAAACTATGCCTCGACCAACAGGCCCCTCTATCTCCCTGCGCCGTCTTCCATAAGAAATCCCTTTGCTTCCACAATCAACCTAAATTCAAACAATTGGTTCATTCAAAATTTTCTAAAACAATTGCATGAAAAAACATACTGGTGCGCATTTTCCTTGGCAAAAGTGGACCCTCACATGAAACCGAACGACCGTGGTGTTTGTGAAGCGAAATGCACGAAAGTGGGCAACTAGATCGCCAGTCGCGGTATCCTTCATCAAAGACGGAAATGTTGCTGGATCTGGGGGACACCCCCGTTCATCTAATAGAAGGACACTATCTGTTCCATCCAAATTAGTTGCAATCAGTTTTCCAGCCGTCACATCAAATGGATCTGTTTTTAAGTGTAAAATTAAGTTAGAATTTGAAATTAATTTCAGGAAATATATCTTTTTTAACAATAACACCTGTATTGATTGCAATTATCCGGAGTTCCAACTCTTTACCAACTTCAGTCACGCTTGCCTCATTGCCTTCCCTGTCTGTTATCACAATTTTTACATTTGAGTTTGAGTAAATTGATGAAGAATTAATGCTGATTGCACCACCAAAGAACGGGCTGAATTAAAAGTCATAATAATCAATAAAATTAATATTTTTTTTTTCTTCCAAAAATTAGCATACTCTCCGTCCACTGTAATTGACCCATTCACTGCTTTGAGCAGCGAATCACCATATCCACAGGACACATTAAGGGCCCGATCGCCACGACGCTGTAGAATGGGATTGTATTGAACAACCAGAGAAACTCCAACCTGTTTTTCATCAAATGTGGCGCACTGCGAGCCAATGCTCAGAGTTGTCTCCGTTTCCCCTTGGCCCGTTACGTCGCAGATATTTGAATATCCACGCACAAATATGCGACCGAAAAATGGCTCTGCAGTTTGCAAACGGGCGGTTATCATGTTTTTAGAGCACCTGATTAGTACTGAAATTTAAAAAGCACCTCAAATTATTATAGCAATAAAAAAATATTATCGTACAATCCAGGCAAGGCGCCCTTTCAAAATAAGTAGCTCCTGGGCTTGCAATCAAAGACTCAGGCCCACGGCTTGCCAAGTCTGAACTGTGCAAACTGCATTTGTTTCCCTCAAATGTGAAACCCCGACAAATAAATGTTTTTTCCTTGATGCACATTTCTCTACACTGCAAATTAGTATATAAAAAATATAATGTCTTATTTTATTTTCCAAGTGATTAAATAAATATGTTAAACCTTGCTGTTTTCCATGTTAATTAGTGAAATATCTGCAGCACCAATTGTCATGGAATGGAATTCTTCAAACGAACACTCTTGCTTTGAAGGGTTTAAAGCTATAAATTTTGATAAATTTAAGAAATATATATTTTATAATTATAGACAATATAGAAATAACTTACCATTGAAGCAGAGGTTTTCCAGGTAATCAACTTCTAATGTGGATGGTACAAAGGCGGATGGCAAAGAACGTCTGTCCTGAGCGATGAGGATACATTTTCCCCATTCTTTATCAAAGAGTGCAGATCTGCAGCCTAAGAGCGATGTCACACAGGCAGCAGCACAATCACTCCTGCTGAAAATTTGATCAAGAACGGCTACCGATTGAAGAGCGCGGAGCTCAAAACCTGGCACCCTCTCAACCATGACTTCAACGTCTCCACATTTGGGTCCTTTTTATGAAATTTTGGATTTTATTTAATATTATTTAATAAAAAGTTGAACTTGCCTTTAAAGCAAACCTTCTCAAAATAATCAACTCCTTGTGGAGTGAAAAGTGTGGGACTGTCTGACCGTGTCATATTTATGCTAAAACAGCTACTTTGGTGGTAATCCAACACAAATGCAGCGCACTCGGCTCCTTCACCAATGCATCTTTGATATTAAGGCTTAGTTAGTGATGCGATTAATAAGAATGTAAAATCCTACCGTTTTGCGCATTCGTTCAAAAGCGCCTGTGGGCCTGGCTCGAGATGGAGCAATTCTTTTTGAAGCGCTATTATTGGGACGTGCCCCGTCACTTTTTCAAATGTGACTGTCTCACCAGGCATGCATTCTAGTCCTATTAAGTGAAAATGATTGTGCAACAGGGTAATGTTGGACAATTACAACAAATAACTATGGAGTTCATTATGCATGCGCCCGCATTAAATTTAACTGATATCTCAATAAGGTGAAAATAAACATACATGAATTTAAATTAATGAAAGCAAGCAATTTCTAATTTAATTGTAAAAATTTAAATGCATTAATTCTAGCACTGGACGCAAGAAAAATGTTAAAATCAATTATATAATAAAAGTAGTGCACCTTGAGAGCAGCTCCATCCAAGCAAGAAAACAAAGATCCAAAACGTTCCCATCATTGAATCAGCCATGTTGCTCTTTGAATGAAACCGAAAATTGGACTAATAAGAAAAAATTAAAATTTCATTAAACCATAAAACCTGATTTCATCCCCCAGCATTTTCACCTATCCATTGAGCTATCAAAATAATACTTTGAGGCGATCTTCACTGAACAACTACAACACTAGGACTGAGTCAGTCAACAAATACATTCACAATAAATGTTTTCCTCTCCTCGCCTGACCCACTCAGGGTATACGGGACACTTGCACTACTTGCATCAACTTTCTGCTGCTAATCAGTCGCCCTTATCTTTGCTAAACTAATCACTTTCCCACTGGCGCGCATCCCTGCTGTGACAGGAACCACTTTCCTATTTTTAATTTTTAAACAGTTCCGTGAAGTGAAATTAAACAAAATGATGCACTACTAATTTTCATATTGTATGCTAAATATTTGTAAGGGAGTTATTTAAAAAAAAAAATTATAATATTAGCTTTTGACAGTCAACGCCAAATTTGTTTTATTCATCTTAAAAATATGAAGCGTGAGTGCACAAAATAACATGTGTTTTTCTTTGTAGAGTTAAATACTTTCTTATGGACGTGAAACATCAAACTGCATAATTAACATGGGAAGTTTAGAGAAAATAAAACCAGCACCAGGGGACACACTACAAGCTTGGATCCCAGGGAAGGAAGCTTCTGCACTTACCAGAAGCACATCGGCAGGGTGTTATGGACAAGGAAGGCTTCGTTTCACCAGCGGCGTAGTCGAACGTTATTTCCTCGCCCACTTCCAAGTCTCGAGCAGCAAACAGGGCAAGGTGTGGAACCAAGGTAGAAGATCTGACAGGTACCATTAAGGCTGAGGGGTCACAGCTGTGATTGGCGTACCTGCCAATGTTGCCCACAAAGGTTGGGTCAATAATCGTGGTTGTGCTGCTCGTCCCAGAGTGCTCCCTGAAGAAGAGGATATAGTTGTTCTGGGGGCCTTGGACTTGCGCTCTTCGAATCGCCTCTTGGAGGCCCAAGACCTCTCCAGCATATTCACATATGAATTGACCTTTTCGAGCACGGTGACTGGTTCGCAAACCAAGCCCTTTTGTGCCAGTCTCGTACACTTCAAGGCCCAACATCGGACCACGTTGCACCACACGATTACTGCACTCATTCTTCTCACACTTACAATTTACATGACACTCAAAGATAGGATTCTCATAGTTAATAATAAGTCCGTCTCGGGTATAGTTGAGTCCATGCCTAGACAAACACAAGCATTTGACGTTTGCGGAGGAGCATGAGTCCTGGCAGAAACAACCTTTCTCGAAGACCTCATCAAAGTTAATAGGGCAACCGGGCCCCGGCACATTTTGTGGTGTGTAAACCAGCCAGACGTTGGGGTGGAAGTATTCGTCATGTATTTCACTGATGTTTACTGTAACACGAAGAAACAGAGCACATAAAAAGCTGATCAGAACAGCAGTTTTCTTATCATTCACCTCTTGACCTTAACAAGGCGCGATATTTAAATCAAAATTTCAAAGTAAAAAATCAAATGGATAGGGTTTCACAAACACATATTTGAAAAGTCTTTTTGATCTGGCCATGCAAAGGTAAAACAAAACAAAGTAGGAAAAATAGAGAACAAGGATATTATTTATTACACCTTAACCCAACATCAACTAAAAGTATGGGGACCTATTGCAGGGTACGCAAACCAAATAAAACCTTTTGGGTCCGTTTTCCTCCCAAAAGTTCTGCAACATTTCACTCAACATAGAAACTACCAAATTATTAAATAATTGAAAATACCTTCAAGAATGTTGTGATCCTGGGCACTGGTAGAAGCTTGTAAGCTCCCCACACAACCAGACCGAAAGCCGAAGCTTTCAGAGTGAATCTGATCACCTTGCTGGTCGTTGACGGAGGTGGAAGTCTGGAAATTTCATAATTGAATACCTCTGAACACGATGATTTTCAATTGATTTTCTTACGACATGATTTCCTGAATGGTGTGTTCGTCGACTTTTCCCCAGTTTGCAATAATGCCCTGGACATGTCCAATTCCCACAACGCCGACAACTCGAGCAGGAACTGCTCCAATTGGCTGAGCTGCCAGAGCCAGTGAGTGTGCTGTAAAATAATTTTTTTAGCAAATAGCAATTTGAATTTAATAAGAAAAAAGTCCAAATGAAATATAATAAATAATTTATAAATATATTTACCTAAAAAGAGGTCTCTTTCGTGGACAAAAACCTTGCTCAGGGCTGGGAACTCGCCTGTCATTTCTTCCAACATTTCTTCGAGCAGATCTTTCTGCTTGCATTTTTCCACTTCCTCTTTGCTGATATGATCCCGCGAGGTCAAGATATGCCAGGTCAGTTTGAAGGTTTGCCACCACGAAAGAGATGACAGGGCTCTCTGCAGAGTGACATTTATGGGTCTGTCTCCGAGGTGCACCTGGCAATGAGGCACTTTTTTCGCCTGCAAGTATTTATGTTAGAAAAAGATTTATTAAAAAAAAAAAATAGTTATCACCTCCTGAAAGGCTCTTCGAAACTCTCCTCCGGGAGCCATGCCCAGCTCCTTCGTCAAATGGGCGCTCATCGAGAGTAGCAATAGGTACATCATGCCATTGAAGGCCCCGTTCTGTTGGACTGTGGCTCGGATTTTGGCCAAGTCGATGTTCGACGCTTCCTCCAATATAGTCTGCTCGTCCAGCTGCAGAATATTTATCCTCGACTTGCATAATTCCACAGTCACTATGTGCGGCTGAACCAATTGAATGACCTGACAAGAAAAAGGTTGGTCAGAAATTTTTGAGTTGGCATCGGGAAATTAAAAATTGATTATTATACCTTAGAAACATCCTCCTGACTCTCTTTGCTGAAATGTGCTGTGCCGACCAAATACACCTGACCGCCACTAGGACTCTCCAATCTAGTCACTGTGTGAGGAAGGTCCCATTCTGAGTCAGTAAGTGAAGACGTTTCTGGTGTTGCATTTGGGGTCACAGGCACATTCCTCGGGAAAATGCCGATTTTTGGGTTGTCAGCGTCATAAGTATCTGGAAATTTAAAAAATACGCATTGCATCAAAAAGTTTTTTCATTTCAAATAAGAAGATTATAATTCAATAAAATCAATCACCAGAGAAAAATAAAATTATGCTTGATAATGGAGAAGAAAAGTCTATTTAAACATAAATCACATTTTATCCTTTCTTTTGTTCATTTTATCTCACACGTGCAGACATTTCTTGCTTCAGACAGACCAACTAATGCTGAAATTTAAGGGCAGTGAATCTGATATTTGCATTTCAGAATAAATATTAGATTCACGTTAAATTTTTTTCTTTTTGTTCTCTCGGGCTCGGTAGCTCTTGCGGGTTGATTTATAGAAGAAGTGACAGTGAAGTGATGCTTGAAAGAGGTTGAAGAAATGACAGCATAAAGGAGAAGAATTAATTCTACTGATCGACTTTCGTGTCTGGCATACCAACATTCTCGCCACTGCAAATCCGCGCATCCTCAAACTTTTTCCTGTACTCGACTCTCTTTGCCTGAATGGGGGACATTTTTCAACGCAACTTGACGTTTTCAAGCACAACCGCAACCAAATCAAGTTAAGAGTGGATTGAGTACAAGGACTTAACAAGCATGGAAACCCTCCAACTAACAACTGCACTAAACCTGGGTTTGCAAGCAGATTTTTCGACAATCGATTTTTATTAATCTATTAATTTATTTTGCGGACAATTTGATTATCTGGAGCCGAATAAAATAATATAGCAGAAACTTTCCTTTTCCACAATAAAAATGATTGATTAGAGTTTCGCATTTTCATTACATGGTGCTTGTGCGATACATACAATTTTTCAGCAGCAATAAAAAATAAAATCCAGAAATTCCAGAATATTCCGCTACAAAATTGGGAGTAACAATAATACTAATTTTGTTCCTTAAAACAAAATAATCCAATTTTTAATTATCTTTGTAAATAATGACTTAAATAAGATCCATTCCAATTTACATGAATTTAAATCATTTAGCAATTTTCATCAGATTGTGGGCATAAGCCACGTCGGCTTTAGTATGTAACTAAAAAGTGCTGAGAAGATTTTACTGTTAAATTTTAGATACCGACTTGCCAAAAATTGTGCATTATTTTCAACTCCGAGTGCAAACCCTAGGCAGTTTCAGATATGTACCAAAAACAGACAGGTAAACTCTCTCGCTCTCCTAAAAAATCCGTCCGCTCCAAATCAGCCAAGATCATAGTTGCAGAGGCCAAGCGGAACTAACCTTCTAGCTTTTTCTCTTCGACGGTGTCAAATTCGTATTTACGCTTTACGCTATCAGGCCTTACAAATTCTGGCGAGTGCGGACGCTTGGTCGGAGTGTCCAAGTGGTCGAAGCCGTTGGTCTTGTCCGGGCTGTGCGCTGAAAACTCGAAGATCTCGGGACGCGGAGAGTTGGCCCAGGAGAATTCGCCCACCTGCGAACCGTCGGCCAAATTACCTTCGTCTTCCGAAATTGTGACCGTGGTATTGTTCAGCAGGCGCTCCTCAGTGTCCGACGAAATGTCGATGGTCGACACCGAGCTCAAGTCCAATTCTACCGACTTGTTGCTGGCCCCTTTGTCTTCAACGTGGGACGCCATTACCCTATTTTCTTGTTTATGCTCTGCTCGCTCATCTGCCCAAATGCGGCGCAACTGGCGCAGCGGATGCAAACGGAAACACACGTTTTGTGGCTTGTCGTGGGCTGGGCACCGCTTCCGTGCTCACTTTCGAAGCGGAGCGCGCCAAAGCCTTGTGCAAGCAAATTATTGTGCTCGACGTGCTTGGCTTCGACAATTAATTTATTTTTTATTCTTCATTCATTAAGTTTTCCTTGATGGGTTCTAATTCATTTAAAATTTTTCAGAGGAAAAATTTCCCTGCTCTGCTGTGAATGAGGCAAAAGTTGATTCGTAAATTAATATTTCAAATTTTCCAAAATTTTAATTCAACATCATTGAAAGTTACAATTTTCTGATTTTATTTTTAAAAATAAAAGCGGGATATTGTTTTTTTCTAAAAAAAAAAAAAAAAACAGCTCACATACCCATCGAGGAAAAGACGATTTTAAATTCGAATCACCATGATTTGTTATAAAAAATGTATACATACATCTGGTTTTTGGTTTTCTGATGGTTTGAGCTGTTGAAATGTGTTATAAAAGAAGTGATACAAACTTTTTAAATAATTAACAGCAGAGAATAACATTAATAATATTTCGATAAATTTAAACAGTATTTTTAAAGTAATCGCTATTTTCACTACTTATAGGCAATTTTTTATAAAATAAATCTTGAATGCAACATAAATAAAAATAAAGGCTTTTATAGCGATTAGCATCATCCACAGCGTTGACAGAGGAAACAAAGAGGCCATCAAAAATAAAAATGTATATGTTATAATATTATGGATATTATGTACTTCGTAAAACATAATGTTCAATTAAAAAAGATAATTTTTCTTCAAAACAAATTTTAAGTAGGTGCATTCTTGATTAAATATCTATTTCATTATATTTCCTCTATCAATTTACTCATTAATACATAATGCGCATTATTTGTATAACATTTATTATTTTCGTGACGCGCACTTGTGTGAGGTGGGAGATCACGCCCTCGCCACCAACCCCTCCCCACCTCTCACACCAAACGACGGAAGGAGTTTTGTTTTGATTTGTATGCTGATTGCTGCTGATTTTTCTCCTCTTGAGACTTGTGAAAGCCGGAGGCCATGCTGCTCGCTTCCAGTTCACTTCTCGGCTTCCAGTTTGCAGGAAATTTGCAATGCTGACGAGACTCGAGAATTCGCGGTTCGTGATTACTCTAAAGACACAGGTGAAGTGGTTTTATTGAAATCGACATGGTTTAGTGTGTTTTGCAAAATGTGCATGACTGAAAAAGAACCAAACCGTACATGCATGATTACTTACATATATAGTGAAAATGGACGATTTTCGGTGATATAATATACGTGAATGGTGCGGAAAGTGAAAAAAGCATCACGGAGGCCAAAGATTGCAGAAGGAAATTCATCAGCAGTTACTAAAATCCCGGCGGATCATACCTTTTCTTTCTGCATTCAATTCAACGAAGAACTGTCTCTTGATCTTGAAGCAACCAGCTGTGTCAAGTGTCAACCAGCAATCCAGCACAAGGTAGGTGAAATTGATTTCTATTTTATTATTTCTTATTGATAATGATGATTTTTTAATTGCATTTTTTTTATACATACGACGTGTTTTGCTTGAAAAGTATCATAGCAATAATAGGCAGCTTTTTCTTAAAATTTAAACTTGGAAATAAAATAGAGAACATAAATATTCATTATTAAGATTTGTAATGCTATAATAGTATTATATTATAAATATAAACGATAAATAGCGAAAGAAAATTTAGAAGATATTGCACACATACTATCTAAATAAATTACATTATATAAAAAATGAGAAAAATTAAAAAGAAATTAAGAGTTTTTTGGCACATGGTAATTGTGCTTCTGGCTTTATTTTTATGCAAATTTGATAATATTAGAAATTAACCAATAAATTTCTCCGAAGAAGTTATTTCAAAATTGAATCATGCAATCACAATGAAATCAATACTATCCTTCTGAAATTGCTAAATCTTTGAGGGCCTTCCTGTCCAATTTTCCACCCTTATTCACAGGAAGCCTCTTGACAAATTGCACTCCGCCGTGCAGTTGCTTGTGCGGAGGAAGTCTGTCGGCCACGAATTTGCATAGCTCCTTTGCACTGCATTTTCGTCCTGGTTTTAGCACAACCAGAGCCCTAGAGGCGCTATTGGTTGCGGGGTCAGGCATTCCCACAACACCTGCCTCTTGCACATCAGGGTGCTCTTGCAGTGCAGCTTCAATTTCAGTTGGCAAAACCTTCAGATTTAAGATATTTTTATTAAAAAAAAATTAATTTTAGTTCGCCAAACTTACGAACACCGCCATGTATTTGTAGGTAAATATAGCTCTGTCCTTGATGTAAACGTTCCCTTTTAAATCCATAAAACCTAAATCTCCTGTTGGCAACCAACCGTCTTTGTCAATTGGTGAATCGACCTTGAATTAAATAATAGTTTTTTTTAATGAAGAAACTCAAAATTATCCTCCCAAATTGCTACCTGATTGCCGGGTTTAAAATATCCTCTCATAATGCAAGGTGATCGGACGTACAACTCGCCTACTTCAAGTGGGCCCAACTCTTTTCCAGTTGACAGGTCCATAATCTACATATTTATTTATTTAAAAAATATTTACAATGAGCCTGGCAAAAGACAATAAGGCTTCTGTTTTTAATATTATTTGAATTGTAACCTTTCCTTCGTATCTTGGCAGGAAGCGTCCCGAAGAAGTAAATTCTTGCCCTTTTAACATATATTTATTTCTCACGCTGCTTCAGTTTTATTTCAACTCTCTTTTTACCTTCGCTTACGCAGCGCTCTAACTTTTCTGGTTTTTCGCCATTCTTTGTGCAAGTTGCAAAGTGAATTTCTGTCATGCCATAAACCTGAGGAAGTTTCTTTTCATTATACAGAAATCATCAAAACTAAAGAAAAACCTGCTGGATATGTGTATTTGGCAATGTATCATGGAGCTTGTCTGCCGTTTTTGAATCAAGCACCCAACCACCAATCATTATCAAATTAAAAATATTTCTTGATCCTAAAACCTCAAGCTCATTTTCACACCGAGCAAACCAATTGGCCACAAAGGGATAAAACAGAATGCTTTTCGGCTGGAATTGATAAAAAAAAAAATTAAATGCATATTAATTTGCCAAAGAAAAAAAAAATAACTATATTAGACCTTGTAGGTAAAAATTTGTTGGAAGTATTGGGATCGATCAAATTTATTGATATGGTATATCGTTTTGCCTGTTGTAAGAAAGTACATCGCCAGACCAAAAACTCCAACTCCGTAATTAATCATGAACTCAAGAAGAGTGCTCTCGGTCCTGATGAACCTATATGGTTTGCAAATTTTATCGCATTTATTCAAAATAATTATGATTTATTAATTCATACAAACGTACCCAAGATTGGTAATGAAACCAACACACGAGTAATGTGTGTGCACGACACCTTTAGGATAACCTGTCGATCCACTTGTGTTCAAGATTGCCACTATATCTTCTTTAACATTGATGTTTTTCGGTTTTTTGAAAGCTTTTAACATAATTATATTAGGAACAAGCATTATTGGCTTATTAAATTTTGTGTACCTGAGCCATCATCGGCAAGCAATTTTGAAATGTGAGAAGTGCCTGGAATGGGTTCCTTACCCAAGCTTATCAGACATACATCAGAATGCAGAAACTCCAAAGCAGTGTGAATCACATTAATGGTGTCTGAATCCACCAGTATAAACTTTGCCGAGCTTTCTTTAATCTGCTTGGCATAGACATCTGTTTGATATTAAGCGTGTTTTTATTTACTTAAAATAGCAATTAAAAATTAAAATACTATTAAGCGAATAGTATTGCAAATTGATCTGTTCAATTGAAATTTTCAATACAGTCATTTTAGTGATAAGGTGAAGTAAAAACCACGTAAATGAATCCGCGAAAACCTTATTTTGTTTCACAAAATGGGTAAAATGTTATTAAAATTTACATTTTTTTTGTACATTGAAATCAACAGAAAAGAATTTTTAAAAAAAGCGAAAAAAAATATAATAATAATGATTCTTACCAGCGATTTCTCCTTGATAGCACCCTCGTACCACGCCGCCCAACAACCAAACACCAATTTTTACCAAAAACAGTTCTGCCATTTCATATGTCACAAAGTAAAGCGTGTCGCCTTGCTTGAAGCCTCTTCTAGCAAGACTGCTGGCAATTTTAATCGCGTCATTCTTGACCTGACCAAAGGTCACCGTTTTTCCGGATGGAACATCCACCTGTACGAAAGTGGCAGCAAAGTTGAATTATTTACTATTTTACATCATACAATCCATGGGCGGTCTTGAAAACTTTCAATTTTCTCATCAAAATCTTTAAAAATGAAGTCCATGAAAGGAGTTTCCGGAATATCTTCTAATTTAGTGTCTTAAAAAAACGTTAATTGATATTTGCATAAAAAACTGATTCCAGAGCTACAAACCTGTCTGCATTTTTTGACCGTTGCAGTCCAAAGCAATGATAGAAATGAGGCCTATTCTATACCGTTTCCTCTCACAGCAAGACTTCTCCTCTATCATTAGGTATATTGCATGTTGATAACAAAAAATGATAAGCATTTTTTTTGTTAAGCGATAAGCGTACGCATTACCAGCACATAACTAGTACACATGCGGAAGTTATATAAAAGCTGAATTGTCAAGTGACAATGGAACACGCATAAATAATGTGGTTGAGGACAAAAATAATAGTTGAAAAAACTATCCCAATTGAAAAGTGTACATTGCTCATTTTTATGCCAAGTTTTTAAATTAAAATAAGTTAATGCTAATAATAAAGACGTTAGAAATTAATTTTTTTTTATTTTAGGGTCAGGCCAAGACAAAGTCTTGTTTTATTAGTGGTGCGGAAGGCACCACCCAATTTTTTATTATTATTTTTATTATTTTATTATGTAACCAAACCGATTAAAATATTTTAATACCAAGTAATAATAAAAGTTATTCTTTCATTTCATGCAAAATATGTTTGAGTTGCACAAAAATTCAAAATATTTTTGAGGCGTTATTTTATTCGTTGCTAGCGTAGCATGTTGCATTTTAATTGAACCTTTCAAACGACTGAAAGGGCTAAATCTTTAAGGGTCTTCCTGTCCAATTTTCCTCCCCTATTCATGGGAAGCTTCTCGAGGAAGTAAACTCCGCCATGCAGTTGCTTTTGCTTAGGGAGTCTGTCAGCCACAAATTTGCGTAGCTCCTTTGGATTACATTTTCGTCCTGGTTTCAACACAACCAGAGCCCTCGAAACGAAAACGGTATCTAAGTCAGGAATTCCCACAACGCCCGCCTCTAGTACATCAGGGTGCTCTTGCAGTACAGCTTCAATTTCAGTTGGCAATATCTCCAGATTAAAAATATTTTATTAAATAACTTAACCAAAAAATTTCCTTCTGGACTTACAAACGCTGACAAGTATTTGTAGGAAAATTTAACTCTGTCCTTGATGTAAACGTTCCCTTTTGCATCCATAAATCCTAAATCTCCTGTTTGAAACCAACCGTCTTTGTCAATTGGTGAATCAACCTTTTATTAAAATTGGTAGTTTTTTAAAGAAGAAACTAAATTATCCCTCCAAACTGCTACCTGATTGCCAGGTTTTAAGTATCCTGGTGTGATGCAAGGTGATCGGACGTACAACTCACCTACTTCAAGAGGGCCCAACTCTTTTCCTGTTGACAGGTCCAAAACCTATACATTAATTTGGAAAATATTTTCATTAAACGAGAAATAAGCCTCCCCCATTTAAATGTTCATCATTATACTTTTCCTTCATAATTTGGCATGAAATGTCCGGATGATGTAACTCTCTGACCTTTTAATTAAATTAATTTAAAAATACGCTGTAGTTCAATTTACTTTTTACCTTCAACTACGCAGCGCTCAAACTTTTCCGGTTTCTCGGTAATCTTGGTGCAAGTTGCAAAAAGAATTTCTGTCATACCATAATTCTGAAAAATATTTCAATTATTTCCTTAACCGGAATTTATGAAAAACTTAAGGGAAACCTGCTGGAGATGGGCATTTGGCAATTTTTCACTGAGCTTGTCTGCTGTTGCACAATCGAGTACCCAGCCACCAATGATAATCATGTTTATGAAATTTTTTGAGCTCAAAATTTCGAGCTCTCTATCACACTGAACAAACCAATTGGCCACAAAGGGATATATCAGTAGGCTTTTCGGCTAAATATTGAGATAATGTTTTAAATATTATAGTATTATTGCTGGTAAAAATTGTTTTAAAGATATGACCTTGTATGTAAAAATTTGCTGGAAGTATTGAGACCGATCAAATTTATTAATATGGTAAATCGTTTTTCCAGTTTTTAGAGCGTGCATCACCAGACCAAAAGCCCCTATTCCGTAATTAATTAAGAACTCAAGAAGGGTGCTCTCTGTCCTCATGTACCTATGATTACAAAATTATGACAAAAAATTTTTAGAAGTGAAGAGATGAGTTCATTGAAATTTTTTAAGCGATTTGTTGAATTAAATTAAACTATTTGTTAAACAAGTATACTAAGCCCATTTTCTTCGCTTCCATGATCGGCTCCTCGACTAAAATTTCTTCAATCATAAAATATTAAGGTTAAAATTAACTATTATTTAATTATTTTAAATAAAAACAGATAAAAACTAACTATTATTTAATTAATTTAAATAAAAAAGTACCCAAGATTTGTAATGAAACCAACACATGAGTAGTGTGTGTGCACCACACCTTTAGGGAAACCTGTTGATCCACTTGTGTTTATGACCGCAACCATATCCTCTTTAATGTTGATGTTTTCAGGTTTTTGAAATGCTTGTAGAATGTTAAATTTTAAAATACTTCATCAAGACTTCTCATTAAATTATAATAAAATACCTGAGCCATCATCGGCAAGCAATTTTGAAAGGTGGGAAGTGCCTGGAATAGGTTCTTTTCCCAAGCTTATCAGACATACATCAAAGTCAACTGACTCCAAAGCAGCGTGAATTACTCTAATGGTATCTGAATCCACCAGTACGAACTTTGCCAAGCTTCCTTTTATCTGATCCGCATAGACATCTATTTGATTTTAAGGATTTTTTTATCACTTGTAATAGTTGCTAAAATATAAACAATTCTCTTCTATGCGCAAGAACTAGTGAAATTGATATAAGTTAATCACTATTTTATATTAATACTTATTTTATTGAAATTACTTAATTTAAGACATGAACACTTTCTTTTGCAATAAAATGGTTACAAATTTTCTAAAAACCATTTATTTTTTCTGTGATGATTTCCTCCGTTAAGATGTAAATATAAAAAAATTAACTAGTGACACTTACCAGCGATTTCTCCTTGATAGCACCCTCGTACCACGCCGCCCAACAACCAAACACCAATTTTTACCAAAAATAGTTCTGCCATCTCGTATGTCACAAAGTAAAGCGTGTCGCCTTGCTTGAAGCCTCTTCTAGCAAGACAGCTGGCAATTTTAATCGCGTCATTTTTTACCTGACCAAAGGTCACCGTTCTTCCAGATGGAATATCCACCTGTGTTAAAGTAGAAGCTAACGATTAGATTAATAATTTTCTATTTTAAATCATTTATATACAATCCAAGGGCGGTCTTGAAAACTTTCAATTTTCTCATCAAAATCTTTAAAAATAAAATCCATGAATGGAATCTCCAGAATATCTTCAACTCTAGTGTCTTAAGAAAAGAAAATTATTTTTCCATGCATTAATCGCACTCCTAAAACTAACCTTTCTGCATTTTTTTACAAATGAAATTGACCGTCGCCACTCACAGTCCAAGCGAGAATATTGAAGTAGTAAAACTATTCTACTATGCTCCCCCTATCATTGAGCACTAAAATTTAAGAGCGATAAACATGTTTGTTAAGCATACATGACCGCAATTTTTTCCAAAATTGTAAAAAGCATATTGTGAAACAAAATTGATACTTTGATCCTGTAGTTTAGGCTGCAGTGCGGCGAGTAGTCGAAATATTTATTGCTTCTTGGTAAATACTCGGCAATGAGTTTTCAGTGAGTTTTTCACAAAGCGCTGTGTGCCTAATTTTCTCCCAATCAAATTTTTCATCACTGAATTTTTTTATTTGGTAGGAGAAAAATAAAATGAACTAATCTGAACATAACTGAACATAACAATGTGCAATTTAAAAATTGCAGCAAACAAAGTGTGCTTGAGTTTGAAAATTAAAATAAGTAATAATAAAGACGTTAGAAATTAAGATGTAAATTTATTATTTTATTATGGAACCACACCAATTAAATATTTTATTACAAGTAATAATAAAAGTTTAATACTTTCATTTCATGCAAAATCTGTTTGAGTAGCACAAAAATTCAAAATATTTTTGAGGCGTTATTTTATTCGTTGCTAATAACGGCTAACATAGCATGTGTGTTTTAATTGAACCTTTCAAACGACTGAAAGGGCTAAATCTTTAAGGGTCTTCCTGTCCAATTTTCCTCCCCTATTCATGGGAAGCTTCTCGACAAAGTGAACTCCGCCGTGTAGGTGCTTGTGCGTAGGAAGTCTGTCGGCCACGAATTTGCACAGCTCCTTTGCGCTGCATTTTCGTCCGGGTTTTAGCACAACCAGAGCCCTTGAAATGTTAATGGTATCTAAGTTAGGAATTCCCACAACGCCCGCTTCTTGTACATCAGGGTGCTCTTGCAGTGCAGCTTCAATTTCAGTTGGCAATATCTCCATTATGCAGATTAAAAATATTTTAGTAAGAAGCTTAACAAAAAAAAAATTTTAGCACTTACAAACGCTGAAAAGTATTTATAGGAAAATTTAACTCTGTCCTTGATGTAAATGTTCCCTTTTGCATCCATAAATCCTAAATCTCCTGTTTGAAACCAGCCGTCTTTGTCTATTGGTGAATCAACCTTTTATTAAAATTTTTAGTTTTAAAGAAGAAATTAAATTTTTCCTCCAAACTGCTACCTGATTGCCAGGTTTCAAGTATCCTGTTGTGATGCAAGGTGATCGGACGTACAACTCACCTACTTCAAGAGGGCCCAACTCTTTTCCTGTTGACAGGTCCAAAACCTATACATTAATTTGGAAAATATTTTCATTAAACGAGAAATAAGCCTCCCCCATTTAAATGTTCATCATTATACTTTTCCTTCATAATTTGGCATGAAATGTCCGGATGATGTAACTCTCTGACCTTTTAATTAAATTAATTTAAAAATACGCTGTAGTTCAATTTACTTTTTACCTTCAACTACGCAGCGCTCAAACTTTTCCGGTTTCTCGGTAATCTTGGTGCAAGTTGCAAAAAGAATTTCTGTCATACCATAATTCTGAAAAATATTTCAATTATTTCCTTCACCGGAATTAATGAAAAACTTTAGGGAAACCTGCTGGAGATGGGTATTTGGCAATTCATCACTGATCTTGTCTGCTGTTGCACAATCGAGTACCCAGCCACCAATCATAACCATGTTTATGAAATTTTTTGACCTCAAATTTTTGAGTTCTCTTTCACACTGAGCAAACCAATTGGCCACAAAGGGATATATCAGTAGGCTTTCCGGCTAAATATTGCATATAATGTTTTAAATATATTACAGTCGTAAATACTGGTAAAAAAAAATTGTTTCAATATATGACCTTGTATTTTAATATTTGTTGGAAGTATTGGGACCGATCAAATTTATTAATATGGTAAATCGTTTTTCCAGTTTTTAGAGCGTGCATCACCATACCAAAAGCCCCTATTCCATAATTACTTAAGAACTCAAGAAGTGTGCTCTCTGTCCTCATGTACCTATGAAAACAAAATTACAACAACTATTTTAAAGAAGTGAAAAAACCGGCTTTGACCTCATTGTTTTTTTTTCCTAAAGATGAGTTAAATTTAACTATTTGTCAAAAGAGTATACAAAGCCCATTTCCTTCGCTTCCATGATAGGCTCCTGGACTGAATATTATGGTTAAATTAAACTATTATTTAATTAATTAAAAAAAAAAAATAAAATAAAACGTACCCGAGATTTGTAATGAAACCAACACATGAGTAGTGTGTATGCACCACACCTTTAGGGTATCCTGTTGATCCACTTGTGTTTATGACCGCAACCATATCCTCTTTAATGTTGATGTTTTCAGGTTTTTGAAATGCTTGTAGAATGTTAAATTTTAAACAACTTCATCAAGACTTCTCATTAAATTATAATAAAATACCTGAGCCATCATCGGCAAGCAATTTTGAAAGGTGGGAAGTGCCTGGAATAGGTTCTTTTCCCAAGCTTATCAGACATACATCAAAGTCAACTGACTCCAAAGCAGCGTGAATTACTCTAATGGTATCTGAATCCACCAGTACGAACTTTGCCAAGCTTCCTTTTATCTGATCCGCATAGACATCTATTTGATTTTAAATAATTTTTTATCACTTAAAATATTAGCTAAAATTCAAATTTTATTCTATTTAAAGCAAGAACTAGGGAAATTAAGTAAATTAATAATGCTATTTTATATAAATATTTATTTCATTGAAAGTGGAGTTAAAATAACTTAATTTAAACTTAACGATTTTTTACTTTACAATAAAATGGTTACAAATTTTATAAAAAACCATTTATTTTTTCTGTGTTGATTTCATCCGCTAAGATGTAAAAATAAAAAATTAATTAGTGACACTTACCAGCGATTTCTCTTTGATAGCACCCTCGTACCACGCCGCCCAACAACCAAACACCAATTTTTACCAAAAACAGTTCTGCCATTTCGTATGTCACAAAGTAAAGCGTGTCGCCTTGCTTGAAGCCCCTTCTAGCAAGACTGCTGGCAATTTTAATCGCGTCATTTTTTACCTGACCAAAGGTTACCGTTCTTCCAGATGGAATATCCACCTGTGTTAAAGTAGAAGCTAACAATTAGATTACCAATTTTCTATTTTTAATCATTTATATACAATCCAAGGGCGGTCTTGAAAACTTTCAATTTTCTCATCAAAATCTTTAAAAATAAAATCTATGAATGGAATCTCCGGAATATCTTCAACTCTAGTGTCTTAAGAAAAGAAAATTATTTTTCCATGCATTAATCGCATTCCTAAAACTAACCTTTCTGCATTTTTTTACAAATGAAATTGACCGTCGCAACTCACAGTCCAAGCGAGAATATTGAAGAAGTAAAACTATTCTACTATGCTCCCCCTTTCATTTGAGCACTAAAATTTAAGAGCGATAAACATGTTTGTTATTTGTTAAGCATACATGACCGCAAATTTTTCCGAAATTGTAAAAAGCATATTGTGAAACAAAATTGATACTTTGATCCTGTAGTTTAGGCTGCAGTGCGGCGAGTAGTCGAAATATTTATTGCTTCTTGGTAAATACTCGGCAATGAGTTTTCAGTGAGTTTTTCACAAAGCGCTGTGTGCCTAATTTTCTCCCAATCAAATTTTTCATCACTGATTTTTTTTATTTGGTAGGAGAAAAATAAAATGAACTAATGTTTCTGAACATAACTGAACATAACAATGTGCAATTTAAAAATTGCAGCAAACAAAGTGTGCTTGAGTTTGAAAATTAAAATAAGTAATAATAAAGACGTTAGAAATTAAGATGTAAAATTATTATTTTATTATGGAACCACACCAATTAAACATTTTATTACAAGTAATAATAAAAGTTTAATTCTTTCATTTCATGCAAAATATGGTTGAGTTGCACAAACATTCAAAATATTTTTGAGGCGTTATTTTATTCGTTGCTAATAACGGCTAACATATAGCATGTGTGTTTTAATTGAACCTTTCAAACGACTGAAAGGGCTAAATCTTTAAGGGTCTTCCTGTCCAATTTTCCTCCCCTATTCATGGGAAGCTTCTCGACAAAGTGAACTCCCCCGTGAAGTTGCTTGTGCGTAGGAAGTCTGTCGGCCACGAATTTGCACAGCTCCTTTGCGCTGCATTTTCGTCCGGGTTTTAGCACAACCAGAGCCCTTGAAATGTTAATGGTATCTAAGTTAGGAATTCCCACAACGCCCGCTTCTTGTACATCAGGGTGCTCTTGCAGTGCAGCTTCAATTTCAGTTGGCAATATCTCCATTATGCAGATTAAAAATATTTTAGTAAGTAGCTTAACTAAAAAAAATTTTTAGCACTTACAAACGCTGAAAAGTATTTATAGGAAAATTTAACTCTGTCCTTGATGTAAACGTTCCCTTTTGCATCCATAAATCCTAAATCTCCTGTTTGAAACCAGCCGTCTTTGTCTATTGGTGAATCAACCTTTTATTAAAATTTGTAGTTTTAAAGAAGAAATTAAATTTTTCCTCCAAACTGCTACCTGATTGCCAGGTTTCAAGTATCCTGTTGTGATGCAAGGTGATCGGATGTACAACTCACCTACTTCAAGAGGGCCCAACTCTTTTCCTGTTGACAGGTCCAAAACCTATACATTAATTTGGAAAATATTTTCATTAAACTAGAGATAAGACTCCCCCGTTGATATTTTCGTAATTACTTTTCCTTCATATTTTGGCATGAAATGTCCGGATGATGTAACTCTCTGACCTTTTAATTAAATTTATTTGAAAAAAAAAAAACGCTGTAGTTCAATTAACTTTTTACCTTCAACTATGCAGCGCTCAAACTTTTCCGGTTTCTCGGTAATCTTGGTGCAAGTTGCAAAAAGAATTTCTGTCATACCATAATTCTGAAAAATATTTCAATTATTTCCTTCACCGGAATTAATGAAAAACTTTAGGGAAACCTGCTGGAGATGGGCATTTGGCAATTCATCACTGATCTTGTCTGCTGTTGCACAATCGAGTACCCAGCCACCAATCATAACCATGTTTATGAAATTTTTTGACCTCAAATTTTTTAGTTCTCTTTCACACTGAGCAAACCAATTGGCCACAAAGGGATATATCAGTAGGCTTTCCGGCTAAATATTGTATATAATGTTTTAAATATATTACAGTCGTAAATACTGGTAAAAAAAAAATTGTTTCAATATATGACCTTGTATTTTAATATTTGTTGGCAGTATTGGGACCGATCAAATTTATTAATATGGTAAATGGTTTTTCCAGTTTTTAGAGCGTGCATCACCATACCAAAAGCCCCTATTCCATAATTACTTAAGAACTCAAGAAGTGTGCTCTCTGTCCTCATGTACCTATGAAAACAAAATTACAACAACTATTTTAAAGAAGTGAAAAAACCGGCTTTGACCTCATTGTTTTTTTTTCCTAAAGATGAGTTAAATTTAACTCTATTTGTCAAAAGAGTATACAAAGCCCATTTCCTTCGCTTCCATGATAGGCTCCTCGACTGAATTTTATGGTTAAATTAAACTATTATTTAATTAATTAAAAAAAATAAATAAAATAAAACGTACCCGAGATTTGTAATGAAACCAACACATGAGTAGTGTGTGTGCACCACACCTTTAGGGTATCCTGTTGATCCACTTGTGTTTATGACCGCAACCATATCCTCTTTAATGTTGATGTTTTCAGGTTTTTGAAATGCTTGTAGAATGTTAAATTTTAAACAACTTCATCAAGACTTCTCATTAAATTATAATAAAATACCTGAGTCATCATCGGCAAGCAATTTTGAAAGGTGGGAAGTGCCTGGAATAGGTTCTTTTCCCAAGCTTATCAGACATACATCAAAGTCAACTGACTCCAAAGCAGCGTGAATTACTCTAATGGTATCTGAATCCACCAGTACGAACTTTGCCAAGCTTCCTTTTATCTGATCCGCATAGACATCTATTTGATTTTAAATAATTTTTTATCACTTAAAATATTAGCTAAAATTCAAATTTTATTCTATTTAAAGCAAGAACTAGGGAAATTAAGTAAATTAATACCGCTATTTTATATAAATACTTATTTCATTGAAAATTGAAGTTACAATAACTTAATTTAAACTTAACACTCTTTTATTTTACAATAAAATGGTTACAAATTTTATAAATAACTATTATTTTTTCTGTATTGATTTCATTCGCTAAGATATAAAAATAAAAAATAAATTGGTGACACTTACCAGCGATTTCTCTTTGATAGCACCCTCGCACCACGCCGCCCAACAACCAAACACCGATTTTTACCAAAAACAGTTCTGCCATTTCATATGTCACAAAGTAAAGCGTGTCGCCTTGCTTGAAGCCTCTTCTAGCAAGACTGCTGGCAACTTTAATCGCGTCATTCTTGACCTGACCAAAGGTCACCGTTTTTCCGGATGGAACATCCACCTGTACGAAAGTGGCAGCAAAGTTGAATTATTTACTAATTTATATCATACAATCCACGGGCGGTCTTGAAAACTTTCAATTTTCTCATCAAAATCTTTAAAAATAAAATCCATGAATGGAATCTCCGGAATATCTTCAACTCTAGTGTCTTAAGAAAAGAAAATTATTTTTCCATGCATTAATCGCACTCCTAAAACTAACCTTTCTGCATTTTTTTACAAATGAAATTGACCTTCGCAACTCACAGTCCAAGCGAGAATATTGAAGTAGTAAAACTATTCTACTATGCTCCCCCTTTCATTTGAGCACTAAAAGTCAAGAGCGATAAACATGGTTGTTATTTGTTAAGCATACATGACCGCAGCGTTTAACTTCAAATAATAGCACACAGTCATGAATGGCGTGTAAATAAGGCGTTGAAAAATTTATGGGGAATAAATTTGGATTGCAACACAAACGTCCCTCCTGTCACTGTTGAAATCGTGTGCCCCAAATAATTTTTCCAAAATTGTAAAAAGCATATTGTGAAACAAAATTGATACTTTGATCCTGTAGTTTAGGCTGCAGTGCGGCGAGTAGTCGAAATATTTATTGCTTCTTGGTAAATACTCGGCAGTTTTCAGTGAGTTTTTCACAAAGCGCTGTGTGCCTAATTTTCTACCAATCAATTTTTTCGTAATTGATTTTTTTTTATTTGTTAGGACAAAAATAAAATGAACTGATGTGTCTGAATAGAACAATGTGCAATTTAAAAATTGAAGCAATCAAAGTGTGCATTGTTATTTGAGGCCAAAGTTTGAATCCCGCAATGTGGGCCCATGCAACGGTACCATCAAACTCGTACTCCAATTCTGATCAGCTAACAACAATTAAAACTAAATTTCATCTCATATTATGAATCATGGATTTAACAGGAGAATTTTAATTTGAACTTCATATATTTTTTGCTGTAGAATAGCACGATCGAGGGCTGATTCATGGTGATTTTAATTTAAAATTGGCTTTTCCTCAATGGTTTTGTGAGTTGTTTTTTTGTTTAAGAAAAAACAATATCCTGCTCTACATGTTTCGGCTGCGGGCTGCTGCCATAATTCATGAGCTGCGAAATCATGCATTTTGACAAGAATTATTACAAAAATCAATTTGAAAAAATATTTTTTTATGATAGATTGACAATTTTTCGTTTGAAAATATTTTTAGTTTCATTTTTACACAAAACAATTTTCAGACACAAAATATGAAAATTGAATTCAAAATTTTCCAACAATTTTATTTTTTTTTTCTATTGTTGAAACACAAAAAAAAATTCATACAGTAATAGTTGAAGATGAAGAGTTAACTTCTTTCATAATATGTATGAAAATTACTTGTGAAAAGTTCATCACAATAATTTTATCGTTTTACGACGACAGTTTTAATTTTCATCATTGTTATATGAGACAAAGTATTCTAGTTTATTTTTTTTATTGAATGCTATAGTTATACAACTGAAATTGCTAAATCTTTGAGGGCCTTCCTGTCCAATTTTCCACCCTTATTCACAGGAAGTCTCTTGACAAATTGCACTCCGCCGTGCAGTTGCTTGTGCGTAGGAAGTCTGTCGGCCACGAATTTGCACAGCTCCTTTGCACTGCATTTTCGTCCTGGTTTTAGCACAACCAGAGCCCTCGAATCGTTATTGGTTGCAGGGTTGGGCATTCCCACAACACCTGCCTCTTGTACATCAGGGTGCTCTTGCAGAACATTTTCAATTTCGATTGGCATGACCTTGGAGTATTTTATTTCAATTTTACCATGAAAATAAATTGATAATTTTAAGGGACTTACAAAAATTGCCATGTACTTGTAGGTAAATTTAACTCTGTCCTTAATGTAAAAGTTCCCTTTTTCGTCTATGAAGCATAAATCTCCAGTTTGTAACCAACCGTCTTTGTCAATTACAGTTGAATCAATCTTTTTGCAAAAGGCTGTTAAAAACAAATTACTGCACACTAAGGCTACCTACCTGATTTCCAGGTTTTAAGTATCCTCTTGTGATGCCAGGTCCTCTGACGTACAACTCGCCCACTTTGTGTGGCCCCAGATCTTTGCCGGTGGATAAGTCGACAACCTTCATCAATGTTATGTTATTTTAGTATAAAAGGAAAATTTAAATAATTAATTCATATCCGTTTTTGATTACTTTTCCTTCATATTTTGGCAGTAAATGACCAGAAGAAGTAAAATCTTGACCTTTTAAATTTTTTATTAAATATTTCGTTCATGCTTTGTAAATCAATCGTTCATTTTCACGTTACCTTCATTGACGCAGCGCTCCAACTTTTGCGGCTTCTCACTGATCTTCGTACAAGTTGCGAAAAAAAATTCTGTCATTCCATAAATCTTTCGGAGTTGAAGGGAAGCAAATATAAAGTATTGAAATAAATTAATTGATAGATACAGACCTGCTGAAGATGTGTGTTTGGAAGTTTATCTCTGAGCAGGTCCGCTGTTGTTGGATCGAGCACCCAGCCGGCAATATTGATCAAATGTAAGAAATCTTTGGACCTTATTTGCGCGAGTTCGTCGTCACTCCTAGCAAACCAATTTGCCAGAAAGGGATACATGAAAATGCTACTTGGCTGAATATTGGGAAATTGATTTAAATTTAAATAGCCAAATATTTATCAAAGATATTTATTTAATAACCTTGTATGTTAGAATGTGACGGAAGCATTGAGCTCGGTCAAATTTGTTGATATGGTAAATCGTTTTTCCAGTCGTTAGGAAGTACATGGCCAGCCCAAAAGCCCCTACGCCGTAATTAATCATGATCTCCAAAACTGACTTCTCGGTCCTTAGAAACCTGCGATTCCAACACAAGTGAAAAGTAAACAATAAACAAAATGCTTTTTCAGTTACTTTCTAAAATAAAATCTGTACCTCATATTTGCTATGAATGCAACACAAGAGAAGTGTGTGTGAACTACACCTTTAGGGTAGCCTGTTGACCCACTTGTGTTAAAAATCTCCACCATATCTTCTCTTATGTTAATATTTTTAGGTGGGTTGAAAGCTTGAAAATTTTATATAAATTTAATTGCATGTAACTTTTGTTTTTATATGTTATACCTGAGCCATCATCTGCGAGTAATTCGGAAATATGAGTAGTGTCTGGAATGGGTTCGTCCCCTAAGCTTACAAGACACACTTCAAAATTCACCAACTCCAAAGCAGATCTAATCATGTCAATAGTATCCAAATCAATAATTACAAACTTGGCCGAGCTTTCCTTTATTTGTTTTGCGTAGACATCTATTTAACATGAATCATAATAATCAATTTGAATAAATCAAGAAAAATTAAAATGCAGATTAATGATAACTCATGTGACTTGTTGCGGAAATTAATTTTTCACCAACTTGAATTACAATATTCAAATTTTCTCTTTCTTCTCGAGATTATAAAATATTTATACCTTAATTTCTTCATAAAAAGAAAATGCAGAAAATTGGAATATAAATTTGAAATTAATGTTTGCTACTAAAATATAAAGTACGGGGCACTTACCAGGAACTTCTCCTTGGTAGCAACCTCGCACCGCACCGCCCAACAACCAAACACCAATTTTCATCAAAAATAATTCTGCCATTTCGTATGTCACAAAGTAAAGGGTGTCGCCTTGCTTGAAGCCTTTTCTAGCAAGACTGCTGGCAATTTTAATTGCGTCATTTTTTACTTGGCCGAATGTCACCCTTTTTCCAGATGGAATATCAACCTAAATAAAATTATTTAATAAGTGAACTCCAAAAAAATTATTTTAAGTCAAATATTCACGATCCATGGGCGATCCTTGTAATATTTAATCCTATTTTCATGATCTTCAAAAATAAAATCTGCGAAAGATATTTCTAGGCTATGTTCTGCAAAAAGAAAAAATAGTATTCAAAAATTCCATTATTCATTATGAAAATACCCTTCTGCATGCTGTGCGGCTGAAATAGAATGAAAGTCCAGACTTGAAAATGAATTAAAACCTTTTTCTCAGAAAAGTGTTTGGTAACTGACTATTTATGCATAGCATAAATTCTTTAACGCTGTTTAACGCTTTTTTTAAGGGCACCACATTAACAATCATATTTGTTTACGACTTCGTCTACGCAATTTTCTATTCTTTATCTTTTTCATTCTATTTGAATTTGATCTATGAGGTTATATTTCATTTTAGGCAAAATTCAAAGAAACAAAATACCATGGACTCGCTTTTAGTTATATTTGTGATTTATGAGAAGTCGTGAGATGTATATCAACTTCCGAAGATGCGAAATAAAACCAGTTCTGTTTTGAGTGTGAACGAAGACGATCCTTTCTCAACAGCATTATAATGCAGAGAGGTTTTTTGTAAGATCATAAATAATTTCTACTTACAAAGTATTTCTATTTTGCAGACATTAACCTTGACAATATCCCAGAAATTCCTTTCATGGAATTTATTTTCAAAGATCACGAAGAAAAGATTAGGGACTACAAAGAGCGCCCATGGATAGTAATCATATGATTTTACTTATTCCAATTTTCTTCAATTTCGCTTGTATTAAGGTTGATATTCCATCTGGAAAAAGTGTGAAATTTGGTCAGGTCAAAAATGACGCAATTAAAATTGCAAGCGGCCTTGCTAGAAGGGGTTTTAAGCAAGGCGACACCCTATACTTTTTGACGTATGAAATGGCTGAATTATATTTGGTAAACATTGGTGTTTGGTTGTTGGGCGGCGTTGTTCGAGGCTGTTTTCAAGAAGAGGCTCCTGGTAAGAAAATATAAATAATTTTAGCATTATTGATTTGTTAATGAATAGAAACAATTTTTACAAAACTGTTTGCATTTAAAAATAAAATTAAAATAATTTTGTAACTAAGAATTATTTCACTTAAATTAATTATTATTTGCGTTGGTAAAAATTTAGATGTCTGTGCCAAGCAAATAAAAGAAAGCTCGGCAAAATTTGTTCTGGTTGATTCGGATACTATCAAAGTAATACGCTTTGCTTTGGAGTTGGTGAACTTTAAAGTGTGTCTAGTAAGCTTGGGAGACAAACCAATTCCAGGCACTACCCACTTATCAAATTTACTAAGTGATGACGGCTCAGGTATTATTTTCATATATTATGGAACAAATGAAATTTATAATTTTTTTAAAGCTTTTGAGCCACCTAAAAATGTAAATGTAAAAGAAGATACGGTGGCGGTCTTAAATACCAGTGGGTCAACAGGCTCTCCAAAGGGTGTGTTGCACTCGCACTATTCCTGTATTGGATGCATAACCTATCTTCAGTAAATTTTTATTTTTCTTCTAATTAAGTACATCAAATGTTTGTGTTAAATTTTGATACCAGGTTTATGAGAACTGAAAATACTTTGATGGAGTTCTTGCTCAATTTTGGAATGGGAGCATTTAGTATGACGATGCTTTATCTGTGGACTGGAAGAACAATTTACCACATAAACAAATTTGATCGATCCCAATACTTCCAACACATTTTAACTTACAAGGTAATTTTTAGTTCATTTTAATATTGTTACATCGTAATAAATATTTAAAATAATTAAATATATCCCAGCCGAAAAGCCTATTGTTGTATCCATTTGTGGCCAATTGGTTTGCTCGATGTGACGATGAGCTCGCAACCCTGGAGTCGAGAGATTTCTTAAATTTGATCACGATTGGAGGCTGGGTGCTTGATGTAGCAACAGCGGACAGTCTGACTGATAAATTACCAAATACACATCTCCAGCAGGTTATACAAAATTTATTTTCCAATTATTCTGAAGCATTGAAATATCTATAATTATCAGATTTACGGAATGACAGAAATTCAAATTGCGACTTGCACCAAAATTAGTGAAAAACCAAAAAGACTGGAGCGCTGCATTAACGGCGGTATATATAAATTAAATTAACAACACAGATTTATTGTTTATTTAAAAAAGGACAAGAGTTTACTTCCTCAGGACGATTTTTGCCAAAATATGAAGGAAAAGTAATAATTAAACCTTAAGTAAACAAGTCCTTAAAAATTCATCTCTTAGGTTTTGGATTTGTTAACCGGAAAAGAGCTGGGGCCAAACGAGGTGGGCGAGTTGTACGTCCGAGCACCTCACATCACAGGCCGATATTTGAAACCTGGCAATCAGGTATTGTAGAATTAGCCTTGCATGCTTCAAATTGTTCTAACAACAATCTTTTTATTGGAGATTGAAACCTCGTCAATTGACAAAGATGGTTGGTTTGAAACCGGAGATTTGTGCTTTATGGACGAGAAACGAAACCTCTACATAAAGGACAGAGTTAAATTTACATACCGATATAAGTATGATGTTGTAAGTCCTATTCTTTTATTATTGATATTAATATAATTTGTATTAAAATTTAATCAAAAGGTTATGCCTACTGAAGTCGAATCTGTTCTGCAACAGCACCCTGATGTACAAGAGGCAGGTGTTGTGGGAATATCCCACCCTGATACACATAGCGCTACCCGAGCTTTGGTAGTTCTCAAACCTGGACGAGGGTGCAGTGCAAAGGATCTATGCAAATTCGTGGCCGACAGGTGTCCCGAGCACAAGCAACTGCACGCCGGGGTGCAATTTGTTAAAAGCCTGCCAGTAAACAAGGGTGGAAAATTAGATAGGCAGGCCCTTAAAAGTTTAGCTGTTTCTGGCATATAGTGGCTGGAGAAGAATAATTGGATAATGTGTATGTTAGTTAATTTTAATTATTTTCAAAAGAATTTTAACGTGGAATCAGAAACTGAGCAAGAAAACCAATGCTCGGAAAACGAATTAAAATGTCCAAAAAATTAACTGTAATGTATTTGAGATCCTGCAAGGGAATAAAAACAAAATTAAAATTATATGGTGTCAACTTTTCTATGGTCTTATTCCCAGTTTATTTTTTTATCTTCTAAAACAAGCAATACTTTTATTTAATATTAAGACGCGAATGCGAGAGTTGCGTAATTTTCGCTTTAATCTTTTGTGTCAGATGCTCTGACAATATTATAAGGCATAATTGCAAACTGCGTCATGCAAATGCGTGGCTGAAAACCTCCCTCTACACAAGTAACCAATTAACTCATAAGCGAGAGGGTATATCATATTGAATGTCTTTATTAAATTTATCTACATATTTCTATTTTGAATCATGGGAAAGTAAAACAAATGATATTTACAGCCTAATTTTACATCTAATATTTATTAGCATAATACCAAAATTCTATAACATTATGCATAAAAAATATAATAAACATTACTGTTGAAATACTTCTCTAAAGAACTTCCACATCAAAAAGGGCCAATTTTTTTAGGGTCTGTCTGTCCAATTTTCCGCCCTTGTTTACTGGCAGACTTTTGACAAAGTGCACTCCAGCGTGCAGTTGCTTGTGCTCAGGGAGTCTGTCAGCCACAAATTTGCATAGCTCTTTTGCTGTACATTTTCGTCCTGGTTTCAACACAACCAGAGCCCTCGAAACGTGAACGGCATCTAAGTCGGGAATTCCCACAACGCCCGTCTCTTGCACATCAGGGTGCTCTTGCAGAACAGCTTCGATTTCAATCGGCGAGATCTATTGATTGCAATAGCGAAATAAATTTGAACAAAAATGTAGGCTCATGTGAGACTTACAATTACCGATTTATACCGGTATGTAAATTTAACTCTATCTTTGATGTAAACGTTCCCTTTTTCATCCATGAAACATAAATCACCTGTTTTCATCCAACCGTCTTTGTCAATCAGAGAGGAATCAACCTTATTAAGAAGAATATTTATTTAAAAAATTCACTTATTTTGACAGTCACCTGATTGCCAGGTTTTAAGTATCCTTTTGTAATGAGGGGTGTTCGTAAGTATAACTCACCAACTTCGTGAGGCCCCAATTTTTTCCCTGTCAAGAGGTCTAAAACCTGCAATTTTTTGGTTATTAGAAATTATTTTTTACTCTGTGGGCTACATTTAAGGCTCAATTAATGGTTTCATCATTACTTTTCCTTCAAAGTGTGGTTGCAAACGTCCTGAAGAAGTAAAGTTGTGGCCTTATTTAAGAATTTTATAAATTGGTATTTATTTATATTATTTAAATTTGTACCTTCATTAGTGCAGTGCTCCAATTTTTTTGGTGTCTCGCTTATCTCAGTGCAAGCTGCCATTTGAATTTCTGTCATTCCGTAAACCTAAAAATTATTTGAAACAGCAATGACGCTGGAAATTAAAGACAAAAAAATATTGAAAAAACCTGCTGGAGATGTGTGTTTGGCAATTTCTCAAAAATGCTGTCCGCTGTTGTTGGATCAAGAACCCAGCCACCAATCGAGATCAGATTTAAGAAACCCTTCGACTTTAGGGTCGCGAGTTCGTCGTCACATTGAGCAAACCAATTGGCCACAAAGGGATAAAGCAAAATGCTGCTGGGCTACGTAAATTGAGATTTTAATTAATTCTGTGTTTGTAATAATTAAAAATCCAAAAATCCAATATTAATAACTTGCCTTGTATGTATGAATGTGTTGGAAGTATTGGAATCTGTCAAATTTATTAATATGATACAATGTTTTTCCAGCCTTTAAGAAAAACATTGTACAACCTAAGGCGCTAACTCCGTAATTAATCGTGAACGCCAAGATAGACTTCTCGCTCCTTCGAAACCTTCATTTAAAAAAAAAAAAAAAAAAATAAGGCATTTCCTAATAGTTTTCTTTAAAAAAACTTACTTGTAGTTGTCAATGAAACCAACACAAGAATAGTGAGTGTGCACTACACCCTTTGGAGGACCTGTCGACCCACTTGTATGTAAGACCACCACCACATCCTCTTTAACGTTGATGTCTTTAGGTTTTTTAAATGCTTTTTTACGATAGTAAGAAATTTAAAATGTGTTATTTTTGGCAATTCGATACCCGAGCCGTCGTCACTTAGCAAATTTGATAAATGGGCAGTTCCTGATATTGGTTCGTCTCCCAAGCTTAGAAGACACACTTCAAAATCCAACTTCTCCAAAGCATTTCTAATTACTTGTATTGTATCCGAGTCGACCAAAACAAACTTTGCCGAACTTTCATTTATTTGCCTCGCATGAACATCTAAATTTTACAACATATATTAGATAACGTTGAAGTTGGTTTAAAGTTGATATTATCATCTTAATATTCAATTAAATTATTGAAATAGTTCTAAAATATGAAAAAAACAATTCAAAATGAAAATAAGTAATATCTAAAACGTTATTTGCCCCCACCATCAAGATTGCATTTCATATTTTTGCTATAACATGTAATTTGAGCAGAGCGCAGAGATTGCAAAAAAATCAACATATTTAAATTATATCATTTTAGTTTTACTCTACTTTGACTATAGCTTGGCGGGAATGAGAGGAACACAAAAATAATACACAAGAGTATACTAACCAGGTGATTCGCTTTGTGAACATCCTCGCACCACCCCGCCCAGCAACCAAACACCAATTTTTACCAAAAATAGTTCGGCCATTGCATATGTAACAAAGTAAAGGGTGTCACCTTGCTTGAAACCTCTTCTAGCAAGGCTGCTGGCAATTTTAATCGCGTCATTTTTTACCTGGCCGAATGTCACTGTTTTTCCAGACGGAATATCCATCTGTGTGAAAATTAATTATTAAATTTGGAAGGAAAATTTAAAAGATAATTTTAAAATATTTACGATCCATGGGCGGTCTTTATAGTCTTTAATTCTTTCATCGTAATCTTTAAAAATGAAATCCATGAAAGGTATTTCAGGGATACTATGCAGGTTAGCGTCTGTAACAAATAATTGGCTTTTTGACATAAATATGCGTTTAAAATAAACAAGATCAAACCTCTTTGCATTTTGTACTTCTGAATTAGACCTTCTTAGTCAAACCTTAAAAAAGAACTGAACTAATATTGCGCAGCAGGGTCCCCTATATAAAAGCATACATATATATAAATTGAACTCCTAACCGATAACAATGTTTGCTATGTACAATGCCAAAAATAAAATTAAAAGAACTGCAAATTTCAAATTAATGAGGTGCAAATAATGACGGTCAGGCGTGTATAAGTTTATGGCTTTTAGTTCGGAGAATTAGCTGATAACGACAACTTATACAAGAAGCACACATTTTTTGGTTTTTATGTTCCATAACTTTGCTTTTCTGACAGTCTTAATAATATGGTAATAAATTATTGGCATATTACAGATTATAGTATAGATTTTGATATTGTGCTAAAAAGATTTTATACTGCGCTCTAGGCATTTATTTTATTTCCTCCTTATTCCAGATAAAATATAAATATTTATATATTCAAGTATAAATAATTCAAGGAACGAAGAAAAACTACAGCACTTCAGACCACAACTGATTAGCCACGCACGCAGTCGAATATCAAATGTATAGTGATTTTTTATCAAGTTTACCGCCTGTATTCATTGCAATAAAACTTTGAGCCCCTGTAAAACATTAAATTTTGAGAATTTTCAAAATCCCTTTGTAACTATTTGTCTTCGCTGTAAGGGCTGCCAATGTGCCAAATATTATTCAAATCGGTTGAACCCATACCAACAGTGGGTCCCTTAAAAAAAATAATGCCTGATACATACATAACATGTATAATTTTTTATTGGTATTATGATGGGTCCCACGCACACTATATACATCTATACGATCGAGGTCAATTAAAATTACAGTTTATTTACATATTATCCTCCTCAAAACTATATATAGAAAGAGCTAAACTTTTAAGGGCCTGCCTATCTAATTTTTGAACCTTGTTCACTGGCAGAATTTTGACAAATTAAACTCCAGCGTGCAGTTGCTTGTGCTCGGAAAGCTTCTCTATTTGCATTGGTCTTTTGCACTGCAATCCCGTCTGGATTTCATAACAACCAGAGCTCGAGAAGCGCTGCGGGTATCAGGGTGGGATATTCCCTCAACACCTGTCTCTTCTTGCACATCAGGGTGATTTAGCTGAACATCTCAATTACAGTCGGCCTGAGCTTTTGGTGAAGAATTTCTTAAAATATTAGAATATATTCACCAACTATTAAAATATAAGGCTAACAATATCATACTTATTTCGATGTATGTAAATTTAACTTTGACCTGCTGACAAATATATAACTTTATGGACTGAATGTCGTTAGGTGCAGCAACTACTGTTGGGCTCTGATTCTGTAAGGCCAAAACGACACGTCATTTGGTCTTACAGAATCAAATAAATAAATAAATTTAATGCAATTTTAATTAAAGAAATCCATCTTAAACTTATAAATCAAACATGCTTGCATTCAACAAAATAATTATGTGATATTAAAAAATGGAATAACAAGGGATTTTTTTTCATTATATTTATTAATTAAATATTGCATACTCCTATTACAGCAAAAAAAGAAAATTAGCACAACATAATTCATAATTGCTCTCTATAATGCTCAACTACCCATACAAAAGTGCTAAACTTTTAAGGGCCTGCCTATCTAATTTTCCACCCTTGTTTACCGGCAGGCTTTTTACAAATTGCACTCCAGCGTGCAGTTGCTTGGACTCAGGACACCTGTCGGCCACGAATTTGCATAGATCCTTGGCACTGCACTCGCGTCCAGGTTTGAGAACTACCAGAGCTCGAGTAGCGCTGTTGGTATCAGGATGGGAAATTCCCACAACACCTGCCTCCTGAACATCAGGGTGCTGTTGCAAAACAGCTTCGACTTCAAATGGCGAGACCTTTTGATAAAAAATCTTTTAAAAACTTGTTCAAATCAATAAAATGTATGACATACAATATCATACTTATAGCGGTATGTGAATTTAACTCTGTCCTTCACATAAACGTTTCCTTTTTCATCAAAAAAGGCCAAATCTCCTGTTTGAAACCACCCGTCTTTGTCAATTGATGAAGAGTCGATCTTTATTAAAATAAAATTTATTGCTTAAAAAATTCATTCTAGCCAAAGTCACCTGATTGCCAGGTTTCAAATATCCTCTTGTGATGTGTGAAGCACGGACGTACAATTCACCCACCCCATGTGGCCCAAGCTCTTTGCCGGTTGACAGGTCCAAAATCTGTAATAATTTGACAAGTAATGTCAAATGGAAAACTCCAATTATAGTTTCCTTGTTACTTTTGCTTCGTATTTTGGTAGCATACGTCCCGAGGAAGTAAATTCGTGCCCTGTCAAATATGATTGCAAAATCTCTGTTATATATTTAATTTAATACTAATACCTTCGCTTTTGCAGCGCTCGAGTTTATTTTTTGGATTTTCGAAAGAATCAGTGACACTTGCAAATAGAATTTCTGTCATTGCATAATCCTGAGATATTTTTTTACAACAAAATTAAATAAGGAGAAATTAGACAAAAATTTCAAAACCTGCTGGAGATTTGTATTTGGCAATTTCTCCGTCAGACTGTCCGCTGTTGCTACATCAAGCACCCAGCCTCCAATCGTGATCAAATTTATGAAACCTTTTGACTTTAGGGTTGCAAGCTCATCATCACATCGAGCAAACCAATTGGCCACAAATGGGTACAGCACAAGGCTTTTCGGCTACAATTTAATCAATAAACTTTTTAAATCAAAATAATAAAATGAAATAATTACGACCTTGTAGGTCAAAATGTGTTGGAAGTATTGGGATCGGTCGAATTTGTTAATGTGGTAAACCGTTCTTCCAGTCCAAAGATTAAACATCATAGTACTAAAAGCCCCGATTCCATAATTAATCATGAACTCAAGCACAGTATCCTCCGTCTTAAGAAACCTTGATTTCAAAAATTTAAATGCAAATTTAAAAATATATATTTTATTTCATTAATTTAAGTAAACTCACTGAAGGTAGGTTATGCCCCCAATACAAGAATAGTGTGTGTGCACCACACCCTTTGGGGATCCTGTGGACCCACTGGTATTCATAACCGCCACCATATCCTCTTTTACATTAATATTATTTGGTGGCTTATATGCTGAAACGCAAAGAATAATAATAATATATGATTTTGATTTTTGCAGACTTTCAATTTAGTTTCAAATTTAAAAACTAATTTTCTTTACCTGAGCCGTCATCATTAAGCAAAGTAGATAAGTGGGTAGAGCCTTTAATTTTTTCGTCTCCTAAGCTCAAGAGACACACTTCATAGTTAACCAACTCCAAAGCAGCGCGAATTACTTGGATAGTATCCGAATCAGCCATGACAAATTTTGCAGAGCTTTCTTTAATTTGCTTGGCACAGACGTCTGCATTTTATGAAAATAAATATGAAATTTTTTTTAAATAATATAATACATCAATCGAGTTCAAGTGCTATTTTAATATATTAAATTAGGAAATAAATCGGATTTAATCCCACAGTGAAAAATTAATCAGTGTTCCTGACAGCGAGTCAGACCGAGAAAATAAATTCTGGTGAAAAAAATATTAAATTTTTCTTAAATTTCACGGTCTGTTTTTCATTTCACCTGATGCAGTAGAAAGATATGATGAAAAATAAATGTGAAAATTACCTGGGGCTTCATTTTGATAGCACCCTCGCACCGCGCCGCCCAACAACCAAACACCGATTTTTACCAAATACAGTTCGGCCATTTCGTACGTCAAAAAGTACAGGGTGTCGCCTTGCTTGAAGCCTCTTCTAGCAAGGCCGCTGGCAATTTTAATCGCGTCTTTTTTGACCTGACCAAATTTCAAAGTTTTTCCAGACGGAATATCCACCTACGTATATATAATTGAAATTATTTGAAAATGAAAATATAAATATTAACGTACAATCCATGGGCGCTCTTTGTAATCCTTAATTTTTTCGTCATAATCTTTAAAAATGAAGTCCATGAAAGGGATTTCCGGGATGTTAGCAAAGTTAGCGTCTGCAAATTATAATTTGTTGAAATTTTCACCCTAAACGTAAGAACAAACCTCTCTGCATTCTTCTGAACTTGAGCGTCTTTAATGAACGTGAAAGGGAAACTAAAGCTCTTTTCTCACAGCTTCAGAACATGAGTATGTTATGCACAGCGTGACTTCCCCTATATATGCTTGATAGCAAGTCAAGTCGTTACTGATAATTTTGTTTCCTGAGTTCATTTCAGAAAAAAATATACTGTGCAAATTAAGTGTTTTGGTCATATTCTGGGTAGTTTATGACTTTAAAATTTAGTAATTGCTGATAAGGCTGCTTTTTCAATTAGCACATAATTGTATAACCTTCTCAACTAGTGCACTGTATTTTAAGAATGGGGTCTTATAAAAAGCAAATAAAATGGTTCTCTTAAAACTTTGCTTAAATTGTAATATTATCTATTATCTCACAATATTTTTTTTTTAATTTGTTGGTAGTTCATAATCAATCATTTTTTTTTCTTCAGAGCCATTTATTTCAGAGCTTTAATGAAAATTTGATGAAAGAAATTTATCTTTAATTCATAACTCAAACATGCTTGCTATAGACAAAAAGATTATGTGATGCAAAAAAAAATTGGAAACACGAAGAATTTTTTTATTGTTTATTAATCCAACAATGCACACCACTATTACACAGCAAAGGAAAATTATCACTGCATAGTTAATTAATTCGCTCTGTAATGCTTAACTACCCATTCAAAAGTGCTAAACTTTTAAGGGCCTGTCTGTCCAATTTGTTGCCCTTGTTCACTGGAAGGCTTTTAACAAATTGCACTCCAGCGTGCAGTTGCTTGTGCTCAGGACATCTATCGGCCACGAATTTGCATAGATCCTTTGCATTGCACTCGCATCCAGGTTTGAGAACAACCAGAGCTCGGGTAGCGCTGTTGGTATCAGGATGGGAAATTCCCACAACACCTGCCTCCTGAACATCAGGGTGCTTTTGCAAAACAGCTTCGACTTCAAATGGCGAGACCTTTTGATAAAAAATCTTTTAAAAACCTGTTCAAATCAATAAAATGTATGACATACAATATCATACTTATAGCGGTATGTGAATTTAACTCTGTCCTTCACATAAACGTTTCCTTTTTCATCAAAAAAGGCCAAATCTCCTGTTTGAAACCACCCGTCTTTGTCAATTGATGAAGAGTCGATCTTTATTAAAATAAAATTTATTGCTTAAAAAGTTCATTCTAGCCAAAGTCACCTGATTGCCAGGTTTCAAATATCCTCTTGTGATGTGTGGAGCACGAACATACAACTCACCCACCCCATGTGGCCCCAGCTCTTTGCCGGTTGACAGGTCCAAAATCTGTATTAATTAATTTTGCAAGAAACGTGAAATAGAAACCTCCGATAATAGATTTCATTGTTACTTTTGCTTCGTATTTTGGTAGAAAACGTCCCGAGGAAGTAAATTCGTGCCCTTTTAGATATGATCGCATAAGTTCTGTTATAAATTTAATTTAATTCTACCTTTGCTCTTGCAGCGCTCGAGCTTATTTTTGGGATTTTTGAATGAATCAGTGGTAGTTGCAAATAGAATTTCTGTCATTCCAAACACCTGCGAAACATTAAAAAAAATCAATTGTAGGAAAATTGGATGTAGAAATATTTGAATAACCTGCTGGAGATTCGTATTTGGCAATTTCTCCGTCAGACTGTCCGCTGTTGCTACATCAAGCACCCAGCCTCCAATCGTGATTAAATTCAAAAAACCTTTCGACTTGAGGGTTGCGAGCTCATCATCACATCGAGCAAACCAATTGGCCACAAAGGGATACAGCAATAGGCTTTTTGGCTGCAATTTAATGAATGAACTATTTGAAATCAAAATAATAAAATGAAATAAATACGACCTTGTACGTCAAAATGTGTTGGAAGTATTGGGATCGGTCAAATTTGTTAATGTGGTAAACCGTTTTTCCAGTCCATAGATAAAACATCATCATACTAAAGGCCCCAATTCCATAATTAATCATGAACTCTAAAAGAGTGTCCTCAATCTTAAGAAACCTTGATTTCAAAAATGTTAATTTGGGAATTAAAAATTTAAATTGTATACATTATAAATTTTCGTAAACTTACTGAAGGTAGGTTATGCACCCAATACAAGAATAATGTGTGTGCACCACACCCTTTGGGAATCCTGTCGACCCACTTGTATTCATAACCGCCACCATATCCTCTTTAACTTTAATATTTTTTGGGGCCTTATATGCTGAAACCCATGGAATAATAATGTGAATGCACTCACATATTATTTTGATTTTTGCAGATCGTTAATGTATAACTAAATTTCCTTACTCCTTACCTGAGCCGTCATCATTAAGCAAAGTTGATAAGTGGGTAGTGCCTTGAATTTTTTCGTCTCCCAAGCTAAAGAGACACACTTCAAAGTTCACCAACTCCAAAGCAGCGCGAATTACTTGGATAGTATCCGAATCAGCCATGACAAATTTTGCAGAGCTTTCTTTTATTTGCTTGGCACAGACATCTACATTTTATGAAAATATGAAATAATTATTCTTTAATAATTTATCAATCAAGTTCAAATTATTAAATTTGAAAATAAAATCGGACGTTAAGAGGGAAAAAAATCAATAAGTTGCTGGCAAATAGTCTAACTGACAATGAGTTCAAAGACTATTTAGGTTAATTATTTTTCAATGTTTTTCATTTCACTTGATGCGGAAATATGGGATAAACAACAAAATGCGACGATTACCTGGGGCTTCTTTTTGATAGCACCCTCGCACCACGCCGCCCAACAACCAAACACCGATTTTTACCAAATATAGTTCAGCCATTTCGTACGTCAAAAAGTACAGGGTGTCGCCTTGCTTGAAGCCCCTTCTAGCAAGACTACTGGCAATTTTAATCGCATCATTTTTGACCTGACCAAATTTCAAAGTTTTTCCAGACGGAATATCCACCTGCGTATGTAGAATTTAAATTAGTTGAAAATAAACATATAAATATTAAAAACATACAATCCATGGGCGCTCCTTGTAATCTTTAATTTTTTTGTCATAATCTTTAAAAATAAAGTCCATGAATGGGATTTCTGGTATGTTAGAAAAGTTCGAGTCTGCAAATTTAAAAAAATTATCCTCCAGTATGCACTCTAACTAATTGTAAGAACAAACCTTTCTGCATCTTTTGCTTCTCAATTAGAACGTCTTTGTCACAACTTGTAAATGAAATAAGGTTTTTTCCTCACCATGTTGAAACCTGACTATTTATGCACGGCATGACGTCTCATATATCATCAATTTGCAGCAATTAAAGTCATTGCCGAGCGATAACCATGTTTGCTGTGTACATCATCAACATTTGAATTTCAGAAAGAAAAAATGTGCAATACAAGTGTTTAGGCCATACTCCGGGCAAATTTAAGTTTTTTTAAATAGAGTGAAATTGCTGATAAGGCTGCGTTTTCAATTACAACACACTTGTATGGCCTTCTCAATCAGTGCTCTGTATTTCATTTTTCAATACAAGGGGTTTTATAAAAAGCAAATAAAATAGTTCACTTCTAATACCATTCTGATTTTAATATATTATCTAACAAGATTTCCAGATTTTGTATAAATTTTTTTGCAAATTCTAATAAATCGCGCTTATATCTTCAGAGCCATTTCTTTGAGAGCTTTTCGGTCAAGTTTGCCGCCTCTGTTTACCGGTAATTTGTCTACGATTTTGGCACCTGCGTGTAACTGCTTGTGCAATGGCATTTTGCCAGCGACAAATGCGCTGAGCTCTTCTGGAGAGCAATGTTGGTCCTCCTTCAGGACGATGTAGGCTTTTGTCACATTGTTCGTTTCTAAGTTAGGCAACCCTACGACACCTGCTGCCTTCACCGCAGGGTGTTCTTGGAGAACGTTTTCAATCTCACTTGGTGAAATCTGAGATTAAATATTTTCAAGGTCAATATTAGAAAGTCAACCACAAATTAGAGTTAAAAATACCAAGTAGCTCCAGTATTTGTACATGAAATTAGCTCGCTCTTTGACATAAATTTGCCCTTTGTCGTCAAAGAATCCAACATCACCACTGCAAATCCAGTTCTCCTCGTCAATTGAAGTTCTGTTTGGCTATGAAATTTGAATAATTGCATTATTTATTTAAAAAAAAAATTATTATCTATTTTTCAATTCACTTTGTTATTGGACTGATAATATCCCTTCATTAGCCCTGGTGTGCGCATGTAGAGGACTCCATCCTTAAAAGTAGTTTGTGGCTTCTTTGTTTCAACATCCACTATCTAAAGTAAAAAAAATATTAAAATTAACTAGTAATCATAACTTAAAACTGTAGATATTTATAATACTTTTGCTTCCATGTTTGCCAATAATGAACCAGATGATGTGTATGTTTGACCTGCAGTTTTTAATGATAATTTACGCAAATAATAATCTAAATGGGTCTTTACCATCAACTGTAACGCTTGGCACAGAAGCCATCTCATCTCCATCTGGTATATGAGTTACAAAAGCAAACAGCACCTCTGACATGCCATAGACCTTGAAGTTATTCATTTTTCATTTTAATTCAGCCTTATATTGAATATTTGCCTATTTTATCACCTGCTGAATATGAGTTTGGGGAAGATTTTGCGAAAGGAGTTTTGCCGTCGTAATGTCTAGAATCCACCCTCCGATCATCATGTGCTTCAAAAATCCACTTTTGCGCACTGCTTCAAGCTCTGGATTACGCGCAAAAGAACTGGCAATATATGGGTACAACATAATTGTACGTGGCTATGAATTAAAATTTAAAAATAGTTGAAATCCATTATTCCTTTTTTTAAACTATAATAATATCACTTTGTAAGTCATTAAGGCAGGCAAGTAGTCGCTCTCCTTGAATTTATTCAAATGGTAGATGGTCAGGCCGTGCCGCAAAGCATACATGGAGAGACAGAGATTTACAACCCCGTAGTTTATTACGAACTCCATTATAGACTCTTTCAATTTCAATTCCCTGTGAGAAGATAGTTGGATTTTATTGTTTTTGTCAAGTTCACCTGGTATAATTATCAATATTTACTTCATCATTATCAAATTCGCAATCACAGATTGGTTCGTGTGCACAACACCTTTTGGCATTCCAGTGCTGCCGCTGGTGTTGCAAATCAAGAGCATATCATTATCAACATCAATGTCCACATTTCCAGAATAGGCTAAAAATTTATATGTAAAATTTTTTGAATCAAAGTATGCGTATTTTAAATTTCACCACTGCCGTCGTCCCGTAACATTTCAGAAATGTGGGTCGTTCCCTCCAAATGCACGTCGCCGATGCTAAAGTAATTTACTTTAGCTTGGTTGGCCGACTGGGCTGCTTCTTTGACAATTTCAAAAGTTTCTCCATCCACTAGTGCAAATTTGATTTGCATCTCTTCAATTTGGAATCGGTAATGCTCTAAATAATCCAATATAAAATACATATTTAAAAAGTGTGGCAAATTAAAAAAAAATGCCTTGGCTTTCAAGAGTGCTGGTGCCCTTGACTGCGCCGCCCAACATCCACACAGCTAGCTCAATTAGGTATAAATGCGCCATTTCCGTAGTGACAAAAAACAGGATGTCACCCTTTTTAAACCCTTCCTTCTTCAGCCAGCTTGCAATTGTTTGAGCATCTCGTCGAACCTGACCAAATGTGACACTTTTCCCAGATGGCACGTCGACCTATTCATATAATTTTCATCTAAAATTGGAAAATAGGAACAAAAGTATGTTTGTTTTACAATCCATGGTCTGTCCAAAATATATTGATCAAAATTTTCATGGGTCTCAAATACAAAATCCACAAGAGGCTTTTTGGGAACTTCAATCCTTGGCAAAGTTGATTTCACAATATTTGCTATAATTATAAAAATACTTTAATTATCGTTCAATTAAATTACGATACAATTCCTAAATTTAAAGAATTTTTTTTAATATTATAACAAAATATCCAAAAATTAATATAAATTAATTAAGAAATTCATATATAAATTGCGTAGATGAATCAAGAATATTTTTAATAATTGAATATTTATCCAATATGAGAGCACACTTACAAGACGAACCCATGGCAGAGGACGTACCAAACAGACTAACAAACTTGATTATCGCCAACACCCAGAAATGGGTTGATAATGGGTTATGTACATATAGCACTAGCAAATAACAATATGCGTAGAAATATCTTGTAAATATCTTCTTGATCGGAGCCGCATGCGCACGCACAGTTCTGAATAAATAAATTTGTTTGTTTCTTGTAAACGTTGCCCTTGACATAATATTACATATAATTATGCTGCCTTGTGCACAATGAACTTTGCGATTTTCAAAGGCGTGCCGCGCCGTCGAACTGATTACCAAAGAGCGTGCTCCAGCTAACTTTTGTTGAGAATATTATTGCATAGACAAACTAATAGTTGTGTTTATATAAAATTTGGGAATTATGCTAAAGTTTGGTAATGCATGGTTGCAACAATGCTAACCAGACATTTTATAAATATCTAATTTTTAAACTCGACCCTCAATGCAAATGTGTAACAATTACATTTAAATTTTTGCCATTAAAAAAATAATGATAATACAAAACCTTTATATTAATTTAAAGTGCTTCCTTTTTAGAAAATTGATTTGATCCCATTCCTATCGTTCCTGGGGCACATTTAAGCTATTATTCAAAATTATTTTTTTTTCAAACTAATTTTTTTTTTTAAATTTTATAACAGCAAGTTCAAGGGAACAATCGTTTATTTATTGGACCTTGAAGCAGGCATGTCCAACACCGCTACCATCTATTTCCATGAAGAATAAACAAGTAAAAAATGGTTATGGAGTATATTTTTAAAAGTTTAAGCACAGCCACTTTTTCATTTCTTTCATATTTGATATTCCACGTAAATTGTTTTTGCCGACACGGAAAAATTTGTTGGAGCAATTTAAGTTATCGGCTCATAACGAGAGTTTTGTCCGGTTTTATCATTTAATGTGGTGCCTTGTGGTGGGGCCAAAATGATAATACTGCTGCGTAATTCTTTTGACGGCTCGCGATTTTTTGCCAGTCAGAGCAGCTGATTGTGTTGCTCTTCAAGGAGACGCTTCACTTCACAAGGTGTCTGAACATGGTGGCCAGGTATTTGCTTACCAATTTCGCGGCCCGAGGAAGTGTTCTGCTTTCAAAAAGAGGCCGAGCAAATGTAGCAGCAGTTTTTCCAAATGCGAGTGCCAGTGCCGTGAGGCCGTACGATGAGATTCCCGGTCCAAAACCCTTGCCTCTGATTGGAAACGCCTGGAGATTTTTGCCATATATAGGTGTGTTCTTACAATAAGGCACAAAAATTTTATTAAATTCATAGCTCTACCAAGCCGCTTTTTCATAAATTTGTTAGTAAAAAGTTTTGAAGCAAATAAATGTAAGGCTAAAAAAATCTATTTACAGTGGTCGTTTTCTAGCAATTTTTTTCCAAGAAAAAATAATAACGACAAGGATATTGTTCGCACTGATTTACATTATATATGATTATATATTTTTTTATTTTACAAGTTTTAAGGTTAGCAATACCGATTCAGCAATTTATCTGCACGTCAGAAGTAATCTTCAATAATTATTATCTTTCGAGGAATGCTTATCTACAAAATATTATTTGAGGAGTGCAAAAAGTGCATGTAATGTTTTTCTTTTGATGCACCATCTTATTGAAATGAAAATTTGCATCAAAATCTCTCTGAATTCTACTTGACTAATTTATTTGCAAATAAAGCTCATTGGCAAACCACATGGTAAAAACTGCCCTAATTGAGATACTTTCATAAAAATTATGAACGAAAAGAAAAACTAAAACAATTGGGCAGAAGAAATAACATGCATTTTCTGATAAAGCGTCAAGGGATAAATCAAGAGTATAATTTTTTTTTAAATAAATTTTAAACTCAAAATTTAAATAACTTTAAAAACCCTTTACTTTTTCTTAAAGCACCTCATATCATCCACGAAAAATAATTTTTATTTAATAATGAAAATTAATTTGCACTAATAATTATATATTAATTTTTTTCTGCAGGCAGTTTTGATATATCCGATTTCGCAAAGTGGAGCAGCTCCCTCTTGGCTGATTACGGAAAAATTGTAAAAATATCAAACATTCCTGGAAGAAAAGACATGGTCCTCATTTATGATCCGGATATGATTGCTGAAGTTTACAAAAACGAAGGGCAGTGGCCGACGCGTTTTGTTATAGAAAGCGTCAAGTACTTCAGGGATAAAGTCCGGCCAGATTTCTTCGAGGGATATCAAGGACTTGTGAATGAGTGCGATTTTTAAATTAACAAAATATATTATACTAGAATGGGAGATTTTTTAAAGGAATGGTGAAAAATGGCAGCAGGCACGAACTGTTGCTAACCAACCAATGATGAGGATTGAAGTAGCAAACCTGTATGTGCCAAAATCAGACGAGGTCTCAAAAGATTTTGTCAAACTGTATGTAACAATCTTTGATTCTTGTTTAAAATAATTAACAATTTTATTATAAAGCGCCAAGCAGCTAAGAGGCAGCAACATGGAAATGCCAGAGGATTTCAAAAACGAAATCAACAAATGGGCACTTGAATGTAAAAATAAAAAATTTAAAATTATTAATTTGATATTTTAACTGATGTTAAAAATAAATTAGCAATTTCTTTGATTGCGTTGGACACGCGCCTTGGTTGCTTGCAATTAAATCTGGCAAAAGACTCCGAGGCGCAGCAAATGATTGACGCGGTCATCAACGTATTTAACCTCAGCTTTGAATTAGATTTCAAGCTTCCCATTTGGAAGCTGATTGCCACCAAAGAGCTGAAGGAGTTTATTAAATACGAGGAAGATATCTTGAGGTATCAGCTCTCTGATTACTATAAAATTTTCATGTAACTGTTTATGTTTAGAATATCTTCAAAATATGTGGAGCAAGCCATGCAGAAGATTGGAGATTTAAATGCGCCCGAAACGCCCGACTCTAGCTTCTTACACAGAATTCTAAAGCGCGAACCTAGCAAAAAGCGAGCGGTCATCCTCGGCATGGACACAATTCTCGCTGGCGTCGACACGGTAATGATAAATTTTTTCCTACTTGCGTGGCTTTTTATTAAAAATTACAGACCGCCAATTCTGCTGCAATGGTACTTTACTACCTTGCCAAAAATCCCAAAGCTCAGGAGAAGTTGTACCAAGAGGTCAAATCAGTAGTCCCGACCAACCCCAATGAAAGCATTACATCTTCTCATCTGAACAAAATGAAGTACATGCGAGCATGCCTCAAAGAAGCGATGAGGTAAAAATTGATCATCTTAGCAGACCCGGCAATTAAAAATAAAATCAAACAGACTTGCACCGGTCACAACGGGAAACGTGAGGCGCTTGGACAAGGATATAGTGCTTGACAACTATCTGATACCAAAAAACGTAATTTAATATATTTTTTGTAACTTGATTAATTATAACGTGGTCATCGCACTGCAGAAAGCGGACCTTTTTATGTTCAACAGCACACTGTACTCGCAAGATGAATATTACCCGCGAGCAAAAGAGTTCATTCCTGAACGTTGGTTGAGAGAGGATATCAGTGAGTGCCCTGTCAATAAAAAAGCTCACCAAGTTCATCCTTACGTGTACAAGCCGTTTGGCCACGGAGTGCGGCAATGCCCAGGAATGCGGTTCGCAAATATGGAAATCGAAACACTAATCGCCAGGGTTTGAAATTTTCTTACGTATTTAATCTTTTATTATATCTGCAATTATTTACAGATGCTTTTGAGTTTCAAACTGGAATGGCACCAACCTGATGTAAAACTTGTCAGCAAAGCTCTACAAGGACCTATTTCACCCTTGAAATACACACTTATTGATAGGAAATGATTAATAGCATTTTGGTTCCTTATTTTAAATGATATATTAAATTTTATAATTTTTTTATTCAAGATGAAAAATATAAAAAAGAAACACAAAGATAAATGAACTTATAAAATTCATTTTACATTAATTTTTTTACATATAAAAATCATTCTACGTATAAATAAATACGTCCCGATTCCGGAATTGATTAATTTCCATTATACTTATATTCCTCTATTGCGTAATTCTTCAGCGCTGCTCTGTCCAGCTTATTTCCTCTGCTCTCTGGCAGTTTGTCAATAAATTTGACTCCGCCATGCAAATGCTTGTAGCTTGGCAGCTTCTCTGCTACATATTGGCAAAGCTCTTGCTCGGTGCACTTGCCTCCTGGCTTTCGAACTACAAAGGCTGTTGCAAGGCTGGTGCTTTCGGGATGCGGAACTCCTACAACTCCAACTTGCATCACGTCGGGGTGTTTTTGCAGAACCACCTCGATTTCGGTTGGCGACACCTGTGCACACAACATTTTTTTTATAGGTTTTCATGTTAATTAATTTCACTTACAATGAACATAAAATACTTGAACAAGATGCTCACGCGCTCTTTAATGTAAAGATTTCCCTTGTCATCAAAAAAGCCGATATCGCCAGTGTGAAGCCAGCCATCAGCATCAATTGCTGACTGCGATGGCTATCAACAGCTTTAATTTAAATTGTAAATCATATTTTATCTTTTACCGAGTCGGAATTATTAGTCAAGTACCCTTTCATTGTAGTGAGTGACTTGACAAGAATTTGGCCTCTTTTGCAAGGTCCAAGGCACTCGCCGGAAGATACGTCTACGATTTTTACTTGCACTGTGGGAGCGATTTTCCCTGAAGAAACGCACAGTTCATCTAAAGAAAATGATACAGAACCGGGAATGATTTCGAGAAGTGAATTATTTTACCTCCGTTTTCGATGCACACAATTTTTCTGCATTTGTTCTCTTCGTCGGTTTCCTCGCCAATCAATGTGCATGTAATATTCAGTAATTCCGTCATTCCATACACCTTAAAATCGTTTCATTTTTTCGGCACTGAGGATTTATTTATATTGTTTTAATTCAAGAGGCACCACCTGGTTAAATTTTATTTGAGGCAATTTTGCGGCCAACAATTCAGCAGTGGTCGGGTCCAGAACAGATCCAGCGACACTGATGACTTTGATGCAACTGAGGTCGCTCGAATTCAGTTTGTCGCTCCTCGCAAACCAGGTTGCAACAAACGGATACATGAGAACATTTTCAGGCTGAAATTGGTCAATTTTAGCAAAATAACAATTTTGCAAAATATTTACACCTTAAATTTTTCAATGTAGTCAAAGTACTTTTCCTTTTCAAATGTGCCCAAATGTATTAGGGTGCATCCGTGCACTACGCTGTGCACAGCAAAAATGTGGCACCCCACGGCGTGATTTGACATGGGGGTCATGAACGTCAACGAGAATTCCTTAATCCCGCTAATTTTGTGAAAATCGATTAGATGAGAGCTAAAATTTATTGCCTCCTATATCATTACGGAAACAGCGAAGTCGTTAAAATCAAATTGAAATGTGTGTGTAAAGCGCCTTTTGGTAGGCCTGTGCTTCCGCTACTATTTGGGATGCACGCCACGTCTTCTTTCCAGTCAAATTCAACTTTTGCAGGATAAGCTTTGAATGAAAATTTTTAAGTTATTAATTAATTTATTTTTCTTATCTAATAATAAAAATTGCTATTCAACTTATTGTTATGTTAGTCATCATTATTTTTTAAAGTTCATTCTAAAATATATTTATGTTTTTTTATCAAGTTAATTTTTATAGTAATACCAGAGCCATCATCTTCCAGTAGTGTTTTTACTGAAGATGATCCAGGCAAATCCACGTCGCCAAACGTTATCACTTTTATTGGCCAGTCTACAAGTTTAATAGCCTGAGCAAGGATGTCTGCCGTCTTTTCGTCAACCAACACGAAATTTGCCTTTGTTTCTATTATCTGACGAGCATATTCCTCTGTGAAATTAATTCGTTAATATTTTCACTGTACAAAAATTATAATACGTTGGATCATTTAAGGAAAGTTTTTTTGCAGTTTTATGGTCTCTGTAGAGCACCAAAACGCGATTGTGTAATTTTTATTAGTTGAGAGCATTTTTATTATTTAAAGAGCAAATTGTGTACCAATAGACTCTTTCTGGTAGCACCCTCGAACAGCACCATTCAAGCTCCACACTCCGACGTGCACCAGGTACAAAACGGCAGTCTCGTAGGTCACATAGAAAAGTACGTCTTGCTTTTTAAAACCGAGTCGCGCCAAACCACTTGCAATCCTTTTCGAGTCCACCTCAACGTCTTTGAACAAGACTTTAGCACCCGTATTGGCGTCGATCTTCATTATAGTGCAAATAGTTTATGTAAATGTTAGGCTTAGTTATTTTGTTGCTTCTGCCAAATTACCATCCATTCCTTGTCCTTCAGCTGATCTCTATTTTTTCGGATGATTTTGAAAATGAAATCAGACACTAAGCAATTTTCAATTGTGGATGGATCAAAGTGTATCGGCGAGGTGTAAATTCCATTTTGCGGTGACACTTTAATAAAAATGAAACTTATATTTCGAGCACACTCACAGAAAGGATGATGAAAAAGAATATAGGTATAGATAAAAATTCAAATGAAAAGTAGTTTCAGTATAAAAATATATGTCCTGATTTTCAAAATCCGACTTAAAAAGATTTGCAATATTATAGTGTCTAAAGGGTTGATTTGATTATTAATCAGCTCAAATAAAATACTTGAACAAAAATATTTCTTACTTTTTCCAACAGCTTGAAGCTGGCAGGTTGATTTCAAGACTGCACACGCAAAATTATCAAAATTAACTTTTGGATTAGTGACTTGTGCAAAAACGTTATCGATTTTTTTCTATTTGGTTTTTCCATCTAAATGGCCCAGATAGGCGATAAGACTGGGTTTTGTATTTCTGATGAGCAGGAATGGGCTTAACTTTAAAATAATTAGGGCTTTCATATTTTATTTATTTTTTCACGATTTCATTAAAACCGACAATGAGAAACAAACCAAACAAGCTTGCACATAAAAAAAAAGAAAGCAAAACATACTTTCTTTATTGAAAAATTAATAAAAATTTAATGAGATGTAATTTTTATTTTTTAAATTCAGAGGTGATAATGACGAAAGTGTTATAGTTTTTTTTTTATTATGCTAAATCAAACGAATATAATAAAAATAGTTTATGCACCTACACCTTGGAGGTTAATTATTGTTGTTATGTGTCTGAAAGAGTTATTTCCAATTGCATTTTAGTTTGAAATGCTGTATTATCAAAAATTAAAAAAAATCTCTTACTATTGTGAATATAGGCAATCATTTAAATTTTAAACAAAGTTTAAGCTGAATCAGTTCTCATTTTATTGTACCAAGAATCTTTCATTTAATTACTCGAGGTTCATTTTATTTACAGCAATAGAATAAATAATAATTTTCTGTGCTGGCTAAGTAAAATGCAGGACTTCTATTCCCAGATCTTAGTAAGACCTGATTGCAGGTGGCACAGTCGCACACTCTTTCTGGTCCAAGGTCTGATCAATCACTGGTCTGTATGTGAGGGTGACCTAAAGTGGAATTATAATTATAGCTTTTATAAGTTTCACTGTAAAAATGATTTCTTACCTTTCCAGTTTCAGGGTCAATTGCACTGAGTGTGTGCTTGCGCCAGTGCTGCTCCATTGGTATCTTCTTCTGTCCTTCCAATGGCTTTGAATAATCTAATTCATCAATACGATCCTTGAAATCTTCACGAGCATGGGCTCCTCGCGACTCCTTCCTTGCTTCAGCGCTGTAAATAGTTTGCATGGCGTTCAGCATGAGGTTCTGCAGCTCCAATGTTTCCACCAAGTCAGAGTTCCAAACCATGCTTCGGTCATGAACCTGATTTAAAAAAAAAATTAAAGGCAAAAAATTTAATTTTATCAACAAACCTTAATGTGTTTGAGGTCTCCGTAGATCTTGTCCATTTTGACACATCCTTCTTTAAGCACAGTGCCTGTCCTGAAGACGGCTGCGTGGTTCTGCATTGTCTTCTGCATATCAAGTCTCAGCTGAGCTGTCGGAATGTCACCATCAGCAAACCTTATCTTGTCCATATTGGCCACCGATTCCTCTCCGGCATTCTGAAAATTTTGTTCGCCAATTTTATTCATTGTCTCCAACTTTAATAAATATGGCTTACAGCACTCAGTTCTCCAATTTTCTCTCCAGGTTTGTGTTCATCAGCAATTGTAAGAGCACAAGCTCTGCCAAACACAACCAGATCTAGCAACGAGTTGGCGCCAAGTCTGTTGGCTCCGTGCACAGACGAGCAGCCAGATTCGCCAGCAGCATACAATCCTGGGACAACCTTGTCTTTGCCGTTGGCGTGTTGAATTACCTGAGGTAGGGCAACTTAATTAATTTGGAAAATTTTAAAGAGGAAAATTTTTACCTGTCCCTTGTAGTTTGTGGGAATGCCTCCCATGTTGTAATGGACAGTGGGCAGAACAGGAATTGGCTCTCGGGTCACATCGACTCCAGCAAAAATCATTGCAGTTTCTGAAATTCCAGGCAAGCGGGTGGCCAATTGCTCAGGGGGCAAGTGGTGCAGTTGCAGGTAAACATGGTCCTTTTCAGGTCCGCAGCCACTGTTTATTTAGAATATAACTCAAAAATTGAAATTTTAAAATAATTAGTCTTACCGTCCCTCCCTAATTTCGATGGTCATTGACCTGGACACAACATCACGACTAGCTAAATCCTTTGCCACTGGGGCATAACGCTCCATGAATCTTTCACCTTCCGAGTTGATCAGATATCCACCCTCTCCTCGGCAGCCCTCGGTGATCAAACATCCTGCACCGTAAATTCCAGTAGGATGGAACTGGACAAACTCCAAGTCCTAAAATATAATTTGTTAATTTACTCACAAAAATGTACAAAAAAATCATACCTGGTTAGCAAGGCCTGCTCTTGAGACCATTGCAGTACCATCACCAGTGCAAGTGTGGGCAGAGGTGCATGAGAAATAAGCACGGCCATAACCACCAGTGGCTAAGACTGTGTTCTTGGCCCTGATTCTGTGCAGGGAGCCGTCCTCCATATTGAGGGCAAGTACACCTCGACACTCCCCATTCTCCATGAGAAGATCCAATGCAAAATACTCAACAAAATAATTGCAGTCGTAGCTGAGCGACTGTCCGTAGAGGGTGTGCAGAAGGGAGTGGCCCGTTCGATCGGCAACACAACAGCACCTTTAAAAAAAATAGTTAACTCTTGGTTAAAACTTAATAATTATCTTAAAAATTACCTATGAGCTTGGCCACCTTTGCCGAATTTCAGTGACTGACCTCCAAAAGCCCTCTGATAAATTTTTCCCTCATTGGTTCGGCTGAATGGCATGCCGTAGTTTTCAAGCTCAATCACAGCCTTGGGTGCCTCTCGGGTCATGTAGTGAATGGCATCCTGGTCTCCGAGCCAATCAGATCCCTTTACCGTGTCATACCTAAGTTAAGCTTAATCTCATGAGGATTCTTTAAGGTCGATCGGTGCAAAATTTTACATGTGCCACTGCCAGTTGTCCTCCTCCATGTTGCCCAAGGCAGCGTTGATACCACCCTGAGCAGCAACTGTGTGGGAGCGCGTGGGAAACAGTTTTGTCACCACGGCGGTCTTGAAGCCCTCAGCTACCAAACCAAAGGCTGCCCTAAGGCCTGCACCTCCAGCACCAACAACCACAGCATCGTAGGTGTGATCGACTACAGGGTAGTCTCTGGAAATCTAATGAAAAGTAAAAGAGTGGAAAATTATTTCTTCTGATTTTATAACTTGAAAATAATCAATAAAAATCCTAAATTTATGATTTATTCACTTAAATATAATATTAATTTTTTCAATTGCGTATGTAGTGCGCACAAGCATTATGTATTTGAAGTTATGTAATATCCTAGATAAAAGTTATAACATTTAATTAACGCAGATCCGTTGAAATTATTTAATTCTATTAGCATAATAATTTTTTAAGAGAAAAATCGATAATTATTTTACCGAGTCGGAAACTTTCGCCTGAGATCTGTTACTGCCGTTGACTGTGTAGTGCAAATTCCTGCTGGCCGCAGCTGCAATCCACGGCTTGCCTAGCGCTTTCATCTGAAAAAATTTGCAAAAAAAACTTTTGAACTTCCACATTCAAATCTTTTGGAAAAAAAACCTTAAAAAAAATTAAGGAGTTAATTCTGAACACATCACATAAATTTAATAGAAACAGAATAGAAAATATAAATTAAAAGTCATGTTCACTATTTTTTCTTAATCCTTCTTTAAGGTGAAATTGCACAAAGAAAATTGCAAAGGTATTTTTTTTCCAAATCGGGTGCAGATGTTGGAGAGGTTATGTAACGTTTTGCTGTGAAAAGTCGAGCCTCACTAAACATCGCCTACTTACCACGGAGGCCCGCTGCGCGACGGACAGCACACCACTCATCTTCGGGCAGTCCTTATCGGCAGGCTGGGACTAATTCGAAGGTTGGACGAAGAAGAAAATCCGCCACGACTAGTCAGACGGGCAGCAGAGTTCGGGGTCGGACGAGTTGCAGGCGAGCGGTGCCAGAAATAATCGTGATCAAGGAGGGTCCGTTTTGAGAAGGGTAGGCAACCAACAGCAAACTCACGGACGCATCTGCGCACACCAATGCCAAAGAGGTTTTTTAGTTTGTAAATAACACCGCAGCAAAACAACACAACTCGAGCTGCAGGTTTTTAAGGTTTTTAATGTTTAATTATAAAGTTTTATTTAACTGAGGCAATTGACTGTCTTGTCTTCCATTAATATAGCATCAAAAGGTATGCAGGTCGTTTAAATTCCTCTTGTTGAAATCACTATTGATCCAAAATTTTCAATTTTCATACATAGGAGGATATTTTGTTTTTTAACTCCATTTTTTAAAAAAAAAAAAAAAAAAATTTTTTTCATATAAATACTATAAAAATCAACCTTTTATACTAAGTATATTTTTAATATAAATTAAACTTTTTTTATTTATTGATACGATATATAAGTTGATATTAATTTTAATAAAATATGTATACCATCTCATCAAATATAATGTAAAGCGGAATAATATTTTTTATTTGACCATGACTTGAAACTTGAATTGTTTTTACTTTTAGTTCCTGTTTTACGACAAAGAGGAATTTCTGAGAGAATCATCATGGACTTCACTGCAGAGAATGTGGAGGCTGCAGTGCAACAATTTTACATGACTAGCAGCACTTTACAAGCTCACACTCATCAGTGGCTAGTAGCTGCTCGAACCTCTAAGGAGGCCTGGTCCTTTGTTTGGGCTCTCTTAGCCCCTGAAAAAGCTGCTGAGGTGCAGTTCTTTGGAGCGTCCACACTCGAAGCCAAAGTAGAGAAATGAAAATTGACGAGGGAATTTTAAAATGAATCTTTGTGTATGTAAATAAATAGATTTCCAAGTTTTGGGCTGAAGTACCTGCTGGTGAAATCGAGGGGTTGAAGAAAAGATTATTGGAAGCTCTGTTGTTGCACCAATCTAACAAGTTAATACTCGGCCGACTTTGCGTCTCGGTACAATCAAATATTTACTTAGTTATAATATAAATTAGAATTTCATTGTATTAAATTTCAGATGGCATTATGTGCTCTTCAAACTATGCCTTCGATATGGCCTGATCCAGTTTCGGACATTCTGATCACCTTTCAACCAGCAAACATACCAAATATACCTTCGGAAAACTTAGCAGCCATCGCTCTGGAAATACTCTCAGTTCTTCCAGAAGAAGTATATTATTATCATAAATTATATAAAACAGTTGGTAATCTAATCTTATTTACTAGTTCCAAACCATGCATATTGCCCAAGGCCGCAAGGGTGAAGTAAGGTGCATAATGCAAAAAAGCATTCCGAAAGGTCGTAAATCATCTTAATTGACTATTATAAAATTTAATTTTGATGTTATTTCTATAGTTCTGTGCACCGTTGAAGATTGCTTATTATCCAAAACTCTTTGTCTCAGAGCAGTGAATTGCTTTAAATCGTGGGTTCAGTTTGGCATCCAGTTGTCAGAAACAGAGAAAATAACTGATTACATCTACCAAATTGCGGGTTATTATAAGGATTATTACTCAACAAACTGTAGACTACAATAATTTATTTCAGAGAGAAACTTGTTCAGTGACGCAGAACTCACAGAAGGTGCTGTTGATGCCCTTCTGGCCGTGAGCACACACCCAGAAAGTGGCAAATATCCAACGTCGCTTCTTAAAATGACTGAAAAATGGCTCAGACTTCACCAGTTGATGCGACAGAGTGCAGAAAGAGATCCAGTATGCTATTGATTTTTGCTTATAAATATTTTAAAATAATTTCAAAAAATGTAGGATGTGGAGGGATTTGTCTATCGACTGCTTGTGATGGTGGCGGAGAGTCATTCGGGTCTGGTTTTGAAGGCGCTCTTGCCACCCGAGTTAGGAGGACTCGCTATCGAACAAGGTTGCAGAGATGCTGCCGTGCACCTGGTCAAAGTTGCCTTGGATTGCAGTGCGACCCCTGGCTATTTTCCTATCCATGAAACTAGCAGCGAAATGTCATTCAGCTTCTGGTATTTGTTGCAAGTGAAATAATTTAAACGTAGCTGGAGGCACAAAATTTACTACCAATATTTTAAGGACAACATGACAAACTTGGCCACTGATGCTTATCCTGTCATTAAAATGGAACTTCAGCCTGTATACTCCAGTCTGACTGAAGCCTTGTTGAACAAATCCGTATTGCCAGAAGACTTGGACTCTTGGAGTGCTGAAGACCAAGAGAGATTCCGTTGTTATCGGCAAGACGTTGCAGACACAATGGTACCTTCCAAGATAAAATTAACTTTGCAAACTTTCAAAATTTTGTGTTTTAGATGTATTGTTACAATGTACTTGAGGAAAGTATGCTTAACCTGCTGCATTGCCACCTTGGTCAGGCGTTCGAAAAATGCATTGCGGACAAAGCACAATGGCGGCATTTGGAGGCTTGCTTGCATGCATTTTACTCTGTATCAGAGGCAGTGAATTACGACGAAGAACATTATCTACCCCAATTGTTCAATACACTCCATCGAATCCCATCCGGTTGCCACCACAAACTCATATCATCTGCACTTGATCTCATAGGTATACCAAATTCTTTTAATCAAAATATAAAACTAATTGTTGATTTTGGGCAGGTGCTTATGCCGAGTGGATTAACAAACACAGTGATGTACTAAACCAAGTTGTGCCAATCTTGGTCACAGGATTGAAAGCACAGGAATATGCAACGTCGGCAACCATGGCTCTGAAAGACCTAACCAGAGATTGCCAGGTTTTTTAAATTGTCATTTTATCAAGTTAATATTTAAAAATGTGCAATTCAGGTCAGCATGCAGCCATTTGCCGAATTAATCCTACATGCAGGCAAGGAGGCTCTCGATTCCGGACGTCTGTTGCATAACGAGAGTATCCGCTTAATGTACCCCTTGGGAAAAGTTCTCTCTTGCCTTCCAACTCCCAGCGTCATTCAACATTTGCAGCAAATTTTCATACCGTACTTGGAAGAACTGCGGCTAATGCTCCAAGACCAACAGGCTCCTCCCGACGTTAAAATGAAAATAATTCTACGCATCAAAATGTTCTCCATGCTGTTCGCTACTTTGGAGCCAAGACAGGAAGACTCTCTTGGCGGTGGGGAACAGCCTGTCGTTCTTGTGATGCAAATGCTCCTGCCAGTATTTGAAAGAGTGACTGTGTTATGGGGACAAGATCCTACTGTTATTGAAGTAAAATTTGAATTTGTGAAAATGATTATTTTAATGACAAAAATTTTATAGGCGATGTGTTCGGCCATAAAATATTCGGTTCAAAACTTGTTGGATGGTTGCCGACCACTTTTACCAGCCATGTTAAATTTGCTGCTGCAGATGTTCAAACAAAATCCTCAACCCTCTGCACTTGACCTTGCTCAGCAGGTAATGAATGAAATCACTTTCACCATTTTCCTTTAATTTTGGAAAAAAAATAGTTCCTCATTTTATTCTCCAATGACGAACGTCACTTAATGCAAACTCTGCTTGCTGAAATGGTTGGTCTCAGTCTCCATATTTGCTCGAGCAATGTTGCCGAGCACACAGACCTAGTTGAGTCTTTGATGCACGTGCTAGCCCAAGTGCTCAAGAAGTCTCCTCAATTGTTCCTCAACCCACAGCTTGATCTGGGGCTCCTGTTCCATTTTGGTAAATTTTAAATGTCTTATCTCATAATTTATTAAGAAATAATTTATGATTTTTCAGCTATATTATCTCTCGGAATGGCTGAGAGCTCTACAGTCAAAGCAGCTATCTCCTTCCTGAGCTGCTTTATTGGTCAAAGCAGAGAGATGGAGCCGTTGCAGGTGGTCGTTCATACCCAGGGGGAAGAGCTTGTGAGGAAAATATTAGCCTGCATTGGTAAATTAAAATTAGAATCGTAATAGCAAACTATTTTGAAAATTAAATTTCATCAGGGGGAGAAAGTTCTCGAACGATATCGGAGCTTATGTCAGACCTGCTGCTGGCTTTGAATAAAAAGTATTTTGACTATCAGACACGATGGCTTCAAAATCTCATGGCAGTTGATGGTTTCCCTTCAATCAAAGTGAGCCCAGAGGTGAAACAGAGTTTCGTCAAAAACATACTTAAGTATGCAAAATAAAATTTTTAGTATTTTGTTTTTAAAAAACTGACATTGCAGAGAACGAGCTAACAAAAGAAAGATGCAAGAAAACGTTAGAGAATTCAGCCTGGCCTGCAGAGGAATGATTGGAAGTGAATATGCACAAGTCTCACCGTATTTTTAATTTTTGCGACGAAGTCGCTGTGACCAATCGTAGCGCAAACCAAATAAAGACTAATTTATTAGGAGCTATAGAGCTATTACTTTTCTCTGGAAGGTATATGACTTGGCTGTGGAAATATTGTGGAATCTGCATCTTTAATATACTCTCTCCAGCGTTCTTTCATTTGATAATTATTCTGACGTTGAATGTAATGTGCAGAACATGTTCATTTTATTAAATCATAAGAGAAAATTCATTATTAGGCAAGTTGAATGTAATAAATTTCACATGAAGTTTCAAACTTAATTTTGTTTTCTAGTATTCAGAACTAATTTGATCCTTTCTCTCCACTTTTCACTGCATGCAATGCATAGTTGATAGAAACGTTAGATGTCCAATGCCAATTATGAGTTAGTATGTTGTAAGCCATTCCATGAACACTTCGAGTATTGCAGTTGCCTGCGAACAGAACAACTAAAATCAGTGAACATCACTCAAAATATGTTCCTTACTGTCTGCAAGCATATTTTCAACTTCTAATGGAGTTAGGAATTTATCCCAGTCATGAGTTCCTGGTGGGACAATTTTGAGCAAGCGCTCCGCAATAAGAATGCCCCCTAGCCAAGAGAGATATGACCTGTTGAGAGTCGTCACAAATAAGGAGCCGTTTGGCTAAAAAATTCCAAATTTAGTCCATTAAATATAAAGTAACAAGAAAAGTTGCAAATACCTTCACAAGCTTTGCTGCAAGGTTAAAGCAGTGCTGAGGGTTATTCATATGTTCCACCACTTCAGACATTATCACTGCATCAAACAATTTGCCTTCCTCGGCCAATTCTTCCAATGTGCCATGACGATATTGCAACTTTCCAGACAGATTTGGGTCTAAGAGTGAATGCTGTTTTGCAATTTGAATAGCTTCTTGAGAGGCATCTAGTCCTAAGACGTTTGCTCCTATCCTAGCAAGCGGCTCCGACAGAATTCCACCACCGCAACCTACGTCAACCAAGTCCAGTCCATCTAAAGAGCGTGACGTATTGGCCTTTGTGGTGGAAACTGCTCTAGAATTGACTAGCCCATTTCGAATGAATGGAATTCTAATAGAAATTTTATTTTTTATTATTATGTATGATTAAAAAAAGTTTTTTTTTCATTTATTTATACCTCAGGGAATTCATTGAATGGAGCGGTCTGAATTCGCCTGCTTCATCCCACCACAAAGATGACAAGTTGTCAAACTTTTTTATTTCTTCAGGGTTGATAGAGGTACTTTGCCCTGATGTGCAGAACTGACGACGAAAACATGGCCTGAGCGCAGAAATCAATTTTTTATTTAATAAATATTGTAAGTAAATTAGACGAAGTTACAAAATTGTATAACATCTAGATCAATAATTCCAAAAAGTTTGAGGTTTCATTCAATTTTTGATCATCATAATAATATAATCATAGAATGAATTTGTTACATACCTGCTTAAGAGAACTCTCAAAATTGTTTTTGCCATCATGTATATTTCTTATCAATATTGTTGAAACCCAGTTATATTGTAATAGTTTCTCACGATAAAATTATTTCCTTGTCGCAAAATTTGTCTCTGAATTTAAGGCAGAATGGCAGAAGGATATCCCTTTTAGAATTTTGTGCGACGTTATGTAATTAATCCGTTCGAAGAAATATTGGGATGGTAATTATTGTTGTTGTTGTTTTTTTGCACCTGCCGGACTCTGCCCCTCCCCTTTTGTGCAGACGAAGTGGGCGTGGGCGTGACCAAGCCCACCTGTCCGGCAAGAAAGGTGTGCGTGCAAGTGGTCATGTCACTTATGTCCCGATCTTTTGTTGAAAACAAGTTCAAGTCACAGTTTTGTTGCTGTTAAATTTATTGAATATTCCTCACCCAACTCGATCAATCACCGACTGGAAAGCTTTAAAGATCAATTTCGTTAAACTTTTTATTTTTACTCTCCTCTCCGTTTGCTGTCTCGAGTAATTCAGGAATTTTGCATATTAAACAATTTCTATTTAAATTTTTATCCTAGGAAAAGGAAAATGACTACACAAACAGCAAGGTTATGCCGTCTCTTGGGCGCAGCTGCAGCCGTGATCGGAAGCCACTACCTTCGTCCCAGCCGACTTCTTTTGCGCCACAAACTTATCCTGGCATCAAGTGGTGCAGGGCTGGTCACCCTCCTTACTTTTCCGTCGGTCAACGCTGCGTCAAAGCCCAATTATATGGCTGAGCCTATTAGTGGATATGATGGTGTTAAAGGGAAAGACATAAAAGCTCGCATGGAACACATGATTATGCTGGTGCAGGCAGAATTTTGCCAAGCCCTGGAAAGGGAAGAGGCTGCAGGCTCCGTCGATGCAAATCCCAAGACTTTCAAGGTAATTAATAAGAATATAACTTGATAAAATTTAATTATAATTTTAAAAAAAAAAACTAGGTTGACCGTTGGACCCGTGCAGAGGGAGGTGGTGGAATTACTTGCGTCCTCCAAGACGGCGAGGTTTTTGAAAAAGCAGGTGTCAACATCTCGGTCGTTCATGGAAAACTCCCTCCTGCAGCCGTGGCACAAATGAGAGCAAGAGGAAAACAAATGGGTGAAGGCGCCTTGCCTTTCACAGCTCTTGGCATCAGCTCAGTCATCCACCCAAGAAACCCAATGATCCCTACCATTCACTTCAATTATCGGTAGTTCTGCCCTTTGAATTTCTTCCGTCAAAAATGTCTTTACATATTTTCTATGTGCTAGATATTTTGAGGTTCAAGAGCCAAATGGTCAGCGTCAGTGGTGGTTTGGCGGAGGCACAGATCTCACTCCATATTACTTAAACGAAAATGACGTTCGCCACTTCCACAAAACCCTTAAAACGGCCTGCGACAAGCACGATGCCAAACTATATCCAAAATTTAAGGCCTGGTGTGATGATTACTTTAACGTCACCCACAGAGGTAATAGAATTGTATTTAAATTTGGTTGAAATTTTGTAAGTGATTATAAGGTGAGCGAAGAGGCGTCGGAGGCATTTTCTTCGATGATTTTGATGAACCAAATCAGGACAAGGCCTTTGAATTTGTGACAAGTTGTGCAAATGCCGTCATCCCTTCATACTTACCATTAGGTGAGAAACGCGTTATTAAAACTTTTAATTTTCAATTTGAAATTTTTATCAGTCGAACAGCACAAAAAGGATGGATACGGGTATGCTGAGCGCCAGTGGCAACTTTTGCGCCGGGGCCGTTATGTTGAGTTCAACCTGATTTACGACAGGGGCACAAAATTTGGGCTTTACACTCCAGGAGCCAGATACGAAAGCATTTTGATGTCTCTTCCTCTTACTGCTGTAAGTTGAATTCTACTATAATTTTTCTCTTTAAAAATATCTTTGTGTTGTTAATTGATTTTGAATGAAATAATTTTAGAGGTGGGAGTACATGCATCAGCCTGAGGAGGGTTCCAAAGAAGCAAAACTGACTGAAATTCTCAAAAACCCTAAAGATTGGGTTTAGTGTCTGGAATTGTGTTAAGGCAGATGGCGCTATTGTGATAATTGCCCAATACGAACAAGTTTTCGTAAAAACTTAATAATGTACAGAACAAAAGAATTTATTGAACAACGAATTACTTAACTTTTTGGGTTCTACCTGTTGGTAATAAAGTTTTAAAATATTTTTTGATATATTTTCAGTCATCATTTAATAAGCAATCTACATTATCAATCATAATCTTGGGGGCACAACTTTTCCTAGATTTTGAAGCATTTGAAGTTAACTTATTATGTAATTCATAGAAATATGAAACGAGGTTGTATTCATATAATTTATTGAACTCATTTTAGGAAGCAAATGTCATAATTAATCAATGAGAAAGGTTAATTGGTATTTTTATCACAATCGCAAAATCTTAAACTCACCATCTGCTCACTTCAAAAATTGTTATTTATTCATAATGTACATTTTTTTTTTTTTAAATTATAATTTAATTCATTTACTGAGCATAATCTGTGCAGTTTACACAAGATTTATAGATTATCAGGGCAGTGTGTGTGTTGGTGTTAAACAAAGGGCGTTGTTCTTCATTGGTTTATTTAATTTGTAAGCATGGCAAAAATAAATTTCGAATCTGATCAATATAGTGCATTACCATAAATTAATAAATAGCGAAGAAAAGAATTTAAATTAAAAAAATTTATTAATACACATTAATAATAATTTTGGCCATTTTGTTACAAAAAAAAAATAATAATAATAATTACCGTCGGTTTCCTCTGGAAACTGAATAATTAATATCGCATTTTAGCAAAAATCCTAATTATGTGGAGCTATGTGGCATCAATATTATGTAGTTGCGACGTAATAATTTTTACGCGATACCAAAGCCGAGGCAACCAACGAAAGCTGCTTGATCGAGCCGAATCGTCAGCGCGTGCCAATGAGCGAGCCGGAAAGGCACGGCGGCCTCCCGACCCCCCTCGCCGTTCTCCAACACGGTGGGAGCGAGAGTAGAAGGCACCATGTGTGCGAGTGGCAGCAGAGGTCCCGGGCGTCGGGTGCTGCCACCTGTGGCGAGGAGGGCGGCCAGCTGAGGGTTGCTCATTGGTATTGATCTGGGGGTGAGGAGCGAGCAAGCAAAGTTCCGCATCCATCCGACGAACGTACGGACGGACCCAGCCAGCGATGAGCACCATCCAGCAATGAAGAAGTTCACCTTCAAGGGGGTGCTCGACGGCTTCCGCTCGTCGGCGCCGCAGCCGCCGCGCGTCGACCAGGAGATCGTTGAGACCCTTCGGCCCGACCACTTCACCGTCGCCAAGGCCAGTATATATAAATGACACAGACACACACTGTACTGAACCACCGCACGGTGCATAACACCCCCTCGTGCCGCAGCCCCCTGCGAACCCCCGCCGAGACGCGTCGATCGGGCCCTCGGAGGCCGTCCAACGCCCCCCTCCGACCTGACACCCGAGGTGCACCAAAGGGGCTGCGGCGCCCGTCGTCGCGAATTCGCGGCCCCGGGGACCGTTTTCGGTGCGACCGCCGCGGGGACGTGCCTTTTTAAAACTTTCGCGTGTCGCTTATTTGAGTGAGAGTGGCGAGAGCACCACTCGAGGACTTATGCATGTATATTTGTTTGTTGGACGAGGGCCTCGTGTGTGTTCCCTCCGTTGCGTACTTGGCACACAATCCACCCCTCGTATACATCATCAAAGTGGGCAATAAACCCCTTTTTTGTTTTGCCCCTTAATCATCCCGCTTTCCAGAATGATTTTTCTTTTCGTTTTATTTGAATTCGGTTGCCAATCGAAGGAAGATTTCACAGTCCCGCCCGTATTTCGCAACACCTCATAGGCGGCTGTTGTGACATTTAGCGGACACGTTTTCTTTTCGGCGTCGCGAGCCAAGCTGACTCGCTGACCCACAGACCCACCGAGCGTTACTTTGAATAATTGCTACGCCTTCTCTCTTAAATGAGACTTTTCACGCATGTGACTTTGGTTTTTCGCCCAAACTTTATGGCTGCGACCCATATTTTCCCATAATGCAATTTACGCTTCGACGTTTGCACACGCATGTGACATATACGCAGAGTTTGCGTTTATTTCGCGTCGCCCGCTGACCCGTATCAATAAAGTTGGCAGTAAAGTCCCATTAAAAATACCTCAACTTCCGTTTTATCACTATTCATTGCGTTAATGTTATCTTTAAATTGCGGTTTTTTCAGTTCCTTCAAAAATTTGGATTAGAAAACCTTTCACAAACCCTATTAGACTAATTTTCTTTAATAAAAAATTGTATTAAGCTGTACAAAATTATGAAAATTATGCGATTATTATTATTTATAATTTGCAAACAAATTTTATTGGTAAATTTTGCTAAATCACTGGACTAAAAAAATGATTCTATAATGAATTCGTGAAATTTTTCGTTCTCCATTTAGAGCGAATATATAAGATTAATTTAAATCCTCAAGATTATTCAAAACGCAATCTCATTTTCACCTTCTGACCGTCAGTCAGTTTTTAATTATCTGTTTTTTAACTCCTGCGGTTCAAGAAAACTTTCTTTGTGTTTTAAATTTTTTAGCAATAACGTTATATTTGTAGGAAAGAATAAATATCTTGTTTGTTATTTTTGTGCTCAGTGGAACATTTTATTAAAAAAAAATCGGTATGAAAGCTATTTCATGCTGGTCACGTTTCAGTAGACACCCAGAAAACTGGTAATTGAATAAAAATGAAAATTTGAGAAAATTATATTGAGAGCTTTTTTTAAATTTCTATGAATTTTTTTTTAAAAATAAAAAAAACAAGGAAGATATAATTAAAAAATTAAAAATAATTAATTTGAGATTAATTTAAATGAAATATTCACCAAATACCGGTTTTTCAATTAAAACAAAATAATTATGCTGTTTTTCAATTAAAAATTTGTTCGTAACCGAGCTCAAGTGTGCGACTGGAGATAATATTAAAGCTTTAGTTTACACCGGACCTAGACTGGCCTGTGGGATTAAAAAGTGTGGCTTGTCCCATCGGCGGCGACGAAATTGATCAGCTAAGATAATAGGCAGAGTTATTATTTGGGCTTTTAGCGCGTCTTGCGAGAGCGAAATGAGAAGCGCCAAAAGGGCCGTTGGCGCCTCCTCGTTCGCCGTTAATATTTTAGCGCACTCTTTGCTGGCGCATTCGCTTTTTTATTTTTTCACTCGCAGCCCTTTTCTCTCTTTCTCTCTTTTTAATTATTTCAAGTCGTGTGTGTATGTCTAGCGCGCGCGGGTCCGCCGGCGGATTTTATCATGGAGCGCGCAATTAGCGCAATCAATTGAGTGGGGCTTTCTTTCATCCCTCGAGATTTGCGGTCGACTATGAAAGTGAGAGAGAGAGACGATTTTGGCCGACTGACAAATGAATCATCTCTGCTGAGTCTGCAGCAGTACTAAACTCCTTATTCCGCTCCCAGCTCATTTCTGTTGTCTTCTTTTTCTCGGCCCAGAGAGAGAGAGAGCAAAGTCGTGTCTTTTAGCGCCCCAAGACCAATGAGAAAGTCTCCCTCGAGAAATTCCATGTAAAGTATAATGCTGTGCTGTACGTCCGTGAAAAATGGTGTGGGCACGCTTAATTAAATTAAAAGAGCTGAAATCTTGGACAAGAGACTAAAAAGTGGAAGAGCGCGTGTCAAAAAGCAACCACACTTTGCGTTTTGTGAGAGTTGGCAAAAGAATTACTGAAAAAGTCTTTGAAGGTATTTATTTTTTTGTTTAATTCTAGCGAATAAAATGAAGAATAGAATGAAAATAAAATTGTTTATTTTCAATTCGCCAAACATCTTGATTTTAATCAGCCAGACTTCTAAATTCTCTGCTGGCCATACCATATTCGTTCTCTCCTATTCTGCTTTTTCAATTGATACTTTTGTCATTATTTCCTTTCGTCAAATATTCAATTCATTGAAATTGCCCTTTGTTTTATGAACCCCTCTCAAATTATGATTAATATTAAACTTCAGCTAGTACACAAACATTGCTTATAACAACGGCAGAAAGCTAATTTTACACTCCTTCGGCTGCAATAATTATGCTCAAATTAAGCCTGAATTAAAAATATGAGTGTTCCCGAGCCGCTTTGAGAAAAGTTTTGTTAGAGAGAGAAAACACGCACTTTGTTCAATAACTATCTGTGAAAATATTTGAATGAAAATAAATACAAAATTAAATCATCACTGTTTCAAAATTTTAGAAGTTTGAGAAGAAGGAAAAAGTTTTTTGTAATTAAAAGCTCCAATATAATCTGGCCTCTAATTAAAATTACATTTTACCGCAGTCAAAATAAATTTTAGTTAAAAGCAATTAAAAATTGAAGAATATTGATTTCATCTATCGCTGCTTACTTAAAAATACATTCGTATGTAGAAAAAAGCATTCGCTCAGCTATTCTGCAAAGCTCGAAAAAGAAGCGCCTGCAGGTGCATCAAGTAGCTTTCCTGTGAACAGGTAGGCGCGTCACTTGCAAGTCGGCAGGCAAGTGAGTGGCTCGTAATTATTGTGAGTCGGCTGGGGTCAAAGGGGCAGTTGTGCATGAGAAAACAGCGAGACGGCAAATAATGCAAATCGCTGAGAGCAACGTGCAACAGCGAGCGCTTCATTGTTGCAAAAAAGCTGCTTCTCGAGGGGTGTGATGCATGACTACAGTTTTAGGCGGAAAAAACGGCCGAGTTTTTTTTCTCGTGCACTCACACCGCTGTGCTTTATTACGAAAAGAGGCATCGCTGGCTGGGTTCTTCTTTAATGAGCACCAAGCATGATGATTATTATTCAGAAACATGCCTTCTTTGAGCATTTTTTCTACAGCGCTTGATTTGATTAATTAAACACGGGAAATTAAAGAAAGGCGTGCGCCAAAATGATAAACGACAACACCAAAGCCTCTTAATTTAAGAAACGGCGCAGCAAGAAATCTTTAAAATTTTCTTCTCTGGAATTTCAAGGCGTAAAAAGTATTGATTGTAATAAAGTGTCACTTCTCTGCTACACTTTTTGGCCGTTTATTTTATTTATAAAAATCTTGGCTTCAATTTATAGGTCAGCGGGTTAAATCTTGTACTAAAACATCATAATGGCTGTGACATAAATTTAATGGTTATCTTTTCCCATAACTTTCAATACCTCTGTTATACTAAAGCCGGAAAGTTTTATACATATTTCTTTGCAAAAAAAAAAACCAATTTTAAAATTCAGCTCAATCAGTTTGAGTGGGATTTCGTTTTTTGGATAATTGTTTATTTGCAAACCATTAGCGTTGACTTGTTTGTATAACAAGGACAGGATATTTTCATTATAAAATTTCCTAGCATAAATTCATAATTTTCAAAAACTCAATGTGGAACAGAGCAAAATTATTTGTAGAACTCTTACTGCGACCCAAATTCTATGAGGGTTGATGCAAAATACTGGCACATCTAAAATATAATATTATTTCAGACTTGTGATTTTCAATTATACAGAAGAAATTATTTTTAAGGGCTTAATTAGCGGTTTTATTACTTTCCAAGATTTTTGAGATTTAGAGTGTGCCCTCTTTGAAAGCTCATATTAAGATAAGAAATTTCGTCTTCACAAATGATAATGTATTTCTGCATTAATATTTCTTATTTATTGGCTTTTGCCGGTTACATCTTAGTTTACTCAAAACTTGAAATATATTTTTAAATTACTTCAAAAATAAATTATTTTGGAATCGGCATTTGTCGTAAAACTCATTATAACTTGATTAAAATGCCAAATTCGCATTTCCCAATAATTCCCAGTCCCTTTAAGATCACACCCTGATATATTATGCCGCTGAATAAGTAATTATTCGTGTCTATTTAGATGTAGATTAAATAAATTGCTTATTTCAACTGCAATATCAACTTGTTCATTAGTGAGTTTGCTTTGCAATAAATATTAGGGCAATCAAGGTTATCTCGGAAGCGAACTGAAGACACCGAAATTGACAATCCATTAGGCTGTATAATATATTTTGCATGACCCACTTACTGTGGCCGCCCCATCCACAAACTCGAGCATAAATCAATCTGTGTGGTCACACATGGACTATAATTGCAGAAAACGAGAACATAAACGCGAGGGCAATTGAATATCAATGTAAAGGGGTGGCACCCCAGGCCGGGTTGCCCAACACCCCATCGAGAAGCGAGTGTGTTTGTTGAAGTCGACTTGTCAATATTGCTGGTGCCACGGCAGGACAATTAAACACGCCCATTATGTCACGACAGCATTCTTCCACCGTGTGTGTGTTTTTCTGCGTGCTTTACGTGTAGGAATATGGAGGTGCGTGCGTCGGCGGCGGCCGCGTATCGCCGCCCGCCGCCGGCTGGGGTAAATACGCACGCAGAGATTATCGCACCTTCCTTTGCGCGACGAGGCACAGTCGAGTGGGTGTCAGCGCAGAAAGAAACGGAAATTATGCAGCCACTGGCAAGGCAGCCCGAAGCAGCTCCGATGGTAAAAATCGTACACAAACCCTTTTTCCCAGGCGCACCACTAATTGTTCCCCGCCGTCACAGTTGTCGGGTCATATTGCACGCACCGTTCGCTTTTTTGCTCGTAAAAGCCATTTTGGTCGGTGTGTATCAAACAAACACAAAAACACACACACGACACGTTTAATAATGGTTGTTGCTGCGATTGCAGAACGTCAATAAAAAGAGGAGGAAAAATAATTTTTTTGTGTCAAGTTAAAACCGTGAAATTTTGATCGTTGAAATTCTTTAAATTCAACGTTAATTTGAAATGCATATATTTTTTTTTAATTTATTCTGTTTGCCGAGGCGTCCACAGAAAATAATCAGGCCCTGATATGGGTGTGACTTTTTCGCGGCGCCGCGAGTCCTTGAACGCCGCGTTGCTCGCCCATCGCCGCCCTGGCCCACTTCTCCAGCATTGTTTGGCCCTTGTTTCGAGTTTCGTCGCTCTTAGTGCCCGATTTATCTTTTGTTGCAAACATTTCTCTTCATTAGTGCCTGCCTGGTGATTCTTTATTTTTGCACCCGCAGCGAGCTGTAATAAAACTCGGATTTCGCTTGAATGTACTACACGCAAGTGCTAAAACAGATCGATTTGTTGCGAAACAAACATTAAATAGAACGAGAATATATACAAAAATTTTAATGTTCTTTGAACAAAAACTGCATCCGAGTGTGTAGCAAAACACAGCAGATGCTGAAAAAGTTAGCCACATTTTCAAAACAAAATTATTCATTCTTCTGGCACCAATAATAAGCAAAAATTGCGGATGGAAATATAAAGAGCGAGATGCCATCTAAGAGCCCAACGCCCAAAAAGCACACATGCATATAAACATTAAAAAAGTTTTGTGAATTTTTTCTAGCAAAAACAAGCAAAGTTTTGATCAAATTGAATCTGCCTAATGATATATCGATATAGAAACTTTGCTATAGTAATATCTGCCAAGGAATTGCATAAAATTCCTCTCCATTAGTCGGGTTGGTCTAGGAAATTTCCCATAACAAATAGGAGGCCCAACTGGAAGCCTCCGATCACTTTCGGCTCCTCTTCTTCATCCAAAAGTCGATATGAGCACATGGCGACCTAAGATTAAATAAATGCGATCATTTCACGCTGTACACCAAAACCATTTTTATGCATATATCAGAGGCTATCATATGAAAAAGTTTTCTTACCAGAATAAAATTCATTATTGGAATAATATGTGAGCTATTATTTGTGACAATCTAGTTATTTAGAGCTTTCTTTGATTTATGGGGTAAAATACAGATTGTTACCTAAATCGCTTTTTGTTAGTGTTGACAAGTAAAAAATTTCGCAAATTTTATTTATTTATTTATTTATTCTCCATTACGTAGAAAATTACGTATTTATAGAAAAAGAAATTTAAATTTAAATAGCAAAATTAAATTTCATTTTATATAAGGACTTAACTTCTTAGGTACAATCACATCAACAATGGGAGTAATTTCTACGTAAAACAATTGGAAATTTTAATCGCCATTGTTGTAAAGGCTTGATTTGATTATATAGGTAGTCCACGATTGGCGTGTTGGTGTCGCGCGAAGTTGAGTTGAATCGAGTTCTACTCTGGCGAACTTCGCCATACCGACGTCTGGCTAATTATCTTGCACATGTGTGCTCTTCATAAAGAAAATTTAGAAAATAAAAGCCAATACATACTTTTTTTTTAAATTAGAATTATTTCTAGAATTTTTTGGTCGGCTCACAAATAAGTATTTTTACTTCACAATTCACATGAAAAATTAAATTTGAAATTTAAATAGATTTATTTACATTTAATACCAAAATTTTTGGGTCACTTTTTTACTTGAAACTTCAATTTTATCAAACTTCGTAGGAAATAACTTTTATGTTCAAAAGAAAAAAAAATTGTATTTTCAATGTGTACATTGATTTTTATTTTAATCAGATTGAACCGCTACAAAAATTAAGTTAATTCTTCATTACCTTGAACTATTTTTAATAAATTTAAACGAAAAGCTTATTAATTTAAAAATTCTACTGTCGCTGCCGTTTTAAATTTTTGCAATGTTTATCAAAATCAGATATTAAATTTTCTGTTTTAATGTGGAAAATCATTTTCAAAATTTGAATTTGAATTTTATTTTCTCAAATAATATTTTATAACTTAACAGGAAAAAAATAATTTTATAAATTTAAATAAATACATATATTTACTTGTGACTCGAAGTTCGTTCAATCGTGGACTACCTAATTTAATATGAAACAGACTGGAGAAAAACTCACAATTTTGGACCCTGTAGGGAAAATGGCAAAACGTGTGCGTGGATTTTTTCTTAAGAATGGTTGATTTGCAGTCAGCGTAAATACGCGGAAAACGACGTGTGTGGAAATCCGTATATAATTCATGAGTTTCGCTTTTAGTCTTAAGTCTTAAATAGCACGGAGTGTGACGTCGGTTTTATTACACCTTGGGTGCAGTTTAATTTATCTTTACACAACAATTTCGCACACGCTGGCTATTCAACGCTGACGTGCATACTAATAATGCGCAACGCCAACAAGTCCCGAACACACACGACTTTTCCACTTTATCTCGGTGCGTGTATCGACTGCCGACTACCCTCTGACATCGGTTTCCCAAAATCTCCCCCGTTGGCCGCCGGGGATATCAAGGGACGCAAAATTCGGGTTCATTGTTGGACACCCGGCCTAATGGATCCGACCAACAATCATATTTTCGCCGACCCGAACGCTGTCAACCATAAGGCCGCAATAATATGGTGGCAGCCGCCCTTGGTAATCTCCAGAAATTCTGTCGTAAACGAGGCGATTTTATGGCCGGCTCATCCACCCACCCACGCCGTCCCGCCCCGCAGCCCCCAAATTAATGAAATCGCATTATTCGCCACCCCCCGCGGCGCTTGCAAACTCGCTCGCCCGCCTCTCACTAAATAATATCCAGCAAACATTATCCTCTCTGGGGGCGAGGAGTTGGGCGCCCCAGTCTTGTCACATAAAAATCCGAGGTTTGCTCTCCACATTTTATGCCGACGACAGTCGAATGATATTAAGGGTCCGTTTTTATGGGTCATTGATTGGGTGCCGTCACAAAAAAAAATACTTTGGACATGATTTCTTTACAATTCTTTTTCTCCAACCAAAGCCGATCAATTAATTTTTGGCGCTTTTTTCGATTCCATCCTTCTCGTTAATATTTAAAACCAATTTTCTTTCCCTCGCTCGCCAAATGTGCGTCTGCGAGCAAGTTTGCAAGCTGGGCTGCATAGCAGGATAATATTTTCTTTTGAAGATGACGACGGCGTAAATATTTCAGCCGTGCAGTCCTCGGGGAATGCGCGTAGGACACGTTGTTAAAATTTCAGTCTGCCAACTTGGAGATGCATGTGTTGTACTTTTGCAGGCGAAATTTTTGCCTCGCACGCACACTGCACGGAGGAAGTTGATTCAACTTTTCATATCACGGAGCCTGTGCTCCTTCAAAGTTTGAGTCTTTCGGCAGTTCATAATGTAAGCCGTGCGTTGAACCGACACATAATTTAAGAAAAAAAAGAGCGAATCAGTTAAAAAGGCAGTTTCTCATGCGTGAAAGGAAATTATTTCTGCTCTTGCACTAACCCCTCTGTGGGATCATGTGCGCGAATGATTTTGGACTTATATCTATTTCTCCTCGTCGATAATTTATTTTCTTCCTTCTCGGCGCACCGCAGATGTATTGATTTGAGCGTCGAGCCAAAATACAGTCAAATTTCCATCAAAGGGAGAGTAGTGAATGGGGTAGCTCCGCGTCTGACTGACTGATTGTGTGCCAAACTCTGCAGATAAACTCAACTTTTCACCTCGCCTCTAATCCAGACCCGACGTGCGAAGCACAAGATTAATCGCGCTAATTTAGTGGAGTTTGCAAGTTTACAAGCAAACATCGGTAGATTTATTAAGCTTGTAAAGCGCACGCACGTCGAAATCCCCACCTTTTGCTTTTATTTCTATCCAACAAAACAATTTTATCAAAGAACTCTTAATTGAAAATAATAATAATTAAATCTACACATGATTTTATTGCAGTTTAATAATGTAAAAATTTGAAGCAGAAATTTAATGTTATGTTGTGTGTTCTGTTGCAGACTTTCCGCCATGGATTCCCCTTTCAGCCGACGGCGGTGGCTTTCGACCCAATCCAGCATTTGCTGGCCCTCGGCACTAAGTCAGGATCCCTTCGGCTGTATCCTTTTTGTAAAAACCAAAAACAACAACCTAGCCACGCACATTTTATCCCTGGCTTCCGGCGCCAGTAGCAGAAGGGAATGAATAATGATGTCGATAAAACTGCTGCAAACTTTTACGCTTTGAAAAATGATGCCCCAAACTTTTGACTTCTGAATCAAAGCAGAGCCGCGTTTTTATTATTTAATGTGATTTTTTTAATTCGTCCGTAATTCTAAATAAAATAACATTCCAAGCGGGAGTTATCCTTAATTAAACGGTGCAGGCTGGGTCGGCCAGGAGTGGACTCGCACATGCAGCACGAGACAGACGCAGCGGTCATCCAGATCCAGTTCCTAACGAATGAAGGTGCTCTGGTCACCGCCACCGCAGACGACTCCATCCACCTCTGGAACTTCCGCCAAAAGAAGCCCGAGGTGGTGCACAGTCTGAAATTCCAGAGGGAAAAGTGAGTAGCAGTGTACTCTTAAAATCGATACTTCATTTTGGTAGGTCGGCCGGACGGCCACCGCACTTTGCATTTCGTTGCCGCCTCGAAAACAAACAAAAAGTTTTTATTAAGCTGCCAAGCACAAAGTGGGCCAAAACCCTCTTGGCAGAAATTTTGTTCGGATATCTTTCCTCGAAGAGCGCAGTTGTGATCATTTTGCAAAATTACTCCAGCGGAGAACTTTCTTCTTGTATTGAATGTCAAGCCATTCTTATCAGAGCACAAGCAGAAACTCTAAACAAGAGGAGAAACCGCGAAAACAATGACTGGAGCTGGGAGAGGGCAGATCGCTGATAAGGCAGTGAAATTAGCAGGGGCGCGTGCTAATTATCTCGGGGGCGCCTTTGCGTTCGGAGTTAGTTCGCGCTCGGGTTGTTTCATTATAAAAGAGAGTTGGTCCATCTTTAATTTGAGGCTGTCGTTTAATCACAAGGCAGCGCGTGCGCTCTCACCCGTAGTTTTGTCTTGCGGCCGCAGATTGAAAAGCGGCTGAATAGAATCGGCTCCTCTATATCCATCCGGCCACCCCGTGCATACACCCCTCTTTCATTTATGTATGAAGACGACCCAAATACCCTGACTCACTCGGCTCAGGGTCACCGACAACTCTCATCTCCAATTCCATCATCGACCAGACGGGGCCGAAAACAAGCCGCATTCTCTTTGCTCGCCTATTTTGCACTTCCACTTTGCTCATATAGCACGGGCTGGATATGCCTGGCAACGGGTGCCAAGCGCGCTCACTGCATTCACTCTCGCCGTCGATATCTGCCCCAGTCATGGTTTTGTTTCCTTTACTTAACCATGTCAGAACTGATTCTGCTTTTAACTGGCATGCATGCATGTCGTGCAATGCCCTCAAAGGCTATCACATATTATGCCTATTTAAAAAGATAAAAATTCACCTTGATGTGATAACTTGAAACTTTAAAGTATTGCAAAGTAAAAATATTTATGTATTCCTTCACCCGTAATTTTAAATTTTAATAAACTTCAATTACCATCTAGGCTGGTGTATTGATAATTTTATTTTTATTTACGTTGCTTTTTAATATTTCTCACAGATTACTGAAAATTTGGGAGTTTTCTCGCTTAAATTATGCCATGAATAAATTTAATTAATAAATTATATTGAAAAATTAAAAAGTTTAAGCTTTTCGTTTACCATTCTCACAATATTTATTCCCAACTGCGAATAATTTACATCTATCTTTTTCAATCTTTATATCCCCAAGCAAAAGTACTTTATCTTCGTGGTACAGATTGTTTGTTTGCAAAAAGATAAACTCTCTTTTTCTATTTCATTCTTTCATTGTGACAGTTTTTTGCGTGAATGCTTTTTGTATTTTGCTCATTTACATGATTTTTCTTTATTTTTTTTTCAGGATAACATTCATACACTTGCCGCTGCAAAGCAAATGGCTCTACGTGGGCACCGATAAAGGAAACATCCATGTAGTCAACATTGAGAATTTTCAACTCTCTGGCTATGTGATTAACTGGAACAAAGCAATAGACCCGTAAGTCAAACTATGATTGAAATAAAATATAATCTTCAAATTTCATATACAATTTTCAAAATTATGAAAGTGTATTTTGAGACAATTACCTTTTTGAAATATTAGTTTTTAAACATATTAAATTTCCGCAGCACCCGAAAGACGCACCCTGGCCCCGTTGTGCACCTTAGCGACAACCCTGCCGACTCTTCAAAGCTTTTGATCGGATTTGCCAGTGGTCAATTGGTGGTGTGGGACTTGAAATCTCGAGTTGCTGAAATGAGGTGGCAGGCTTCTGAAGGCCTTCTGAGCGTTGCCTGGCACCACGAAGGGAAGCAGTTTGTTTGCTCTCACTCCGACGGTTCCCTTTCCACTTGGCAGGCCAGACAACAGACGTTCAAACCATTGTCGATTTCAACGCCGCATGGTAAAGGATCAGCATTTAAATTTTTTTCCGTCGTAATTAATAAATTTTTACTTTGTTTTATTTACAGCGAAGCCAAATAAAGAAGGTAAAATGGATCCCTGTAAGCCCATCCAGAAGGTTGAGTGGAAAAGCCTTCGTGCTACTGGGTACTGAAATAGTTTTTTACCACTTGGTTCTCTATGATTTATTGTCACTTTTACAACTTTCAGTGAGGCCTATTTGATATTTAGTGGTGGTTTGCCTCATGACACTGCAGGTAGAGCACCTAGTATTACAGTTATTCATGGCAAGACGACTACAGTTCTCGAAATGGAACACAATGTTGTCGATTTCATTACTCTTTGCGAAAGTCCTTGGGTTAGTGGTGAGTATTTTTGAATTGATCATTTGTGTGGAGACTCATTTTGAAAAAACATTTTTAGACTTTCAAGACCCATACGCTATTGTAGTTCTTCTACAGAATGACTTAGTGGTCATTGACCTGCTAACCCCTGGGTTTCCTTGCTTCGAAAACCCTTACCCTATGGACATTCATGAGAGTCCAGTGACCTGCTGCACATATTTTGCCGATTGCCCGTCAGATCTGATACCGGCCTTTTACTCTGTCGGCTCAAGAGCCCAAAAGAGGACTGGCTTCAGTGAGCGCGAGTGGCCAGTAGACGGAGGAGAGTGGAATCCCACGCCATGCAGTTACAATGAAATAATAATCACAGGGTCAGTACTTGACAGTCATGCAAGGGTATATTAAATCATTCCAATTATTTACAGGCATGCTGACGGAAGCATCAAATTTTGGGATGCGTCGGCAGGAACCCTGCAGGTCCTGTACAAAATGAAAACGGCAAAGGTGTTTGAAAAGCCTCGCACAAAAAGCACGGAGTGCTCAGGCATGGAGGAAGACCCTTTTGCCGTTCATTTAATTTCACTGTGCCCAGAGTCGAGAAAATTGTGCATAGCTGGAGCAAGTAGCCATGTAATAATTTTTAAATTTCGAAAGCAAGAAGCCACGACAGAGACCTGGGTAGGTTTTTAGTTTGCTGTAATTGTAATAGATTCTAAAGTTCATTATTTTTTTCCTTTTTTTTTAATTAGAAATTGGAAATTCCCGTCAACTATGAACATTTGGAAGAAGGAGGTGAATACTCGCCAGACTATGAGTATCCTCCGCGGCAAAACATAAAAGCAGATTCTGGTGAATCGAGAGTAAGTTTTTTAATATCATTTGAGCTATGTAAAGCTAAAAATCGTGATCAGGAAATCGGTCCACTTCGAGTTAGGACCGGCATGCAGAAAAAGCCTCCTGGCTTTCAAGCATACCTAGTTTGCATCTCTATTGGGCTTCATGGGGAACCATCAAGTCAGATCACTGCGCTTGGCATTAACTCATCATACAGATTGTAAGTGTAGCTTGCAATGCTAAAGAACCTGCTTAAGAGTCACGCTTTTGAATGTCTTTAGGGTTGCTTATGGAACAGAATGCAGCATTGTGGTAGTGGACACTGAGCAGAGGGTTTGTGTTCTCAACATGATGACTCCCGATCTGTATGGTTCAGCCGATCCATACCAGCGTGTGCCCCGCTCGCCAAAAAGGTTAAATGAGACCAATAATGAGGATCGATGCCGATCACCAACATCTGACCAGGTATGAAGCACCTTTTAGGCCCTCAAGCCCTCACGCAGACGTTTCTGTTGGTGACGCACATGTGTCTGTGTGTCTCGCAGGGATAGCAGTGAAATTAAGGGATGATTTTTATTTTTTACTTTTTTTTCTCTTAAATTTTAGTTTTTATTTTTGTTGATTTTGGCGGATAGGCCAGTTTAGAGGAGGTAATCGCCAAGGAAGACCAGCAGCAGGAGAAAAATCGAAGACACTCGGTTCCGTGGCGCAAGAAGAAGTTTAGTTTCCGAAAGCTCCGGCTGTCCAGTGTGAAGGCACCAAACAAGGAAATGCTCGATTTTGAGCAGCCGCAGTCTTCTGAATTGATAACAGAGCATCCGTCTCCGATTCCAGACGCAGAAGAGTCTGTTCCTGAGGAAGCCGAAGAAGCTCAAGAAGAAGAGTCGCCATTGGACGAAGAGGGCGAAGCAGAATCGCCTCCTCCCGTGGCGCCTCCTAGGTTAAAAAGGAAGGTGACTCTGCAGCGCCCGGACAGTTTACCTCTGGATATCACTTCAGATAACCTGAGCAAAACTATGCCTTCACTTGGAACACCGATCATGAAGGTAGTCGACCTGCGCCGTGAAGAGGAAGAGTCTAGCTGGGAAGCCGTTGGCCGAGTGATTAAGAAATTGAGTAAGCTCACCCCAATTTGACAAAAAAAAAGAACTAACTCTGGTGTTGGACTTCTGTGGCAGCCTTTCTCTAACTGGCTTTCGTTTTCTGTTTCTGTTCAGTGTTTTTCCCCTTTCGCACCATAATCATTCAGTCAGCCCCTTTTGCGCCCGCGGGCACTGCTGGCCTACTGCCAAACTCACATAATAATGACAAGCGCAATTACGGCTTTTCTTTTGTGGCTTTTAGTCTGATGAAAGTTTAGGTATGTTGACATTATTCATGCACTTTTTGCATCTCGTCTTTAATGTGATCTCGTGATCTCCCCAATTACATAAAAATCGATACATGTTTTAGCGACAGTAGAAATGCACCAAAACAGTGTGCACTGTCACGAGCATTTGGAAAAGCGAGTATTGCGCCTGTAAATGAAACAAAAAAATTCAAATCACAAACTTTGACAGCTATAATTTGTCTCGTCTTAACTAACTGTTTATCATTAGAGGCAAACGCAACTCTCTCGAAAAGAGTCGCGGAAGACTCAAGTTTTTGAGCAGACGCTGGCGGTGAGATGAGGTTGGCAGGGCTGGCGGAAGCCTCAGGCTCTCTTTCGTCAGGTGCGCAAGAGTAATCGTGTGCTGTTCAAGGATCTCACCAATGACGACAATGACAACTGCCTGAAATACTTGTTCCGCATTCGCATATTCGGTAAAAATTAGTAGCGTCAGCAGGCAGGTTTCGCAACCACCGTCGCGCGTAGGCTGCTGGTCGCTTGTTTTTTTAATTCTTTTGAGTTTATAGTTTCACTCTTTAATTTGGTTGGATCATCTCCATCATTTCATTTGCTACTCTCACATATATATAAAAATCCCTTAATTTCCTGATGAAATAAATAGCGCTTGTCCCATAAAAATCCTGAACCCAGTGGCCAACTAGAGAAGCACTAACCCGTTGCTTTCATGTGTGTCCTGCTGCTTCCCATCACCAGGTGAATGGTGTGTGCGTGTCTCCCACCACAGCCAAAGCGTCAGGCCAGGGTGCAGGCTCACCCCGCAAGCCAGGGCCCGTCAAGCGCTCACAATCTCAAGGTACTAGACGACTCCAGAAATGTTTCAGTACTGCCTCTTACTCGGCCGAGGCGACTGTCGACGTACCCTCCCCGATCAATTCCCCAACAAAAAGCGCCACCTCCCTAGGTACGCCGACCCACCTGACGTTGTCGTCCGCGTTTCTGCGGGCACCAGAGCAGTCGTCGTCGTCGGCGTCGCCCAGTCCGGCCACTTCGCCGAGGGTGCCGCACCATGCCCTCAACAACAGCCGGCAATATTGCAGTTTTGGTACAGACCTCCACCCACTGTACACACCACTATGATCTCTATATATTTTCTATCAAGTCTCTATATATTTCTCTCTATAGTTGGCTGTCTCTCTCGGTCAGAAATGCAATATCCGATCTTTCGTTTTGTTTTTCGTTTTCCTATTGATACACATTGTTTTTTTCTTACAACTTTTATTTGTGATTGAATCGCGCGCAGTCAGTCAATCAGACTATCCAAGCCTCTTTTTTTCTCTCTCTAGCTCTCGATCGAGTCGTCTCTCTCGCATCCGCCATTGCATCTCTGATTTATTCACTCACACGTTTTTCGATGTTTGGTGGAGCCGAAATGGCTCACACACATATACACATTCTCAGCAGGCGCTAAGTAGAGACTGTATTTTTATTCTCCACGCTCCACACGTATACATGAGAGCGACGATTGTTGCTGAGTCATGGACAAGCGCAAAAATCAATTATTGACGGATAGTTTTGCTAAAGGAAGTCTCTACTTTTTGTCCTCTCTCTTTTAGACACCCAACTAATCAGAAATTCAATTCATCACCTGAGGCACATCTTTCATATTATCTAGAACTCTCGCTCACATTTTCTCAATAAATTGCAGATTTCTTTATTAATATTTGATTACTTGCCAGTCATTTGGGAAAATAAATAATGTATTTAACAAAGAAAACCTTGGCCGCTTTGAAAAAATATGAGCCGGAGTTAAACACAGTTATACAAAAGCACTCTGTGACGTCTTCCTTTGTGCCGTCCATTTCTTCGCCCACAGCACTTGAGATACGAATTGTCGATTGTGCTATGATTTCCATTGTTCATGCAGTAGTATTCATTTTCCATGGTTACTTTTCATTTATATCAAACACTTCAAATAAGCAGCGAGCATATCACACAATCACATTATAGAGCCACGTTCTATATAAAAAACACACACAATTTTACTCTGACACCACATACATAATATACACAAAAAAGGCCTGCATCCACACACACACACACATACCACACAGAACACAAAATATATTGATTGCATTCACCGAGCCCTGAGAAATTCTCAAAAAAATGAACCGGGTCCTCGGTGCGATCAGCCCCAAATCTCTCTGGCAAATGTTGCAGGAGTTGTTTTTTTACTATGTCTCTGTCCTGTAGATGAGATCTGTAGTTTAAGAATTAAATGGTGAAGGTCTTTCCAAAACTATTTCTCCTTCCGTGCGATTGCCAAATAGTGTGTGTGCGTGCCTAATCAACTCAGAGCGAGGGAGTTGGCGCAGTGGGAGACCAGAGGCCGCGCATCCACTTTTGGCGGTTGACCCTTTGTTGGGACTGCGCGTGAAATGTGGCAAAGTCCCGTGCTAATCTATTTTTCTACCTATCTCTCTTGTTCTCTTGCCACACTTCTATATACTTTTCTGCTCGGCATTATTCTCTCAAATCCAGCCACTTGGACGGCATGCAATGCGACCGCCCTGGCATGATGAACTGCTCCAGTCTTTCTCTCTTTATCTCTCGAAACTCTCTTCATTCAACCGACTCCCTTGAAACCTGTCCTTCTGTTTGCACCGCGTGCTCAAGCAAACGCCGCCACGCAACAGCCCTTTGTCAATGTCAGTGTTTGTCCTACCAAACACGTGTGCCCTGTCCTTTTCCACACGCGTTCTGCTGTGCACCCGCTGATTCCTGCGCGACAGATTTCTTATCTGTCGCCCTGCTGTTTTTAATTGTACATATACTATTGAAATGTATGTGGATCCCCGACCTCTGCACAGCAACATATGACCACGGACATTAATTTAAATACAAATCATTCACCACAAATTAAAAAACCACTTTTCAGTCCCATTTCTCCATGCGCCGCTCATTTTCTGATTATAAGTTGACCTCTCGATTGCGTGCTCTTAATGCTTTGGTAGCAGATCTCTCTCTTTTCCGCCTCCTCTATTTATCGCCCACCTCATTTTTTTTACCGATTTTTTCGTTCCGTTTCGCGTCCCAGCTTGCATGGCCTTTCAGCTCTCTGCTTTAATAACATAAACCTAGATGCTGCATTTTTATTTGTATGGAGTTTTTTTTGTCAAATAACGAAAATCTGTACACTCTTTTGCCCTAGACAACTATCGCAATAAGCCGACAGTCTTTATGCTTGCCAACTGCAAACCAAATATTATTCTGACGCCTCTCTTGTATATATAATATTCTTGACATTGCTAATTTTCTGCGCACTTACAAGATTTTTCACTTATTGCAATTGCACCGTGCGTGTCGTGTGTTTATTTTTCTATACATTCTTTTAGCTGAATTTGTTCACTTTTTGCACTTTTGTTTGTCGTTTATGTCGTTAAGCTCGGATTTGTTTCTGCCATAATATTTTCTTCAACTATTTAACCAAGCATTACTTTTATGCTTGTCTTTGTCGTGGAAATATTTTATTTATCAAATTAATTCAACACGCGAGTAAATAAATCACTTAGCCACATTTCAACCTGTTGGTTCGCGCGTTATTTGCCATTACAAAGAAACAGTGTTTCGTGCTTTCTTAAAGCTGTCGGTTCTAACGCCAATAACGTGTCATAAATAATATATTGTACAATGCAACCCAGGTAAAAACCACACTAATAAACAAACATGTTTTAATAATCTTTGATTAAATGCCTAGAATAGTGTAGTATAAAGCATTATATAAATTACAAATTGTTAAATATTTGTGAAAATATGTTAAATGCCTGGTTTCAGCTGTACTCGAGTATTTTTTTAGCCTTGTATAATATCTTAACTTCAGAGCCACGAACAAAATCCGAGCTGTGTTTTGAGCCCATCAAAGTGGCTTCTATTAATTTGTATATTTTCAACAAGTGTTTTTAACTCACTTACGTTCCTCCTTAGACAAACTGGACTCCTCGTTCTCGAGGTCTCGCAGCTCCTCAATGTCAAGTCTGGAAAACATCACTAATGAATCTGTGCAGTGTCTCGCCTTTGTCGACTCCTACACAAAGAAATCGGGTGAGTGAAAACGTTCCACACTCCTTGATAACAGTCTCTGACTTTGTTGCCGCTTCGTTGCAGATTCTTCTCCTTGCCCGACCTTGTGGGTAGGCACCAGCCTAGGCTCTGTTTTAACAGTGATGATAGCGCAACCCTCTTCAGTGGAGGCTCGTCTGACCACACCAGTGGTTCTGCAACCTTGCGGTGAGTAACTTTTTCCAAGATTTCCACAAAACGCAAACAAAACATTCACATTCAAATTTTTAAACGTTCCGTCAATAGATGTGAATACTTTTCTAAAATTCATCTCATTAAATTACCATCTCTGGATTGGATGAGAAGTTATATACATGCAAAACTATTTTTACAGGTACCATTTTCCGACTTAAAGGCACAATTTTGACAATGTCCTTTTTGGACTGCAACGGTGCGCTCATTCCCTATTCTTTTGAAACTTGGAAAGACGAGAAGCAGGACGCCGCCAAGGACCGCAGCAGTACGCTTGTTTCCTCTTGAGGCCTGGTGTTGCCCTTCCCCTTGTTGGTGCACCAGGCCCTCTTGTGTGCTCCTTTCTCTTTGCCTACTCGCCCCAGTAGATAACAGCATGCATCTCCTTCTTACTCTTTTTCCGCTCCAGAGTTCTGGCTTTTTGCTCAATCGCAGTTTTTATGTATTTTAGTCAAGTAATTAAGCATTTTATTATTTTGTGACAAGCCAGTCACTGAATTCATTCAACATAAATTGAATCATCCTTAGAAAATCAAAGTATGTCTAGTCCAGTAAGATTTTATGCTGTCTCATTATCAATCAGTTATTTCTGTAGAAGCTCATATATAATCATGTTGGGCTAAAGTCAGGACTCTGTTTACTGTGGGTGCTCTTTGGCAAAGACTGCAAATCCTATTCTAACCTTTTCATCTTGATCGTTTGCAACCTATCAATTTTACCACTGCAATGCTCTTTCTAGGATGGAAAGTGCTGCAAAACTACATAGGTAAACACATATTCACATCTTTTTCTAATCAATATACCAATAATTGAAATATACATAAGATAGTGGCAAAATCTGCGCTGATTTGGCCCCAAGGACACTCGCACCTCACACACTCTCTCTATCTCTCTCTTTCACCCTTTTAGTCTAAGTCTACTCCTCCAAAGTTATTCAGTTAGGTGCAGGATTTTGGTCGATGTCATTGATGCAAAACATCAAGCGTACAGGCTTTTATCTAAAACGCTCAATTTATTTATAAAAAAAATTAGTAGAATATTCTGCTTAAGTAAATTACGTAAATAATAGATCGTCGACCAGCTTCCTTTGTTTTGTAACTTGTTGCGAGTTTGATTTCGCCACTAAAACTGTGCCAATTTGGCTTTTCTGGCATCCCCTCATTAGAGACCTGTTCTGCAGAAGCCAGACCGAGCATCTCCCCTACGACGGTAGCTTCATCTTCGTCAGCTGCAGAGCAGTTTGGAGACCGGCAGTTTGCGGTGCTCGTTTCTGAAAAGCACGCCCGAGTGGTGGCTTTGCCCTCGCAGAATTGCGTGTACCGCCAGCAGCTGGCCGACACCAACTTCGTTGTCAAGGCGGAAATTATCTCCCTGAAAGGTAAGCGATTTTGGAGTTATTGAAGTACTTCCACTTTGCCCAGTAGCTCTAGCGCCTTTGAATCGTTAGTTATGCAACCTGTTTTTAATAGCAGTTGCGCGGGTTGCATAACAAAGTATCTTATTTAAATTATTTATTTAAAAAATATGAAATGAATTAAAAAATATTTGCAAATTTAAAGAAAAATGACTCATTGAATTTTTTTCAATTTATGCCTCTATAATTTAATATTTAGTGTTGGAAATATTAAAAAAAAAAAAAAAAAAAAAAAAACTTTTGATTCCTTTTCTCTACTAAAGCTTTTTCTATTTGTGTTTGCAGATAGTATATGCCTGGTTTGCTATTTGAGTAGCGGCCAGCTGTCCGCATACTCGCTGCCCAGTTTGCGACCTCTCATCTATTTGGACTTTTTGCCGCTGGCCGACCTAAGGTAAGTCGACATTTGGCAATAATCAAGCATGTTGCATGGCATTGAGCCAGGTTGCGCCTGGTTAAGCAGCAACACTCACTTCTGGCTTGGAAGTAGTCGTGACGTTCTCGATAGTGTCTCTATATTAACACAAAATTCAAAATTTTTCATTCTCTTGAACATTTTTAGTTCAATGCTCTCCAATATACGACCACCTAACACAATAACAAGAGTTTTCTTCCCTCTTATGCCAACATGTCTCACAACTTTTTTCCTAGCCAGGGATCGACTGAGTTTTTTTTTAACAATGCTTTTGATTTGATGATGAGAGTTTTTGTTTGAGATTTGCAATAATGTATATGTTCAAACTAGAACTTTTTACTTTTTTTAAATTTTGGTCTTTCTTCAGAGATATCAGAGTGGGTAGTTTTGTATTTATCTTATTTGAGCTTGAAGTTCATTATGAATTTTGTTATAAGAGTTGCCATCATCTCCTGGCTAACAAAACTTTTGTCAAGAGTTTGACTTCATACTGCGCCTGTGCTCTTGACACCATAATAACTGCTCTGTACACACACGTTTTATCAAGATGAGTGCAAACCTAGAGCAAGCAAATGCCGCGTGTGCATGGAGCATGATCTCTATATCTCCCTTGCATTAACAGTCCTAAAACAAATTAGCTTATAGGATCACACTGACGCAGTGGAAATGACAAAAACATATATTACCAAATATACAAAACTAAATTTTGGAACTGGCGAAAGTGAATGAGCAAAATCATGCAGCAAAATAAATAACAAAATTGCACAAAATTAAATATTTTATGCTGACTGAAAATAATAATTTTGCTTCATTTGTACAGATTGGTTTTATTTTGTCGGCAGACATAATTTTTCGCAGTACATTTTTTTGCGATTGCGGCTCTGTTTAAAGCTCTCTACTCGTGATTATTATAATTATAATTAGACACTGTTAAATGGTTTTCATTTTGACTATTTTCGTTTCATTTATCATATTAGACATCAAAGTTTGAAACATGCAGATACACCACGTGTTCTTTCTCTTCTCTGCTTGCACAGTTTTCAGACATCCAAACAAGGCATACAAGGCATAGTAGACCCAATGTTGTCTATTTGGGGCCAACAGATGTTTGTAAACGAAGACACAGATCAGTAAGTTGACACCTGAAACCACCAGCTACCAAATTTTTATCCAATTTTTACTGCAACCACTTTGGGACTGGCGATTTTTTTTAAAAATGTAATATTTTTATTTTTAAATATCAAAGTCTGCAAATTTTGTAAATTTTGCCTCTCAAAAAGTATTGCCGCAACAAGCATTTTATAATTTTTTCCTTCTGGATTAAAAAAATAATGTTGATTAAGCTTCATTCCAAACTGGTTGTGCTCTATACTATATATCTGGACGTATTATTCATAATCCGGATATATATCTGGACGTTTTCCAGAACCATACATTTACATATATCAGTTTACACATCAAACCTTTTTATATTATGTGTGTTTTTATATCACCCTGAAAACTCGTGAATTCCGTCACTGTGGGATTATATCATATATACAAGACCTTTTTAAGTCAACTTGAAAACCTAACAAAATATAATAGTTTGGTGTCATTTGAATGTTTTGTGATCTCTCTCAAACACAAATAAGCTATGCAAAACAAGAAAATGTGACAAATTGGTGTTGATGTGCACTGTCCCCTCCCTGTAAATGAGCCGCCTCTTCCATAGAGGGGAAAATAGCCCCCCAAGACTGCACAAACCCCACCGTGACTGCATATTAGCATGCTGCAATTGATCTTAAACGTGTGTGATTTTGATGTCGGGACTCACTCAACGTTTTGCACCGGTGGTTGAATGAAATCTATCCCAATTGCTAATTCCCATTTTAACTAGCCATTTAAACAAGTCAAGGGTCTCAGACATTTGCATTTTATAGCCTGTTTTAATTAATCAAAATTGTCCGGCTGTACATAACATTTCTATTAACCCTAGCCCAATTCCTTGATTTCCAAATTTTTTCGGCTTTATGTACTAAAATTTTTGTGATACATGCTCAAAGTGCTTTTTTATCTGCAATACTCCAATGTTTATTTTCCCTCCAACAACAATTTTTGCTATTCTCTTTGTTAAATTCAACCGGCAGGCAGGATGAGCTCATTTAAGTCTTGCCTCCTCTGTAAAGCAATGTGAATGTGGCCGCAAAATTCCAATTCACAACAATGAAATGCTATTACCACTTTATTTTTTTAAATCATAATGAAACAAGCTTTTCTTTTTGCGCGCATTTCAATGTTTTTGAAACCTATAATCGATGTTTCCCATAAAATGAAAATTTAAAAATCCCTAAGAAATCCTGTTTTTTTAAAGAGTGACTTTGCGTCGTCACCAATCGCTAATTCTAATACACTCATTGCAACTTGCAGGATAGCGCGCACCTTTTGCTTCAGCAATCGAGGGCATGGCCTTTACCTGTGTTCACCAACGGAGATGCAGAAATTCACTGTCTCTGCAGAATTTTGGTGAGTTTTCACATTTTGCTCAAATCGCACCTCAAATCTTGTTCTTATTTTCCAGTCAAAGTCTGAACGAGATGGTCGGTGAACTATTTCTCACCAGGGAAATGCCTGAGCCCCCAAAGGAGAGCTTCTTTAGAGGCCTGTTTGGGGGTGGCTCACGGCCTCTTGATCGTGAGGAATTATGTGAGTAGAGCCGATATTTTTATTTTATTTTTTTAATTTCAAGAATTGTGGCGTGATGCGTTTTTTGTGATTTGCAGTCGGTGAGTCGAGCGGAAAAGCGTCCCGTAGCGTGGCCAAGCACATTCCGGGCCCGACCCTTGAAGGGTTGAACCAACGGGCGACGTCCGCCTCATCGGAAGTGTCGAGAGCGCGCGATTTGTTTGTGGAGCGCGGTGAGAAGCTGGGCGTGTTGGAAGAGCGGGCCGAGCGAATGCGCAATGAGGCTGAGTCGTTCTCGACATCGGCGCACCAGCTAATGCTCAAGTACAAGGACAAGAAGTGGTACCAGCTGTGAGGCGCCACCATAGGCTGTTCATCGGGAGGGCTGGCTCTTTGTGATATACGGGCATTCGTTTTAATCTCGCGCGGTTAGCTTTAACCGGTGGCCCATTGCCCATGCCCAGTCCTGGCCTGCTTGCCCTGGCCCAACTGCAATCCGGTGCTTGACCACCTTTCAATTCTCCTCAGGCTGCTCTCTTTTTCACTTTAAATCTTGCCATTGTTCAAAAACCCCAAATATCCGGTGCATATCCGCGGGAAGGACATAATATAATGACTCGTTTTTGCTTTTTGACAAGCCTTGAAGTTTTTTATTGTCCTCGTTTTACTTTTAAATTTCCAAAATATCTCTGTCGCATTTTCTGTTATTTGTATGCGGCACTGACTTGTTACAAAAAATTCAGCGGTTGAGGGAAGCAGGTCTAGCTTTGCAGGCGATCAACTATTTTCTTAATCAGGGCTGCAGTAATAGGGGCTGAGGCTGGCCACCTGCCGAGGACTGCACCCGCTAGTCAGAATTCTCACCGTTTTAGTCGGACCTGTCTAGTCGTTGGTGTTTTGACCGCGCATCACGGCATGAGAGTCAATCCTACTTCTAAATTTTTTCACGTTACTGGGCACTGCTGATCCATTTATCTTCCATGCTTTATGTTATTTTATGGTAAAAATTAAGTTTTTAAACGAATTTATAAATAATAAGTGGTAGTGTGACTTATTTAATATATTTTAATTTAATGTTATCTGTTAGTTTCAATTTGTGCAATGTTATTTTTGTCTAGTGCTGGTACTTACAAATAAAAAGCAATATAAACCATTCCTTAATCATAATTATTATGTGTGGCAATGACATTGTATCGCCGCAATAAAGTAGTGTAATCTTATTGCTTTCAAAGCCTTGATTGGAAAGTTCTTTGACTCGCAACCCAGTAGCGTCAATTTCTCTAATGGATGATGCGACTAGGACATGTAACGTAGGATTGCCTCGTCTTAAGTGTGCGCGGTGCATTGTAAATAAAGAAGCCCTTTTGAATCATATAGCAGGAGTGAGAGGAAGTGCATAAAAATGCTTTAACTTACCGATTAGTCATTCATTTGAAGTTACATTCCAGATAGGTGAGATTTAAATAATGAAACTATTGAAAGTCTATGCACATTGTTACTGATTGCAACCGCATAAGATATAATTATTATTACGAGAATAGTAATACTATCCCTGTGTACATATTTTAACAAAAGCAAACTTACTTTTGTTCTGTGGACTCGGAAAAAAACGCAAGAGCTCGCCAGCCTGGGCTAATCCCATTATTATTGTATTTCACGGAGGCCGTGTGTGACTTGATATTTTTTTATTCTCATTACAACACATATCTAGCTCCTGTTACCAGAAATCACTCTCATCATATAGAGTTTCCTTAGCCGACCCATATAAGTACTCAATGGACGATTAATGTGCTAATTCATTTTTTCTGTCTCTGACTTGTGTTATTCAGAAAAATTGTAACCGTCAGAAAACGTTAAAGTCAAAAAGTTTTATTATATCCTTACCAAATTGAAATTAAGAACGGTAACTATAAAAATTACCTAACAGTCCATAACAAAGCTTTCAATACAAAATGAAAAATAGTAAAGTTTTCACACAATTCTGATAAAATTTGTTACAAACATGATTGCTAAAACGAATCGCCTTTACTAAAGTTGGCACTAACTTGGGTCGGCTTGTTTATTACTTGAATTGTATGAGCATAATTTTTACGTTGTCCTGTTTGCGCCCGTTCATCAGTGAAGGGAGGTTGATTCTTTGTTGCAATATTTTGAAAGAATGACTATATATCTTTAGATTCACTGCCAGTAATAAAAGTAAATAACCCAGTTGCTAAACGAGTGTACGAAGTCAAGAATGAAAAGAGACAAAAATTTACACAATATATAGGGGCAGTCGCATATCTGGAAGACTCACGCGTGAGGCGCAATTTATTGAACAAGCAAAAGTACATTAAAGTATAAAACTCTCACGAAAAACACAAACACTAACATATACGCAAAAATAATAGTAATTTTGAGCAAGCAAAAAAAAAAAAAAAATAACACGATAAAATTCCACCGTTTCATACACGTGTCTGCTGCCTGTATGAAAGTTGTTTACTGTGATAATCAACCGTGCGATATTCGAAAGTAGCGTGTAACTATTCAATTCAATCTATTAACAGAGCGTCAAGATAAATTGTTGAATTAACTAATAATTACATATTCTTGCGAAATATGTTGATGATAGTACGCAGCGTCTTATTGAGATGGGTCCTTCGACTACCAAATCACAAAAAAGGCTTTGCTAATTATAAAAAAATCCCGCCAGTACCAATTATTATATAACCTCGGCAAAGTTGCACAAGCAATTTTTAACATTTTATTTTTCGGCCAAACTATAAGTTTGATTTATGCACGTGCAAAGCCTGCGCACCACTTGAAACAATCAGAGGTTTGTGATTTGGTACTTGCGTCGGCATTCAATTGTGGGCCCCATCCGTTCGGCAATTCTTCCTCGTTCTCCATTAGTGTCCCTGGTGGTATTTTTAGAGACTCGCGAGCGCTCGCATTCACTGATATATTTTTTGTAATTGTTATACTTGTTTTACCAGAACAGTGCGCAGAGGTATTGTTCTTGCAATGAAAAAGAAAAATAGTTGAACACTGATATGTACTACGCTGAAAAACGAAAGAGAGAGAGAGAAAACAATTATTTATATTTGCAATTAGTGAGACGCGTGTGACAGAAATCGAAGAATATAAATAAATTTGCTGTGTAAAAGCACGTAGCTCTTGTGTCTCTTGTGTTGAGCCGCACAAACAATATTTTGACGGCCGAATTTGCGCGGTATTCATCCAACGCCTGATGGCCGCCCTCTCATCTGCTACTCAGTATATTGTACATAAATATTCTCCACTAAATGGCAGTGACTTTTAATTATTATTACAATTACTTACGCATACACTATTGTGATTATTGTTGTATCTCAGTCAGAATGCGTTGTTCCCTGTAAATGAGAAACAAAAAAATATTTATCTTTAGCTCTTGCGAAACGGCGATCGCTTAAATTTTCGCACTTTGATCTGCACACCCCGAGTGGTGCTGTTCGGGGGCGGCACGGATATGTCGCGGAATTGACGTGTCAATTGAATTCCAAGTCAATTTTACAGGTCCACTCTCCTCTCAATTGCAGTTACCCGCCGGAATTATAAAATGATAAATATATATAAATAAATATACCGCGTCGCGCATATATTTAATTTCAGCACGCCTTTTTTGATGGTGCTTTTGTGACTGAATTTTTTATCATCAGGGGGACCTACACACATTGAGATCAACTCAAATTGCTCTATCACACACACACACTACTTCTTAAAGAATAGTCCAAGCCGCCCCGGAAGACGCGAGAATATTAAATACACCGAAAAACTTTTGGCACGCGGTGTGCTGCGTTGAAAGTGCGAATGACGCGACCGTCTCCGTAAAAAAAGAGAGATGAATGTTTGGACCGACTCGGCCAGTATGCGAGGAAATACTCAAAGTATCAACTAACCTAACACGAGAGTTAAATATCGCATTTAAACCCACTTAAATAAGCATAGCTAACTAGACGGGAAGAGAGAAAATTGTACTAAAGGTACCGCAGAAAAGTGACAAAATTTATATAACAGTCCACCACTTACACACACAATGTGTCACACGTCGAAGAGAACAAAAAATAATGAACGTGCTAGGCTAAAAATACGGAGAAAAGTTAATTGCGAAAGAAAAGTATATTGCAGAAGGAAAGGATCTTTCGATTTGCAATCGAAAAAAGAAGAGGGAATAGCGCGCGTTATAATTTAATGGGTGATGAGTCAAGGATGGTGAAAATGAAAAAAGTATATGAACAGTACGAATATAAAAAAAAAATACACGAAACATACACTCACTCATTGTCGACGAGAGTTATCCACTGGATCATGTAACATAATAAATATTATATTGTGAAGTGCGCCTCTGCTGGCTGCGGGGGCCACGGGCCTGACCGAGGGCCCTGGGGGGCTCAACCCACCCCCAACAGAGGCACAACTATCTCTTGTGCAACACATGATGATCTGAACAACATGCAGTTTGAATTGTCTATTGATGCGATGATAAATTGTTATTGTATACTACAACAAAAAATTATGAAACAAAGAATAAAAATAAAATCTATATATTGTACTAGTAGAACACTCAACCGAAAATTAAACGAGTTTTATTTTCTTCCATCAAATTGGTTTTACGTCGCTGTACTTTTTTTTATTAGTATTTTAATATTAATCTAAAATATTTCAAATTTTTATGTATTTCCGAAAATGCAACAAATCATAGCAAATGAGAACTAAGGAACTTTCTTTGAAAATTAATTGAATAAATTTTTAAAATGTTAAAATACAGATTAAACCTTCTCTAATAACCTTTTTATTTACATATTATAATAAAAAAAAATCGTTTTGGTTTAATAAAAATTGACTTTTACTATGAATAATGATTTAATTTTTTTTTTAATTGTTATTAAATTGTTGTACAAAAAAGGGCAATAATTGCTTTTTTATTTTTAACGACTTGCTTAAAATTGCGACAACCTTAAAAGATTAATTTGCGATTATGATCGTAATGAGTAGTGATAAAGTAGAACGCGAATATATAAAAAAAATATACCAACTCTGTAGCTCTACATTATTTATTAAGCCTGGCAATTTATCCTTTATCCAAACCCCACCTGACCTGCGCTCCTCCCACTACTCGCAGCTGCGCGGAGCTGAGCCAGCGGTTGCTGGTGTTGATAAAGCTAAAAGCTATGTTGTGATAATTTGATGTTATCGTGGGAGTCGTGCTGACTGGGTTAGATTTTGGCGACTTGTGGCACTTTTCCAACACCTGCTACTAGGTAAATTTAGTGTTGTCTAGCACACGAATTTTATCAAATCCGTGGCGCAGATCATTTAGCGGGGACGCGGAAAGATGCCCACTCTTTTGACACCCGCGCGTTGACCGGTCGAGTCACAAAAACAAAGAATCCGGGATGATTGCTGCCAATTTTTCTGTACGCAGAATTATTGACTGCCCGCGCACATGGTTTGTTGTTTTTCAGGTTAATTTTTTGTAATTTATTAAAAAAAATTTCTTTTATCAGCTGAGACTTAAAATTCTTGTTCTCGTTTTCCATCAAGAGCAAAATTTTTCTGTCTCCATCTGGAATCTGGACTACATATATTAATTTTGCCTTAATCGAACAACAGCCGCTTGCACTTAAGATTGAAAGGACCTCTTGAATGCACTATTAAGTATTATAGATTAAGGTGTTAATCTAACAAAAAGCTTTTTAATGTGTTTTATCTAACTGATTGTAGACAGATGACTGGATGAATATAACACATAAATTAATTAAAAAACGTGCAGGATCAATGTGATTGGACAATAATTTGCAACATACACCTTCTACATAAAACGGATTGTCGAGTGGAACTAATTAAATCTCTATTTAATTTAAACAACCAGATTTAAAGCAGTAAGTAAAATAAAAAAATAATCCTATAATTTTTTTATTTTTCTCAAGTATTTTTTGTCAAGATTATATAATACATTCATTTGTTTAAATATTTCAGAAGTTTTGATTTTTATGATGTGACAAAAATATTAAAAAAAAATTGTAAATGTTCATCTGGTTTTGGTTAAAGACCAATTCTATTTATCCTACAATTTATCTGTCACAAATTCCAATTCGAACCTATTATATATATCATTATTTTAATTATTATTTTCAATAATACATTTTTTATTAATGGGCTTATTTTTAGATAAAAAAATGGTTGAACTGGACGCAGTGCTCTCTGAGCTTGGAGACTTTGGCCGTTACCAGGCCTTCACGTACTTGCTCATCTGCCTCCCCGTCTTCTTTTCTGCGGCAAACAGCTTGACCTACGTGTTCACAGCGGGAGTGCCTCCGTACAGGTGTTTTGTACCTGATTGTGATGCTGGAGAAAATTCTGAATTCTCGCAACCCTGGTTGTCCATGGCGATTCCGCCGCTAACGTCGGAAGGACCCTATCAGCCTGCGCAATGCTCCCGATTTGTCCGAAACGGGTCGGGGTGCGTTTCTGGTGCCTTCGACACAAATCAAGTGGAAAATTGTGACAAATGGGTCTTTTACCCTGGAGAAAAGACTATTGTTAACGAGGTTTGTAGTCGAAACCCTCAAACTAAAAATATAAATAATAATAACTAAATTTTGTTCTAATTTTCAGTGGGGAATAACATGCTTAGACAATCAATGGAAGCTCTCTCTTGTTGGCACGCTGCATTTTGCAGGTATTCTCATTGGAAGTCTCCTGTGCGGATACCTGGCAGATAGGTAATGCTTTTTACAGTTTTGAGATTAAAATTTAAAGATTTATGTACAATTTATAGATTTGGTCGCAAACTAGTTTTAGTCGGATCATTGGTGCTGATGTCTGTAACAGGTGTGTTACAAGCCGTGGCGCCGTCGTACCTTGTATTTCAGTTTTTCGTGCTGCTCAATGCAGTCGGAACTTCTGGTGTTTATCCCCTGGCATTCATTCTCGGGGTGGAACTTGTTGGGCCAAGCAAGAGGGAAATGTCCTCGATGGTCATCAACTATTTCTACGCAGTTGGCGAAGCAAGCGTAGGCCTCTTCGCTTGGCTCTTTGACGACTGGCAAAGTTTGCAACTGATCGTTTCCGTTCCACCTATATTCTTTATCGCATATTACTGGTAGTTTTTTTTTTTAATAATTTTTCACGTGTAATTTAATCATAAATTTAATAGGGCTGTTCCTGAATCTGTGCGGTGGTTGCTGACGCAGAAGAAAAATGTGAAAGCAAAGAAAATAGTGCAGAAAGTTGCGCGGGCAAATGGAGTACATCTCTCGCAAGAAATTTTGAGCACTTTTGATGAAGGATCTGATTCAGACTCTGAAGAGCAGAAGATTCACACCCAAGGTATTCTGCAGTCGGCCAGAGCATTGCTGCGCTCAAAGCGCCTTGTTCTCCGCTCACTTTACCTTTTCTTCATTTGGTAATTATCAATTTAATGCCGTTAAAATTTATTCCAATTTAACATTCGTTTAAAAAAAAAAATCAGGGCAGCAAATGCATTTGTGTTTTACGGTCTCTCTGTGAACTCGACAAGTCTTGGCGGAGACAAGTACCTAAATTTCTCCATGGTCTGTTTGGCTGAAATCCCTGGGTATTCTTTGGCATGGCTGTGCCTACATAAGGGTCGTCGACCGTCACTCTGTGGATCGATGCTTCTGTGTGCAGTGACCTGCTTGGCGGCAGCTTTCATTCCTCAAGACAGCCACACAGGCATTCTCATTCTTTTTCTCATTGGAAAGGTAATTTTGTGCAAAAAAAAAATGAATTTTTAATTGTATCAATTACTCTCAAGGTTGGAATTACGGCCAGTTTCGGAATTATTTACGTTTACACGGCTGAGTTGTACCCAACAACAATGAGGTCAGCATCAGTAGGGGCTTGTTCGATGATGGCCCGATTTGGAGCTATGGTCGCACCTTTTGCACCATTGCTGTCTATTTACTCGGCGCCCCTGCCTTTGCTGTTATTTGGATCTGTGTCTTTTGTGGCATCTTTGCTCAGCTTGCTGCTGCCAGAAACGGTGGGAACAGTTCTACCCGATAGTGTGAACCAGGCCGAAGCGCTTTGTGACAAGGATCAAGCATAGAACAGTATTTTTAAAGATAGAATTGAATTTTATACTATATATTTTTCATCGGCACACTGCCCGTCTTTGTATTTTAAATTTATTATTTTTGTTCACGATATGTAGTGATTTATATTTATTTTTAATTCCCATTTTATGTCAAATAAAACATACTTCTGGATGATGCAATTGTGATATCTTCATAATCCTGAAGTACCATGAAGAGCACAGAAAAAAAACATAATTATACTAGATTATTGTTTTTAATGGATGAGACAAGACGTAGAAAATTATCAACACGTTATACTATCAATTAATTAAGTTAAAAATATGAACATCAGCTTGAGGAGACTTTAAGGAATATGATATTTTTTTATAATTCTTCATGGTTTTCCTCCTGAAGTCTTGTCTTAGCAATTCTCTCTATGTCATCAATGCTCAAGCTGTTGATTGACTTGTTGAAGTCCTGGTAGAATTTATTTAACAAGAGAAACAGAAATAAAATTATGACAAATTACCTTCATGAATTCGTCCAGAACTTTCAGGGCCTTGTCCGGGGGCATGTGCTTCAACAGGAATGCAAGCATTGTGTCTCTGAGCCCAGGTTTGTCGGCTGTGTGACTATTCGAGTCGCAAACTCGGCGAATCAGATTGATTTTGCAACCTTCCTTGACGGAGTAATCACTCAGCTTTTTATCATCTACAAAATCAAGGAAATATTTTTTTAAAGAATTTTAATTATTTTTTTAAACAAATTATACCTTGCATGGGTTTCCCTAAAATGAGTAGTTTCTGTTCTGCTACAGGGACGCAGAGTTGTGGAGAAATCATGCGTTTCAGAGCAATTACACTGGTGTCGGGAGTGACCTGAAAAATACGCAATTTAAAAATTTCCAGTCTTATGTTGTTTCAGACTATATATATTTAGAAAATTCTTACTTCTAAGGAACACTCCCGTCCTTGCAGCATTTTAATTGTGATCTTCATATTCACTGGTGATGGTAATATCCAGTGTGATCCACTGATAGATCAAAAATTAAAAATTTGATTTTGTCTTTGAAGTTTGAGCTGGTAGATTTGTTTTTGTTTATTTTTCCATCTGAGTGACCAGATTGGACCAGATGGTGGTGGCGGAGGACGGGATGAAGCGGTGGGGATTGCGGACCTCCTTGCTTATTTGAAAGTTCGAAGGCGCGAAAAGCACGCCTTTGATGATCTTGAGCAAAATTCTCCAATATTTTTTTTATTTATAAAACGTTATTACGTTTCAAATTTTAAATTCAATTCATAGAAATAAAGTCTGCTTGAAGAAATCGTGGACTACAATTTATTTGGCAGAGGATTAATTAATTACTGAATGGAATATATTATCATTATCAGCAATAATTCTCATCTGTCAAAAATTACAATAAATTATATTTAAAAAAAAAATATTGAAAAATATAGAACAATGAATCGTTTTCTTTAAAGTCACAATGTAAGATCAGATTTAACATTTAAAAAAAAAATCAAAACCACGTTCAATATTATTTGTAAGACTAAAATATTGCAAAGTTGACTGAAAAGATTTCCAAAATTACTGAATAATAATATTCAACTCAATAAAAAACAAAATATTGCTAAAATATTTTCATGTTACTAGCGAAAATTTTCAAACTCGTTTTTAAAATAAATTTTGTAATATTTTTATTTCAAAGCGTATAATAAAAAATAAAAACCCTCGCAAAAGTTGAAATTTAGTCGTTTCTGACAAGACGGATCCATTCCTTGAATTGAATGTGAAATTTTTTATTAAATGTGCGTTATATTATATAAATAAAATAAAAATGAAAATATTTTTGTTGCAATGTTGCATAAAGTATTTTATTCTTTAGGAGTCTTTTACGTGGTTTTACTGTGCGAGAAAAACTTGACTTTAATAAAAAATAAACCCTTATAAACAACTTTACACTTAACATTATTACAACAACAAAAAGACACTACATTAATTACTAATTAGTTCAACAGAAAAACACATGTACACCGCACACCAACAACAATTCGAGGAATTAAAATATTTAGTTGCCAATACCGCAAGACAACCACTCCAGAAATTGAAAGACATCAACTAAACATTCAAAAATTACATAAACGAAAAACTAAAATTTGAGATAAAAGAAAACGCATTATACAATATAATTTAAAAATTATTTCTATGTTTTTATACAACCACCGCTTCGTTCTCCAGGCGACGATTTAGATTTATTTACTTAGCGGTTGGCCATAAAAAAGCGTGTTGGCGATAAGCGAGCAGAGTCAATAAAATAAGAAGCCAAGAATTTCGCACACGCTCTGCTGGGAGCAATACGGGTGACACCCGGATGACCCTGAACAAGGGACCAGGTCTGACCGGCCCTGACCCCTAGCTGCTCAGATAACGCCGCAAAAAGTGGAAACTCACGGTCATTGTTATGTCAAGCTATTGTTTTATTACGTTTGCGTAAGAAAATTTATAAAATTAGATTTTCTTATAAGATCAAAAAATAATAATAAAAAAATTGATCTGCTGATTTTTTTTCACAATTTGTTCAAAGTTCAAACAAATTCTATAATTTTTAGATTTTGAAAAACATGAAAGAATGAGAGGAAAATCCGGTTCTCTGATTCAGGGAAGTCGTTGGTCTCCCAGAGTGAGTTTCGTTATCGATTTTTTGAGTGCATTCTCTGGCTTTGCGTGCGTTCGCTCCCGACAGGAAAGGAAATTCGCTGCGAATGCTGAACCGCCGGCGCATATACAGGAGGCGAAAATATATGGAACGAAACTATAAACCGCACCGCCTCGGCTTCCACTATACTTGACGACGCCTGCGTGCACCACTGCTTGGGTTTTCTGCGTCCTCGTGGGTGCGTAAAAAACGACGAGGAGGCGAAGAGTCGAGTTCGAGGCGGCTGCAAGTGGCGTTCGTCGCGAGAGTGGAACCAGCGGTGAGCCGCTCGAGTTGGCGAACCCAAAGCGGCGCTGGTTTGTTTTTCGACTTTGAAGATTTTCCGCTAACTTCAAGTGGGAAAACGTGAGCCATGGACTCGGACCTCGACAACCTGATGGGCCATTTAGGTATGTGCAATGCAATTATTTCCCTGTTCGTCAACTGCATCAAAGATGCGTCCTTAATAATTAATCAATAATTACAATTTTTATTTATTTATCTCCTAGCAATTAAGCCATTCAAAAAAACTGTTTACTAATTCAACTTTCCAGATTAATATTTAGAAGGAAAAACTTTTTATCTTATTGCGATCGTATTAATAAATATTTTTTAATAATAATTTTAATTCAATATGTAATATTCTTTAAATTTGAATATAAGTCCAGATCTTGAGGTTTTGAGGCTACTCAATTAATTAAAAAGCTGAGAAAATCAAGAAAATGATGCAATAAGGAATATAATTTAAATAATTAATAAATCCCGTGCCATAAAAAGTGCTGATTGTATAAGTAAGTGCAAAGTTGCAAGTTGCAACAGTATTGTTTTTGTTGCACCGTTTTATTACTTGATAACACATTATCAAACATTTTATACTTTCGATTACATTTTGTACACAAAACCGCATAAAACAATAAACACTTAATGAGACCGACAAAACAAGCCTTAATCCTATTCTATTTAATTTTTTTAGGGTCAGGCCAAGACAAAAGTCTTGTCGGCCTGTGCCCTTCATTGCAGAAGGCATCACCCAATTTAATTTTTATTTTTGGGCTCAACTTAATTAAAAATCATCATTTTTTTTAATCTTGAGAGAAAATTATTCTGTTAGAATTTATTGCAAAAATTTTCTTCGGCGATTGAAGATTTAAAAGCCTAATTGATATGAGCAATTTATAATTTTGCCTAGTATTTTTTTTTCAATTGAATTCTTTCATCTGTATTATCCTGTTGTGTTTTAGCAGAAACTAATAACAAAGTTACCTGGAAATTATCTTAATTAAATTTCATCAGTTTTTTATAACTGGCAAAATTTAAATTATTACAAAAAATATCACTCTTGCATCTAAAATACTTCCCTGTTGCCTAATTTTAAGGCACCAAAATGCACGCACGGCCGAAAAAACATGCGTGTCTGACCATTCTATTTTTAATCCCCCAGTGGGCCACAATTTTGTTAAGCAACAACTAGAAGTGCGTGAATTTCCTACATAAGCTTTTATTGCTTTGCTTTCTCTCTCTTTGCAAGTGCGAAGTGCGAAAAAAATTATTTTTAAGTATTTTTTTAAGGAAATTTCCATTGTTTAATTACATACTCTTTGATGAAAAACAACAGTGTGTCATTGACTCATTCAATTTGATTAATGTAATCAAATGAAGTGACACTCGAACTGTCTCACCTTAAGTCTGGTAATCTTTTATTTAATTTTGCTCCTCTTACACAAGAAACCAAAGTGCAATCATTGTTTTGCTAAGCAACAACAAACTGCTAATTTTTTTTATCGCATAATATACCACACTATCTGTAATATCGCATTTTTTTTCTTGAATCAATCTTTCAAAATTTAAACCCAATTTTCCACGAGTATCACTTTAATAATTTTCTTCTTCATTATATACATACCTAATCTAAATTTTTATAACATCTTTTAACAGATTCAATTTATTTTTATTTTTAAATCGCAAGTCTTAGGCTCTGTTTTGTCTTACAACAAAAAACTGATAAACGATCAGTACTTTTGTTAGTCCAATGTGCAATTAGCCTCTTCTTATAAGACTTTGAAAGGCAATTCACCCATGCATAACAATTCGCTTCAGTTAATGTTGCTGCACTAAATGACGTGCGGCAGTGGGAAGCTTTTTATTTTTATATGCAGAGGACAAAATTCCAGTTGCGCGAGGTGTGATTGCAAAATTGAAGTGACAAGAACAACACCATGACGAAAGAGGAAAAGAAAAACGGCAAAGTCTGATGGAATCATAGAAAAAAATAAAGGCCAAAGGGTCATGATTGAAAATTCACTGTTGCTTTATCTCACGCACCACTGACACACATAATTTGCTATCAAACAATAGCATTTATATTGATTTTGATTATTCTCTTCGAACGTGTCACTGGAAACCCTAAAATATGTCAATATTATTATTAAAGTAAATTTATGGAACTTGTTCAAATCGCCCTTGAGGCAAAAACCACATGAGTAAAATGTTTCTACCAATTTGGCCTATTTCAACTTTTTCAAAAAGGCATTTAAAATAAATAATTTTATTACCAAAACTGCACTAATATTTTTTTTTTTACAATTTAACGTAAACTGAATTAAAAAAATTTCAGATTACAAATTTATCAAACGGATAAGATATGAAAATGACTGCAAATAATTCCTTTAATGAGAAGGATTAAAGAAGCATAAAATCTTCTAAAATATTTGAATTTTTATGCAGGTTTGAAAAAGTTTACGTCTTATCGATTGGCCATCTGTTGTGTCCCTCACTTGTGTGTTATGTTTACGTGCGCATTTGATGGGAAACCGTAGAAATGTCCTCTGCCGACCGTTGCTTTCCATGACTTCGATTGGGGAAAAAGTTATCTAACCATTCACTATAGCACGCTATCTACTGTATACAAGCAACCATCTTTGTGATAATGGTTTCGATCGGCCAAGGCATCAATAAAGATGTATACCCTTCATGACATAAAAAATCTACAATTCAATTTTGTGTGTTATTTTTGTTTCAAACATAACCAAGCCAAAAATAAAATTAAAATGTAATATTTTAGGAATATTACTTAAAACGGCTTCAAATCAATATTTCGTGCTAACAGTACAAAATATTTCCGATATTTCCATTCTCGAAACAGATATTAAATATTTATTTGATTAAGGTGGTTGGAAAATGTTATTCTAAACGGCTCTAGAACATCAATATGAGACTGACGTGTGCAATGTGCGTGTGTGAGATTGCACGCCGATCCAGTCCACGCTCCGCGCTCTATTTTTGTAAATATACAAAACTAAAATTAGCCAGCGCGTAGTAAATTATAGCACGTTGGAAGAAGATACAACATGCAAAATGTTTTTCTTTTCATCAATTTGAAATTAAACTTTTAATTAAGCTGTATACTTGCTTTTTTCAATAATTTTGAAAAGACCACAAATCCGAGTCCATTAAAAAAGTTAAAATTTTTAAAAGGCTGCACAATAAACTATTTCTTTTGCCTAAAGTTGGTGATCAAATTTTTATTGTATATTCAATTGTTTACCAAACCAGTGCAGCCCTGTCGCGTCTGCTATGATAAAGGTTTGTGTTTGCTCGTAAACAAGCGTCTACCGATGTATAATTAGTAAAGATGATTCAGATAACATTATTATACATATTTGAGATTATTATTATTATTAAATTATTATTTTTTATTTAAGTTGATTTAACTCGTTACAAATCTTTGTAACTTTTATTCGACAAAATTATTGCGTCTTTCATTAAATTTTATGGACTTTTTTTCTGAAAGTACTTTTATTGAATGTTACATTTTTTTACACAGCCCGTGTTTAATCGGAGGTGGAAATTTTGCACAAGATGTGCTATTCTTGTATTTCAAGCTTTGAGAGTCTGCAAAAGCCGGATTGAATGCTTGGATGCGCCCAAGAAACACTTCTTTGGCTCGCAATCCACAACAAGAAAATAACAACGCTTTCGTCATGCTCTTGAGGTTTAGAGCTGGTCTTACTGTAGTAAATATACTTACGAAATTCAAACGTGATAAAAAAAAACAGTTCAAGTTGGATGGTCATCTGTATAATTAATTTAATGACAAAATTAAAATAAAAAATGTGTTTTGTAGATATAATATCAGTTTTTCGATTTTCAATATTGATCATTTATTATATTCTTTCAAAAAAAATTATTCGCGACGCTCTGCGTCAAGAAATATATTTATAATGATCAGTAAAAATTCGACTTTCTTGAATTTAGCAATCTGTTTGTTGTACCCATGAAACTGAAACAGTGACGAAATTTACAAGATTTTAATTAGCAGCTCTAGAAATATCCCAGACACGTGATCGGTCCATGTCGAAAGAGCTGCAAAACACCTTCATTATTTCCATTTAGCAGATTTAAGCAAAATGCTTTCTCCTGTTTATGTGTTTGCACTTTGCACCATTTAAATTTGTATCTCATGGCCAAGAGATTAATAATTATACATTTGTAAACCATGATCTATATTATCTATTATGCATGCAGGGTGCAAATTTTTTAATTTCTGAAAATTTAGATGATCGGTAAAAAGAATTTCTTGAAAAATTTAACAAAAAAACTAATTAATTTAAAAAAATTGCAACTCTGTACTTAAAAAAACAAAAATGTTTCAATTTAATGAAAAACTGCAAATTGAACAATACAATAAAAGGGCATCTAAAACTGGCGTTTACCTAAATATAAATATGTATTTTTCATTTTTTTTTTTTCATATTTGTTGCAGGTGAATTTGGCCGTTATCAGATGCGGCAGTTCCTGCTGCACATTCTGGCTGGTGGCACTGCCGGTCTTCACATGTTGACCCTGGTGACAGTTGCTGCTGTACCTGACCACAGGTGCCTTTTGGAAAATTTGGAATCCTCATTAAACGCAACGTACGACAATCCCGACGCGAGCGATTTCATCCCCACAGATTCGGGCGCGCTGGACTCGTGTCACTACCTGAATAGTGATAATGCTTCTGTCCCCTGCAATGCGTGGGTGTTCGATAAACAATATCACGCTTCGTCTAGAGCCATAGAGGTAGTTTAATTTTTGTAATTTTTTAATAAGTTGAAAATTATTTCTCGGTAATTTGGGAAGGAGCTTTATTTTTAGAAATATATATTATTTTGTGTAATTTTTTAAGATTTCTTCAGGTAAAAAAAAGACAAATCTCCTTTTTTTAGTGGAATATGGTCTGCGACAACAGGTGGATGGCTGCTGTTGCTCAGTCTGCTTACATGTTTGGAGTGTTTACTGGCGCCGTTGTTCTTGGCAGCCTTGCTGACAAGTAAGGCTTATTTTTTTACTGATGTTTAATCATTAGAAACAAAGCATTTTTTATGTGCACTTTCAGGTGTAGTTTTAGCAATGAATGTCTAATATTTACTATAATTTACTTTGGTTCAGATACGGGAGGAAGACGATATTTTGTATATCAGCAGTTCTGCAACTTATATTTGGAGTCGGAGTAGCTTTCTGTCCCGATTTTTATTCTTTCCTCGTTGTGAGATTTATTTATGGAATCTTTGGATCGGCAGGAGCTTACATTACCGGCTTTGTACTTAGTGAGTGTTCCTTTTTTCCTGTTTTTTTTTTTCATTAAAATTTAACAGAAATAAAAACAAATTTAACTTTCAGCCATGGAGCTAGTCGGGCCATCGAAACGCACGATTTGTGGAATCTCTTTCCAAGCAGCGTTTGCAACTGGAGTGATGCTAGTTGCTGCATGGGGTGCTCTTATTTCCGACCGCCTGCTTTTGCAGGTCATCTATGGACTTCATTCTTTGCTTCTTATTCCCCATTACTGGTCGGTATTCCATTCAAAAAATAATAATAATTTAATAATTTTTAATTGCCAGGTTAATGGACGAGTCTCCGCGCTGGTTGTGGGCTCAGGGTAGGATCCATGAAGCAGTTTGCATTGTGGAGCGCGCCACAAAAATTAATGGACAACCCACACCAGACACAGCCTTTTTTGTCTCCAGAGGAATTTCTGGTCAAAGAACAAAAGAGGAAACTGCAGATGGATCTGGAAGTGCGGGGCTCATCGACCTGGTTCGCACACCAAGTCTGCGTGCAAAAACACTCAACTGCTGTCTCAACTGGTTTGCAAACAGTCTTGTCTACTACGGCCTGTCACTTAACACAGGAAAATTGCTGGGCAACCCCTTCCTCATGCTTTTCATTGTCGGACTTGTGGAGTGGCCCTCGTACATAGCAACCGTCCTGCTCATGGACAGGACGGGACGCAGGTCTTTGATCAGCTCTCTAATGCTGCTGGGCGGATTTGCATGTCTCCTTGCACTATACATTCCAGAAGGTAAGTCACAAGATTTAATGTGCACTATTTTTTTTTATGAAATTATGAAACTCCTCTTTATGTTGCATGCATATTTGACAAACCCAATCATACAGGTCCAGGTACAATTTTTTTTTTCTAATTTCAGTAATTTCTAATTAATTATTTTCTATTTAGGAGCATAAAGAACGTTATTAATTTAATGTATTTTTTTAGGAATGCTTGTGACAGTAATAGTTATGCTTGGAAAATTCTTCATTGCTGGCTCTTTTGCCATCATCTACAACTATACAGCAGAATTGTTTCCCACCGTCGTACGCAATACTGCTTTGGGAGTTGGAAGTATGTGTGCTCGTTTGAGCGGAGCCCTAACTCCATTGATTGGACTTTTGGTAAGAATAAAAGATATGAGATTAACAATTAAAAAAAAAAAAATCAATTGCAGGACTCGTTTGACAAAACTTTGCCTACTTTTATCTTTGCCTCGTTGGCGCTCATCTCTGGAGCCCTTGCTCTGTTATTACCGGAGACTCTTGGAAAACCCATGCCTCAGACCTTAGAAGAAGGTGAGCAGTTTGGAAAAGGAGACACGGCTTGTAGTAGCTGTTTCGGAAGAAAAAGGACTGCTTCTCTGGCAGAGCCAGAGCCAAGTTCACCCTCGATCGCCCTGAACACTGTCGACTGAATCAAGTGCCTTCACTTTTCTTGTCATTCATTCACATCAAAGATTGTAATAACTCGCTGTTAAAACAATAATACATTTTTGTTGTCCCACATAATTTTTGTAGTCGTTTTCTTACGAAAAGTTTTGAATATCATTTTAAGGTAATTTTGTATGAATTTTCGTGGCAATTTTTTCTGTCACTTGAAAAGTTAATCAGAGTTAAATTTTAATTTGTACACGAATTCGTTGGACTATTTTATGGAGATTAAGTGAAAGCCATTAATTTCATAACCGAGTTTTCAAACACCTTCTGTATTCACAGATTCAGTTCTTCGAAGAATACAAAACAAGTCAAATCAATTAACATTAGTGACTGGCTGTGATTGATTGTAATTACAGAAAAATCAAATCACCATCGAATCATGAGAGGAGTCAACGCCCTCCGAGAATGTTACCTTGTCCCCAGTCGTGGCCACGTGGCCCTTGTGGAGGGGGTGGTCGCTGGTTAAAATCAGCCCTTGGAGCTGCTGCTTGGCCACCAACGCCTCGGACAGTTCTGGTGTTGGGGAAGTACTGATAAAGGATGGCTGGTGTGTTCAGCAAGCTAGCCCCTCCGAAATCAATTGGGTAGGTGAATGACAGAAAGTAGTACAAGTGGCCCACAAGAATTCCAATCAACTCGAGGAATCCTCTGCAACGATTACAAGGAAAATTGTTTTAAATTAATAACAGATAAAATTTTTGAAAGAAATGATTATTACCCTCCGGATATGATCAGGTTGAAAGCAAAAAGAACCCAAGGAAGGTACATCGCTTTGAACTGAGTACCGAACCAAAAGTTCACAATTACATCTTTGTTGAGTTGGCACCAAATATACAGGACACTCAGCACCATTGGATCCATGAGAAGCTGCAGAATTAACAGTATAAAATTAACGATAAAAATAAGAATTGACATTCAAACTAACTGGAAGTTCAGCAATGAGTGCTATGATGACACAGGCAAGCCAGTTGAATATCAGCATGAAACAGTAATCTGCCGGGTGCCCCTCAAAGAACCCTGAAAATATTTATTAAAAAAATACAGTAATGTAGACAGATTGAATTTTTAAGGATATTCTATTTTTCTAAATTTTGAATGGCGATGCAACATACTAAAATAAATGTTTATTTATACCTGTTTCCAGTCTTAGAGAGTAGTTGTACAGGAAGTACAAGTTTATCAAGAAATGGAATCCAGTGGCTGGTGAGAGTGGGTAATAAAAAAGAGCGGTTGCAGGTCTCCATATCTGGAAAATTCAATTGAAATAATTTCAAAAATTCTTATGCAGAAAAATTTCGTATAATTAATTTTGAATGACACGAAACAAACCTGGAATTTGTGAACAAATGACTCGTAGTGGAGAAACAGCAACTGAGGACTCAGCAAACCAAATCGTCCCAACAATGTGAAGCCGACGGTGAGGGCCAACCACCACTTGGTGAAGCGGGGCAGACTCTTGAACCATTCGCCAAAGTCGGCCATTGCTTAGAACTAGCCAAAAACTAGGATGAGGCTCAAGTCTTGGGTCAAATTTGGCAAAAATACGTGGATTATTCCTATTCCTTTCAAATTTCTACCTTATTCCAATTTTGTTTGTTGTCATCGAACGTCGTCCAATCATCTGCTGAGATCTGCGTCATCATCCCCACTCTCTCTTGTCGACGCGACAACGCGCGCAACCAAACGCACTTTTTGAGACATCTCGATTCCAAGGAGCTTTGCTTCGCGCTTCGTAAAAAATCAGGGTCAGGGTTAGTTGGTTGACCTGAACTTCAGCGTTCAGCGGTACTCGATGGGTTAACCAATTGGTTTCCACGTAAGTTTTAAGTGTTCTATCAATATGTATTTTATTAATTAAATTGATTTTTCAGGATATAATTTTTTTCGATGAAGCGCACACGCTCGGCTCAACTAGCGCACCAACAACCTGTTGAGTGGCGCAGAGAGGTTGGAAGTGAAGGAGACCTGTCCGATACTGACGATGAATGGTGGAGCGATGACTCCAGTTGCAGCACTTGTTCTTCAGAAGATGAGAGGTGCATAGCATAAGAGATTTAGAGTCAAATAATTTTGAAATACAAATAATTACATCGAAACAGGTGGAAATTTGCTTCCGAAGCGATTTCAGGGGGCGAGCTTTTTTACATCGAGTGTCAGCCACAAAGTATGAACGTAGTTCAGAAAATGAAAAGTAAAACTCATCAGGAGAGCTCAAGAAGTTCTCTGGCTACATCTAAAGGTTGGAAGAGGGGTAAAAAATTTCTTTGCAAAATTAATATGAAATTTAATTTTTCTTAAATTTTAAGGTACTTTTGCAAAAATAATGAAGAAAAATCGCAAGAACAAAACTCTGAAAAATAGTGACGAGCAAGATGAAGTAGTGTCGAATCTTTCACAAAGTACAACAAATCTGAATTCAAATTTAGGAGAAATAATTGAAGTGAGATACTCGAAATTCGTCCCACTTTCTCTAAATAAATTATTTATTGGCAGGTGCGCTTAATTGTGGAGCCAAGGAGGACAAACCTTGGACGCAGAGCCACTTTATGTGAAATGATGCTAGGCATTATTCCAGGCAACCTCAAACAACCTAGTGATGACAACCGAATTATTGTAGCAGGATTTATACCTGACATGCCCGCGTCGATGAGTAAAAAAATGAAAATTGGTATTTTTAGACAATCTTTCTTCATTGAATTGATTTATTAGCTCAAATTAATCTCAAGGTGACTGGCTCCAGTGCATTGATGGGCAGCAGGTTTTTCACTCGGATATTGACAGTTTTCTTTTGAGAATCAGCCCCAATAGCACTGTAACTTTAAGGTTACGGAGAATAGAGGGTGGACCTAATTTGCACTCGGCGCCATACCTACTATCAAAAGTATGTTTCAATCAATCAGTGTCAATGAAGTTAGTTTATATTTTATGGAAAACAGGGTTTAGAAATAGACCATTTGTTGCAAATAATCTGCAAAGGGTCTGCAGCAGCGCGCAAAGGATCTTTGCTGATACTGGATAAGTCTGATAAAGTCGTTTACAATTATCCTCAAGGAGGAGATCTGATATCCAGGAAAGCAATTTTTATAACTCTGTGTAATTTCCTGGAAGATTTGTATTCGACTAAACCGCAGAGGTGACATGATCATTATTTTCTCATTTTATTTATTTTAATCAAATTCTTATTTTGACCTTATAAAGTACCCGTATGTCAATTGGTGGCCAACCCTACACGGTTCTGTACTTAAGTGATGAGAAATATATTATGGTTCTGGCTTTCCCTGCAAACAAGTGCGTATATTATACTTTATAATTAAAGCACAATAAGCACATTGTGATAAACCGTGTTTATAGAATAACTGAAGCACAGGCAATAGGATTTTTTAGCAAATTCGTAGAGGCTGTACATTTCACGTACAACTCATTCGTCAGGTATATATCAGGTTATATTACATTTTTATAGCGTTGCATAGAAAATATATTTTTCAGATGCGCAGCTGATTATAAGTTACGATTGAATATGTTGGTGGACTCGTTATTTAGTCACATGCTAGATACCGAGAGAAAATTGCCATTTCATACTCATTCAATGATGCTTCCCAGCAAAGTTCAAAGTGAAGTTGACAGCGCTTTGTCAACTTTGGAGGCAATTCCAACTGTTTCGAAAGTAATAAATATTCCCTTTTTTTTTGCGTCAGAGATTAAAGATTTTTTCTACAAATTTCAGACGTCGACTGACATGTTTTTCACACTCGGCAGCAGCTTGTTTTACAAGGTTTATTTTTCAGGATAAATATTCCTTTGAATTTTCTAATTTGTGATGGTTTTAGAATGTTTGTGTTAGAAATCATTTACCAGAAGATATGCTGAGCCCTTTGACGTGTTTGCTGTGGATTCACAATATTTTAGCTTTGGAGCAATTTGGTCTTCCTCTGCAACGATTGCTTGTTTGGAAAGAGGTTTTCCTGTCCGAGCAGCAAAATTCTCCAGATTCTTACGAAGAACCCCCAGGAAGATATTATATACTTTTACTCGGCCAAGTAACACATTATTTCAATTTTTAATAAAAAAAAGTTTGCTCCAATTAATTTGTTTTAGAACGAACTGATACTTGCAGTGTTGATTAAAACAAGCAATACAAATGAAAGGTTTGCATAGACTTATAAAAAGTTTAAGAAAAAAAATTAACCAATTATTTTTGACAGTGGCACAGAAATAATGAAACCTAGCATTGCTTTTATTGAGCAAGTACAGGATACACTAGATAACCTGCATTTGATGGGAATAACAAATATTCTCGACTTACTTTTGTAAGTTCTGTTACTGGTTGAAATCTGATCATAGTTATAACAACGATGGTTTCAGAGAGGACAAACAAGGTGAAAATTCTGAGAAAACTTCCATATCTGACCAGCATAGCAATTCCTCAGAGCAAAACTTTTCCCATAGAAGCAGCAGTGTAGAGGGTATTAAAAATTTTGCACAATTCAGAACAGCCCTTCAATAAATTGTTTCAGGCTACAAAAGATACTCTCCAAAGCCAAAGCGTAACAGCAGTCGTTTAAGTGTTAATTCGGAAGGGGAGAATTATAGCGAAACAAGCTCCGAGGCTAGTTGGAATAGCAGCGAAGTATTTTCTTATGGCAAGCTGAATAGATACAGATCTTTGAGCAGGTACTCCTTTTAATTTTTGTCCATTTATACATTAACACTTGATTCAAATTTTATTTCCAGACACTTGACAGAGCCCTTTGAGCGTAGTATCAATGTAATTTTGCTCATGTTTGGAAAGGAGAATCTTTTCCTGGCCAACAATTCCTTATTGGAGAGTCTTGACGTACAAGTCGACTCGATCAGACTTGCACTTGTGCAAAGTTTAGTGGACAAGAACAGCAAGAACGGGGTTATGGACGCAATTATTGATGCTGGTTTTGTGCTTGCTAGCAAAGGGAAAAAATCGGACGACTATAGCATTATAGCTTGGTAAATTACTTAATTTGTAGGAATTAAATATCCTAAAACAATCTCAATTTTCAGCAAAAAGTTGTCTCTTGACGGCAGCGCGAAGTTGCGTCTAGTGTTTATGTGGAGTGACGACATCGGAGTCAACTTTAATGAACTATCCAACAAATTAGCATTTCTATCTTTGTAATTATTAATTACTAATTTTATTGTAGCTCGATCGCAGGATGAAATCTTAATCATGTAAAATTGTGCTTGTAAAGTGAAAGTTTATTGAACAAATAAAAATTATTTTTAAACATGTTGAATTTTCCATGAAATCATGTTTTACGCAGTTACATAAATACTAAAACTTTTTAAAATAAGATTTAAAATTTTAGTATGTTCAAAAGAACCTAATTATTAAAGGTCTGGTCAATTAAACATATAGCACACTTACTTTTTAACGGAAGTGGGCCACGAGCGCACTGCTAGCGGCCTTAGTAGAATTGGTTGTTGCAGTCTTCTTCTTGGGGTCCTTTGGAAAAATGTTCCAAAGGCGAATGGTCTCATCTGCTCCAGCAGACAAAACCATTTGTCCATCAGGCGAGAGGCACAAAGTCAAAACCCTTTGGGTGTGCCCAGTAAGTTCAGCAATCTAAGTTTGAAACCAATCATATCGGACGTCTAAAAGTATAGTTAGTACCGAATTTTACCTTGTCCATTGTCGGGAACTTCCAGACGTTGATTTCATGATTAGAGTATCCATGTCCAGAGACAATTTCTTTGTACTCTGTCGACCAAAGCAGAGAGCATACTTGAGATTTTGTGTCGATGGCGCTTATGCTGGAGCCAGTTCTGATGTTCCAAAAACGTATGTGTCTGTCAGCAGTTCCACCACCTGAGGCTAAAACACCATTCTGCCACGGACACCAGGCCAGTGCCTTGACAGCTGCTTGGTGAGCACTACAATAGGTAAATATAAATTTTAAATATTCAGGCTTGTTATTTTTTTTTTTGTACTTGAATGTGTGAATTGGCGTTGCCTGCCCATGCATGTCTGACGGAGCCCTTGGCCAAATATGAAGCAAATTATCATTAGCCCCAGAGGCCAGAAAGTTTCCATCAGGTGACCACTTGAGCCCACACACTTCCTGAGAGTGAGCGTTGGATTCAGCAACTAAAAAGTTTGCCGCTCTGACATCATGGTGATGAATTGAACCTAGACGAGAACCACTGCTCAGAACAAACATGTTCCAAGATAGAGATCCAACGCGGCTGGTGTGACTCCACATTGTGCGCACCTTTAATGGGTTCAATTAGTGATGAAATTTCCAACCTCAAAGCTTTACTACCTGTTTGATCTGGTTGCAGTCCCAAAGCTGAACTGCGCCAGTGGAATTTCCCACGGCTAGAATTTGTCCTTCTTGAATCCAAGATACGGAACTCACAAACTCTTCTGCTCCTGTCAGCTCCATGAGTTGAGTAATCTGGCCAGTAGCTTCATTCCACAGGTAAACAGCATTTCGCAGGGCAACGGCCAAAATATTATGCTTTCCCCAATCAATCAAGTTCAAATCTAAAAATAATAATTTTTCTCTTGCCATTTTTATAATTTAAATACAAACAGTAATCATCCATGATGTCTGGAGCATCCAAAATTTTCTCTGGCATTGTAGGAATGACTCTTGTTGTTGATTTTATTTTGAGTGATGGAGTTCTGGCGCTGTCATAAATCATACGCATGCTGTTTCCACCCTGTATTTAGATTTTTTTTTTTAAATTTTTATTTTCATTTATGCAATGAAAATTAAACCAGTGACGTTGGTGCTTTCTGTCCAAACTGCATCACTTTTCTATTTGAAACGTCTCCTCCAAATAAATTCTCACTCATCACTTTTCTGTCTCTTTGAGATTGAGAGTTCGATTCATTTTCTTCGTCCTCATCTTTCTTAGATATCTGAAGAGCAGGTAAAACATATCATGTAAAATTTTTTAAAAATGTACAAATTATCCTACAAGGTAATTAGCTAAGTCGTAATCTGTGGCACTTCTGTTTGGTATGAATCGGTCCCCCCAAGTGGGTGTCTTGCTCTCTGCAGAAAAATCTAATAAAATTACTGTTTATGTCCGTTACTTAAATTGATCTTTTTGGATCTTTTACTTGAGGGTGATTTAGCTGCTCCTTTTGAAGGTGTTTTTCTGGTGTTTCCGTTGGCAGAATTAGTGCTCTTTCCAGGGGTCCTTGATCCTTTGGCAGATATTGAGCCGTTTAACGATTTGTTAAATGACTTGCTCAATGACTGTCCCAGGATAGACTGGTTCAAAAAAGAGCTGGACTTGTTTCCATTGCTCCTGAGGTAGAAATTATAGAAAATTAAAACAACGATCATAAAAATTTCGAAAAATTTTGCAGTCACTTACTGCTCCTTTGCAGGCCGCTGTTGGGATTTGCTTCGCCGTCGAATGGGTTCGTCCATTGATAGCACGCCAAACATATCATTCAAGCCGGATGGCATACTTGCAGAACTCGAAGATCCCAACATGATCCTGAACTATCCTGTGTAACAATATAATGTTGTAATTTTAAATTTAGAGAGCAATTATTAATTTATGTATCATGCTTCCGAAAATCAGAGACACTGCGCTCCATGAAATAAAATCTTTTCTCACCTTTGCACGCTGGAATGGCAGTTTATGTATGTATAATTATTATTTTGATCACCACATGCAGTTTTGAGAAAATTGATAAACACTCGATCAGTCAGGAATTCTTCGTGAATTCAATTCAAAATATTAACAACGAAATAATTTGTAAATGTTTGGAAAACAGACAGCAACGGTTGATTTTTTAATTCTGCGCACAGCCGGTCGGGCCAGTCGCGCGCCGGTCCTGACGATCCAATATCCAATCATCGCCGCCAACGTATTTACCAAGCATAAATAACAACATGAAATTTGTGAACTTGTACTCCTAAATTTTATCTTGAGGTCACTCCTCTGTCGCTTCTGTCTTCTAATGGGTGGGAGAACTAGTAGAGCCAATAAACGTGGAGAATCTGGCTTTTCCCCTTCATCGCTGAATTGCTTCCCCTCAATTCCTCCACTACGCACCTTCACCACCCACCACCACCACTGAAAAAAAAAGAAAAAAAAACGGACTACGAAGCAGTCGGCAGGATCACCAACACTACAGATATTACAACAACGGATACATTCTACATTGCGGACACCATACCTGAAAAAAATCTGGGAAACCAAGCGTTGTTTTCCGCTTTCGGCTCGCATTCATACATCATTTAGTGACGGGAAAGTAATGTAAAAATTACTTCCCACTGCAATTCGATCAAGGACGGAGTGCCCGGCAATAATATGTACTGTGCCGGCAATTGTTGGTCCGAGTGATGTTTTGGCAGCTCTGTCCTTGGATTCGTCCTTGAAGTCCGTCCATTGTTATTATCATCTTTTACGGGCCTCCTCTGAAGACTTCAGATGGTAAATTTGAATTTATTTTGTCAATCTGTTGAAATGAAAATCCGTTTTGGTGGTTGAAAGCATTTTTAATTTTCCGACCCACCTTTCTGACGTATGGCGGAACGAGAATATTAGGCGCAGCAGGGGGTCTCCAGCGAATGAACCTGTTGCTTGGTGCACGCGTTATTTATTATGTACAATATACACACACACAACTTGACTTGTGTATTGTAGAGAATCAGATACACAATTGGCACGGTTTTCCAGGACAAATATAATTATCAAATTGGTTTTCGACGAATAACTGTGAATCACTGATTCTTTTCTCAGAATATAATATTATTGTTGATTTTGTCACAACGTTTATTTAACGAACCGAAATAACTGGCATCAAGTCAAGTTCATAATGCAAGTGGGAGGCATCATAGTGTTTTTGAACCCACCAGGAATAAGAGGATTGTTGGTTATAGTCTCTCATTTTCTTCTCAAAATCTATTTTTTCACGATTTCTAAATAACACTACTTGTAATATTAATTTTTTTTAAATAAATAGTCCTAAATTTTTATAAAATCACATCAAAATGTAATTGATATTTATATATATATATTTTTTTTTTAAATTTTTAATCAATTTTTTTTTATCTTTGAAGTTTGGTTTTCTAATGAAATGTACATATTATTATTTCCATTTGAATTTATAGCCATAAAAATGGAGGAACTTCATGAGGGTGGAGGCTCTCTGGTGTCCGAGGAGCAGGAAGCCCCCAAAGACCTGAGTGTAAAAGCACGAAAGCTGAAGCCAGTTCCGCCTCCCCTTGACCTTCGCCTGGGCACTGGCACACCGACCGACACTTCTTACCGTCTCCAGTTACCTCCGCCGTCCCCTCTGAGTCCTAATGGACAGAAGTCTCTGCCCTTCCGCAAACGGGCTCACAGCCTGTCCGGCCAGGAAGCCGCGGTCTCACCTGCTCCGTACGCCCCGACCTCGGCAGGCATCAAAGAAGAGACCCACAGCCGCGGTCGTGGGCCTTTCAGTGTCGAGCGTCTCTTGGCGCCCCCGTCGGCCTTGCTGAGTCCGTCCTCCCTTGGCTCAAGCCAAGAGGAACTTTGCTCACCCCTTTGGCCGCCCCCGCTGCCACCAGGTCCCCGACCTGTATGGCACTGTTTCGGACCCGGGTCCAAGGTCAGGCTAGGCGCTTCGTGGCAAGCAGTCGAGGAACTGGGAGCGTCTTGGAGCCCAGACTGGCCATTGCAGGTATATATATTTTTTTTATAAATTTTTGGAAGTAATTACAGATTTATATAGATACTATTTAATTATTTATATAATTCAGAAAGCGTGGAAATATTTTCTTATTTTATTTACAACACTGTATCGGTAGATTTAGTTTTTTTTTTAAATTTTATTAAAAAAATGTTTGTCATCGATATTTTTTTTTATCAAACATATTTATAAAAAATATTAAATTTTTAACATCAAGAGCGTTTAGACGTGGCATTATTAGTAGCTTAAGTATTTTATTTTGTGTATTCGCCCCAATCTTAAAGTTAAACTTTTTTTTAAATTCCACTAAATTTATTTATTTATTTATTCTCTATTAAAATACAATATGAAATACACAACATCTTACATTTTATTTAAATGAGTCAGAAACCTCTGTAGTCATTGAGGACTCCCCTTTTTTTATAATTACAATGATAAAGCAGTGACAACTCACTACCTCATTGGTTTTCCTTTTAAATGGCTTTTTTGCTGTTTGAAATCAGGTCACACTGGTTTCCTTTTTTCCATTACTTTTTGTATACAGGGAAAATGTACAGTTGTGCCAAATTTTCTCTGTTCCTGCCGCAATAAATTGCAAACAGGATTTCCGTACTTTTTGATTCAGCAGCATTTTTCCATTTTTTTAGAGTCGTGATATTTCAATATACATGTACCTTTTTAAATTTTCAAAAATTATTATAAATTTCAAACCATTGAATATTAATTTTTTTCTTTAAAATTAAAAAAAAAAAATAATAAATAGTTAGCAAATTGTAATTACTGTACATAAAATCAAATTTTGTTAAAAACTGTTGATATCACTAAATTAAATTAATTATATTTAATTATCATCTTTTTATGAAGTAAAATGTTTATTGCCTTTTTTAGGCAAATCTGTTTTCTGTTTTAGAGAATCATATAGTTAATTATATCAATTATATTATAAAATAAATTTTTGTTGGACTATTATAAGCTGTATTAATTACAGTTTTTTTCTAGCATTTAATTTGCCTATTTTGTTACTGACAACAATAACGACATTATTTTTACAATCCCAGGTTGAAACCTTGCACTTGCTAGGGCAACGATTGCTTTTGCAAATGCATCATCCAGCTGAGATTCGACGCCCTTGGGAAGGTTGCATTGCAGCCGAGTGTGAGCTCGAACATCCTTTCCTCGTTCAAGACAAAGGTCCTTACTTCTAAACTTTCTCACATTACAAGATTTTTAATATTTTGTGTTTCCTCAGGCTGGTGTGCCGCCTATCCTGACTTAGCCTTGCAGAAATATGGACTTGTTTGCCAGCCCTTGGATAAGGGAGACATTTTGCTCGCACCTACCAAACTGCCAATGAACTCGCCTGATATTTGCGACAGATTTAAAAGGTAAGAAAATTTATTTTTAATGAGTTGCATAGTGCCTGGTGTTATTTGAATTCAATTTTCACATTTGATGCTATTGGTTTTTGTTACAGATTTTCGTTCACTACTGAGGAGCAGCAAATGGTTTTGTCTTCTGCGGCAAATCAAGGTGGTGTCATGAATGCATCGCCCGATGGCCTCTTGTCTCCGCCAGTGTCTCCTGTTAAGAAAGTGCTTGATCCTAACAGACCAAAACGGCCAATGAACGCATTTATGCTGTTTGCGAAAAAGCACAGACTTGAACTAATCCAGAAACACCCTGGGAAGGACAACAGGTAAAATATTTATCTTTCTTAAAGTCACCCCATAGTAGCAACAAATTTTGTTTTGCAAACAGAGCTATTAGTGTTTTGCTGGGCGAGTCGTGGCGCAGTCTTCCGCAAAATGAACGGGAAGTTTTTGTGCAAGAGGCCAGACTGCTTGCAACTGAACAGAAACGTTTGCACCCTGATTGCTGGAAGCGAAAGAGATCTCACTCAACCCCCAGCTAGATCTCATGACCAAAGATCTCGATTTGTCAGCCTCGCTCGACCAAAGACACCAATGAACCGCCTCAAGACGTCAATCCTCCTTCATTGTCTTGGTCTTTCGATTAAAATATATTGTTTTTTGGCACTGGTAAAATTTTATAATGCTGAAATTTCATGTTGAAAATGAATATTATGTTATTGGATAGTTTTATTGTTAGAGAAATTTTTACCGTCAACTTCTATATGAGATCGTTTATCTATATTTTCCTGATCATAATGCAATTTGCTTTTAACAAATTTTATCACTTTCATTGATCTGCACTTTGTATTAATTAAGCTGCAATACAACCTAAAACAGATTAATTACCCTGTTTTAAGTTACTGTTTTGAAGATTTTGGATTTAACGAACTATATAGACCACATATGTGTTGCTCTAATTGATAGTTATTCAGCAGACAGCTGAATTTAAAATCATGTTTCTTAGACGAAAATAGGAAATAGATTTTAGTTTTGACGTGATAAGATTTGAAATTATTGTCTTCCGACTTTGAAAAGTAAAGAAAAAAAATGTAATTTTCTTAAACACTTACAACCTTGTTAATATTGCAGATGCAGATTGGAGTAGCCAGTCAAGAGCTATATTATTAACAATTAGTGCAAATTAAAACACAGCTGACTTGACCTTGAGACAATAGAATGTGGCATTTGAGGACTGACTGTGATATGTGCCTCTCACTCAATACCAGATGGATCTTTATGGACGATCTCACCCAAAATCACTGAGCCTTGCAAGGCAGCTAAAATGACGTTACAGTCATCAAAATTATATTAGATATGCCACTTGGTCAAAATTCTGACCATTTGACTATTTTATTAACTTCGCGTGTAAAAAAAACCTTTTAGATACCAATGCACTCTGGAGAGTCTTGCAGCCCTATCCTAATGTGATCTCATTTTGCGCCTTGCTAAATGAGGTAATTTCTTTTGAATAGCAAACATCAGCCCTTCATTCAGCAGACACATTGTTAATTACTTGTATCTTGAATAGTTTCTTCAAATCGAACGCATTATTTGAGTTCAAATTCAACGTTAAGGTATATCTCATTAATGTTTGTCACCACGACATATAATTATAACTTTGGCTTATTTTATTGTTAGTGCTAATGCATTGAATGTAATGTTTTGGTATGTTTACTCAATTTCAAGCTGCATTAGCAGCAAATAGCAATTTTTACCAAATAAAACTGAATTGTATAAATAACTGCTTTTTTTATTCACGTTTATAACACTCCTCTCAAGCTACTAAGAACTTCTGATACAGTTTCTCGTGCTCCTCTTTTTCAAAATAAGGTACAAAATTGATGCCAACAATCTCATGAAATCCCTCTTGTATTTCTGGCTCTTGGTAATTTTTCCTATAAATAAAACGAGAAATGAATGACTTGAAAGGATATTTAGAAGTACAAAATTCTTAATGCACCCTAGATTAGTATTTCACGTTTCACGCGTTTGTTAATTCGGGCACAAGGAAACTTTTACAAATGCAAATTTAATTTTACTTACTCAAATTGTCTGATGATCATCTCACTAATTGTAGCGTGGCTCGAATCAATAAGCTCTCTGAACTATGATAATTTGGTCACTAGTGATCGTTATTTAATTATTATTCTTTATATACCCTATTATTGTGTCTTGAATGCTCTTTTGATGTGAGCATTTTGAAGCATCGACACTTAACTCCGACCTGCTTAGCTATTGCCATGAACCTTGCTCTTGACTTTTTATCAGGATTTGTGTTGTCTACAACAACACTGGATTTCTGTTCAAGAGCCTTGCGCACCTCTTGAACGCATCTTTGTGCAGATTTGAGCTGGTCCATATTGACATAAGTGTACCGAGTGAGGTGACGGCGTGCAAATGAGCTCTTCCCGGAGCCAGGACCTCCAACCAATATCACCAGCTCTTGCTCCGAGCTTGTCACTTGAGCAGATGCAGGCTCACATAATGGAACATCACTTTTCAATCTCAGTGGTTGAAAATCAGGAAGCTTAAAAGGTGCTGCTGATTTGCCCTGTTCATTGAAAAAAATAATAGATTTTTAACTTGTAAAAGGAATAATCCTTGTACTTGAAAATGTTCTTCTGGAGTGTAAAATTTTATGCCAATATTCATCGCAAACAGCCTGTCTGAGCAGGAAAAGTCCTTTTTCTTTTTAGTTGCCCATCCTTCGGGCCGACCAGCCGCATCTCCACAGTAAAGGCTTTCCAACAAGCTAATAGTTTTGCTGTGATTTTTCTACACAAATTCAAGTTATGGCTATCACTAATTTAAGTATAAATGCCAAAATTTTTCTTACTTTTTCTGCTAAATAATCCCACATACCCGTGAGGGGCTTTCTGTACACACTTGTTCCAGTGGATATGAAAGCCTGCATTGGCACACCTAATTTTCTGATGACACTTTCGATCTAATGAAAAATCAGATAGTGATAAGTAAATTTGTAAAATATTATACTTGAAATTATATTATTATAATTATAAATCCTTACTTTGTGTTGAAATTCAGATATAATTATCTTGCGACTTCCGATTCCAGCCTGATTAGAAAATAAAACCAGTTTGTAGCCCTCAGCATGCATTTTCTTCAGTTTCCCGGGAATTTCTGGTAGTAAAATTTGCCAATCATCCCTGTCTTTCGGATAAACTCGGCCTGATTTGGTGCCCACTATAGTCCAGTCCAAATCATAACCAGCAACTTTGTCTCCGTGTGAGCTATTGTGAGGTGTGAAAACCAGCATCTTGCCATGGTCTACACTCTCCCAATCACCTCTCAAGCCGCCGTCCATGAAAGCTTCAAGTTTTGCTTTTTTCGTTTTGCTGGGACTAACAATCTCTTCAGTTGCAAGTTCTTCGTTCACCTTTCTTTTATCAGTTGATGTACATTTCTCAGGAGGTGGATCAAAAACAATTCTATGCTTGTGCAGTCCCTCGAGAAGCTCAAGCGTATCTCCGTGACCAAGAGTTTGAGAGTCTCCTTTGAAAAGACAAACGCCTGATTCCAGACCACAAGGGTTTTCACCTAACTGCTTGACAAGAACAGTGGCCTGAGCATAGTTTGCCAGCAAACTCACTAAAAAAAATATATATAAATAATTTGTGATATGAAAACAAAATTTTAACTTCTATTTTTCTAAATTTTTTATACATAATATTTACCTTGATTTCTGGAGCATCTTGTGTTTTTTATTTTGGTTTCGACCGATCTGCCAATGGTTAACTCTTTGCAGTTAGGTAGTAAAATTGGATCGTGAGAATCTTCTACACATTGAATGAAGCATTTCCTTCTTATCATTTTTCTAATAAAAATAGATTGTGCACTGAAAGTATCCAAATGAATTCAAAAAAATTCGGAAAATACGCAATGCTTGTTGACGCAATGTTAATGTAGCAGTTTTCATCTGTGTGCTCTGCTTCTGCTCTGTTTGTTTTCTTTAAGAGAGGGGCGTGGCGCTGCACAAGTGTAGGGATTGTAGAACCATGGGATACGAAGAAAGGCGGAGCCCCCCCATTCCCGTAATGTTAAACTGGTACAATGTAATCAAATGGGAGCTGGTACCTAAGCCCCGCCCTTATTCGTATCCCAGAGTTCTACTATCCCTACACAAGTGCACACTCAACACGCGAGTGAATTCGAATTCAGATCGCGCCATATTCGAAATAATAATTTGTGAATTTTTGATGACTAAAAAAAAAAAATTAATAAAAATTGAACGTAGAGCAATTCCTAATATTTTTTAAATACTTTTGAAACTATTTATTTTCTTTCATTATTAAAAATTCCAAATGGGGGTTAAGGAGACATTCTGTAATATAAATTATAAATGATAATATCATAAATACAATTATATCCGTTTAAACATTGATTCACATTGATTAAATGTTGTTTGCGAAGAAAAATACTTGATATTATTAGACATTATATTGTTGGCAGAAAGCTGAAACTTTTATTTAAGAAAATTTGTGATTAATCATGAGGAATTTTTTTTAAGCAAAAGCAAATTTTGCAATTTGTTCAGTCGGTTAATAAAAAACTTTTAAGACTGTTTATTGTAACTACTATTATGCCTGCTCTAGGTAGGTTATAATAAAAGATTTTAATATATTTAGATTTTAAAATGCAAATTCGAGTGGAATGTTAATTTTGATTTTTAAATTAACAAGACTTTTAAAATGGTCCCCTTTATCAGTTGAAATAAGTGATATATAAATTGTATTAAAAGATCAAAGCCAAAAGTACTATAATAAGATATCACATTAACATCACTGTGCTTCTAACTGATCGGCCACTGCCTCTAAAACATTGAGCAGTGACTCTGTGCTGGGAACCCGCACTTGAGCCGCTGTTTCCACATCTCCAGACGTAGTTACTCTTATAGTAAAACCACTGCCTTGAAGGCTCTTGAAGGCATCTTCGTCAGTCGTATCATCTCCTGCGTAGATGACTGAGCATTCTTGAGGCCAGTTGGAACCAAACTCCTGTTCTAAAATTTTCAAACATGCGGCACCCTTGTGCCATTGCACAATTGGCCTGGCTTCAACTGCGCAATGAGCCAGTCCAACTTTAAGCCCCGAATTCTGGATGATCGATCTAGCCTCCATAGCAAAGTAATCGTGGAGCTCTGATGGTACCTCCCTAAAAATTATTACAACATAAACCAAATTCAGGTTGAAAGTTTAGACAGCACACCTGTAGTGAAAAGTGAGCTGCCCTCCTTTGTCCTCAATCCACGCACCGTCTCGGCAGAGCGTCTGCAATTCTTGAATGAGTGTTTTGATTGTTTCTGCGGATCCTTTGGGCAAAGGATGATCGTAGGTGCTGCCGTCTCGATGCATAATGTGCAGACCGTGGCCGCCTGCATATGCTAGTCCATCAATGCCTACCATTTGCCGGACATTGGTCAACGAGCGGCCAGAAATAATGGCAACTAGCGCTCGGGCAGACAGTTTCCGTAGCACCGCCACCGTGGCCTCCGGCAGGACTGCCAAGTCGGGGTGCGGCGCAATGGGTGCAAGGGTGCCATCATAGTCCAGCAGGATGGCTACCTGCTTCCGACCGGCTACAGCCTGCACAGCAGCATGCGCTGGGTTCATTTTTAAAGTAAATTATTAAACAGAGCAGTTGTTTGTAAAAAGGCAAGGGCAGCCAAGGTCGGGCCAGTGCGCAAGCGGCCACAAATAATGATGTCACGCACCCGGAGCATGATAGTCAGTAGATAAGTAATTTGCAACAGAAAGGTTTCATGAATGGCGGAATTCAAATTCAATTTAAATGAAAATAAATTTCAAAAAATTATTAAAATGGTTTCAAATGATTGAAAGTATTGTCAACTTCATCTAGTCTGGACACACAATTAGCCAAGATTTTATTATGTTTTTCGTTAATTCGTTAAACGATTAAATCTAACACAGACCATCCAAAATACTGAAGTGAGAGATGCGCTGCAGACCAAAACTTGCGGTGGGCCCGACAACTGATTCCGCCAAATTATACATTCTATCATGGAACGCAATCCACTCCAATTTTGGGTCCTTTTCCAGCACCAAGCGCATTCTCACTTACAAAGCAACAATGGGCTGGCCTAACAATGTGCTAGGAACAACGGTCAGACCAGACAAGGGGAAACTTTGGGGAGCCACCAACATTGGGGCAAACAACGAGGCACAAGCCCCCGAAGGGAGTGGACATTTGAGCGGTTATTATCCGCCAACAACTATCACAAATTGGCTTGTAGGGCCTTGAACTGGGGCCCGCAACTGACAACAACATTTTCCAATCGGTTTAAAACTGGATTTTAAAGATTTATAAATGCAGAGCTGTTAAAAGATTATAAAGAGACCAAAATTAGCCTAAGATTTTATGCTAACATATATTGCACATCATAGGTCACATCTTTTCATGTGTATGTTTTAGTAAGGTATTCTCACTCGAATTACTCTCAATGCCTCATAAAACACTTGTGCAAAATTGATGTTCTAATTTCTCTGGAAAAATAAATTTATGTAAAGGCAATTTGAATTTGAGCTTTCATTAGTGAGAAGGCCTTTCAAAATTATTTTGCAAATTGCAGACAAGACAAGTATAATTATATTAACATAACCTTAAAAGGCAAAACTTGTTTTCTAAATTGTTGAATTGTTTCAGAATATGGAAATAATAAATATAGTTATTGTAGATACGAGATCTAATCAACACAAACTTTAAAATGCTTTCAAGAAGTACAAGTTTGGTTTTGCTGCACAAAGGTATTAAATTTCACAGATTAAGGCTCCTCTGTGTGTGTGTGTGGGGGGGGGGGGGGGAACATTAATTGTGCAACTTTGTTGTAATGAAATGAAATGCTAAAAGACACCCAATATTTTAGCTAGGGGGTCAGTCTAGCAAAAGGTGCTCAATAGTTGCAGAAAATGACATTAAATTTACAAAATATAGTCACAAATGAGCCCTGGTATATTTATGTCTCTTCCAGCAATATGGACCCTTCCCTACTAATAACCAAATAATTAAAAAAAAACAACAAAATTGTCAAGAACATAAAATTTTCGTTCAAATTCCACAGGTCAATGCTGTTGTCAATTCAGGGTCCCGGGACATGGTCTCCATTTTAAAGCTTTCTGATCAACAAAAAACGGCATAATGCTGATCCAAACAACCGATTCCAAAATTACCTACGTTTTCAATCGTAGGCATAACTACCATCACGGTAGCAACAACCTGGCCTCTTCGGAATCATACCGAATCTTATTGCCAGACAAAAGCCCCATCAGTGGGAATTAGGGGCACCAAATTTACGCTCAGAAAGGACGGAGCAGGACGGTCAGCGCGCTGGGTAAGCGGTCCACTCTCGACCACTTTCGCCGCCTCCAAGCTGCAGCAGTTGCCTTAGCTGCGATGTTTCAATTTGGGCAGTTGTTACAGCCACCAGACGCTCTTCGTCGGCCACTCCGTTTGCCACCACTACATTTCCTGCATGGTACACCTTGACGTACTCATCAGACAAACTCAGGTCTGACGAGAGGAGAGCTTGAGACAGCATGTCCGTGCCAGCAGCCTTGGGGCAAAAACAGAACAAAAGTTTTAGTCTAGTTATCTCACTGAATTTTTTTTGTAACGAACTGATTAATTTAAACATTTAAAATAAATTTATAATCACCTTCAAAGGCTGTTTCAATACAGAAGCGTCAATGTAGATTCTGCCCTCTGGCATTGTCTCATCCTCAATGCCAACTTGATACTCAACTAATAATAATAAAGAAAAACTGTTAAAAATTGTATATAGCAATCAAAATTCTTACTTCGAGCATTTGTTGGGAGTAGATTCACGGCTGAGATAAGGTTTCCTGAATCCTCTTGAATTTGTATCACATCAAGGCTCTCACCACTCATTAAGAACTTGCTGGTTGGTTTAGGATCTGAATCCGACGAACTCTCCGAGCTAGCTGTGTTGCTTAGTGGCATATTCTGCTGGAAATTTGGCCAAATTTTGAAATTGTACAATACTTTTTCCTCCCCACTCACTGCATGTTCTTTTGATACAACAAGATCTGTGTGTTTCTTGCGCTGATGTTGCAGCAATTTGGCCTTTGAAGCATATTGCTTATGGCACCATGTGCAGCCATGCGGAAGAGTTGTCACACTGCCGACGGTTTGTGAGTAGGTTGGGTTGGGCACACCAGGAATTTCAGGCACTCCACCCTTGCGGCGGTTGCTCATTGGCAGTTCGGATCCCGGATGATTTTTCAATATGTGCGCCTTGCGCTTTGAACTGCTCTTGTAAACCTAAAAAAATTGAACAAATTCTAACTTACAAATCTTTCAACCATGCAAAACGGATAGTACCTTTTCACAATACTGGCAAAAATAGTCTCTCGTCGTTTTCAATATAGGCAAGTTCAGTTCCGGGACCGAATCTGGGCTGATGCTTGGGTGTCGCTTAGCAAGATGGTTTACTAACATTCCCCTTCTTTTGAATCCCAGCATGCATTGATGGCACTTGTACAAGAATCGTTGATAATCGGTTGGCGAAACCTAAATAACTTGTGGCTGTAGAAAAATACGTAAGCTATCTAAAATGCTTAGATTACCTTAGGGATAAACTTCCGGCTGATTGATTGTCGATTAGGTTTTTGCTGTTGTTTAGCCTCCCTCTCAGAAGAATGCATGCGCTTCATGTGCTCTTTCAACTTGTCCTTTCTTTTAAATTGCTTGCCGCAATTAGCGCATAAAAATTCCCGGTGGTCTGAATGTCTTTAAACGGTAAACAGTAAAACATTAATATTGGCACAGCTTGAAATTACCAAAATGTGCGTATTAAATAAATTTCAAAACAGCTCAAATACAATTTGATTTACTATAATTTAAACACATATACATATTAAGTCATGCAGAGGCTTTGATTTTTTAAAACTAACGGTAAGAGGCCCAATGATTTGATTTTGAAATAATGTATGGTGGATTATTGAAAATTACCTGAGCATGTGCATTCGCAACTTGTCGAGGGTATGGAACAACTTTCCACAAGAGGAGCACGTGTGCTTTCGCTCACTGTGAAATGTTCGTATGTGCTTGCGCACCATACTGTAGCCATAAAATGCCTAGCAGGACAACAAAAATTGAACTTGGGACGTACAAACTAAGAAATTAACGTGCAACTCCGAATTTGAGCTTTTCTGGCAATTTTGGTAAGATTAACATTGACAATTTTAATATATGGTGTGATAATTGGAATTGTGGATGCACAAAAGTAGCCAGAAAACTCACATTCCGGTAGTGTCACAAATAAAAAAAGAGCACTAGAGGACAATGATCAACCATGCTAAGCCATAAGAGACATTCAAGAATCAGGACATGTATCAGCAAGATTCCTAACCTGAGCATGTGTAGTTTGAGTTTATCTGGTCTGGGAAACACTTTGTCGCAGAGACAACAAGGAAATCGTTTCTCACTGTGGAAGGCGCGGATGTGCTTCCGTATTTGATTGTACTCGTCAAACGTCTGTCCACACCCAATCCCAATAGTAATAAGTAGTGAAATGAACAAAATATTGTTTCAACAACTCAAATTGGTTCATTGGAAAATGGGTGTGTTTATAGTGTTAAATCCATTATTTTAAGAAATGGCAATTCAGATTTAGATGTTTGTGAATTTGCAGCGAATATTGCATACTGCAATAAATGGATAATTAAAATGTTTTAATTGTGGAATTAAGTTAGAATGTGGAGCTTGTTCAAACTCCAAATCGAGCTTCTTTTATGTTTAATGTGTTTTGATTTTAAGTGTGCATGTCTCCAAAGAATTATTTTGGCCAAAAATTTCAGTGTTAATTTATCTATTTAGTCCTTGAGTATCTCTTTGATTAATTACATTTTTTTTTCTTAATTAATCATCGTAGGTTAACATGGTCTCACCGAACTCTTATTTAGTTTATTTAGCTTTCTTCAAACTGTGATTTATAGAATTATTTTACCTTTGAGCAATGAGGGCATGTGTACATGCCATTTGAGCAGTGCGTGTGCACATGTTCTTTCAAGGCAATAACCTGCTCAAACACTGCCCTGCAAATAGGGCACTCAAACATTTTCTTCTCCTCTGTGTGAACCTTGACATGACAAGCCAAGGCAGAATTGTTGAGGAACCTTTTGAAACAGACCTCACACTGCAGAGGTTTTGTTTCCTCCGCACCATGAACAAGCATGTGTTTCTAAAATTAAAAGATTTGTTATAAGAATTTTAACACATTCCCTACATTTTTAAGGGTGTTAATTTTACCTGCAAACGATCATCGGTGGCAAATGATTTATAGCATAACTCGCACTTGTGCGGCTTCTCGGGATTGACCGTCCTTCGACGTAAAACGTTCTTTCCATGCGCTGCTATGTGTTCGACAAGTTCTCTTTTGGTTCCATACTGCTGACAGCACTGAGGACATTTTTGCTTTTCCACTTCGGCTGCTTCTTGCTCTTCCACATTTTCAGCAGCATGGGCCAGTGTGTGCAGATTTAACATCGAAGCAGTCTCAAATGATAGCTGACAGTAACTGCATGTCCACAAATTGTCTTTGCTATAAATCATCAATTTAATATCTAAATATAAAATTAATAATAATGACAAACCTTTGGTTTTTCTGCTTAAGCACAGAACGCTCGGACTTTTCTCTTAAAATTTTCTTACTACTTAAAAATATAACACAATAAGTTAAACTAATTTATTTTGGAAAATTTAGAATATACTTTTTATCGGGTGAATGAAGAAGCAAGTGCCTTTTCAAACTGTAACTCCTTGGAAAATTTCGAGAGCAAGTATTGCACCTAAATTCTGTAGTTTCTTCTCCGGACTGTAAATAAAAAATAAACTAATATATTAACTACGAAGAATATTGATTGAAATAAATACTTACAGAATTATCATCAGATTTGCACTTTTTGATAGGCAAATGCGATAGAACCTTTCTTTTCACAGCAGCGCCTTTCTCTTGGTGGTGGATCATATGTTCCTTCAAGCGTTCCGACGAGGTAAATAGTTTGTCACAGTGGTAGCACGCATTTTCAGCATTATCTTCAACAACTATACGAAGAGTTATAAAACTAACAATTAAATCCTAGGCCAAAATTTACCATTTGTAGGGTGAAGAACAGAGAGCTGTCGGGCGGACGCGTATTGCTCACTGTATCCAACAAGTAACTCTTGCTTAGGTTGGATAACTTGGGTGGTGATAAAACAGAGGGTGTCCTTAATTTGCACAACTACAACATTCATTTCTTCGTAGATCTTGGCAGGGCGAACAAACCTCATCCAATTTGATAAATCTAAAAAATTTATACATTTTTAAATAAAAAAATTTCTTATTCTTTTTTTTTTACTCACTTTCATTTGAGGTGTCAAAGTAGGCAAACAACCCATTTTCCAATTCCACGCTCAACTCCAAGCCCTGGTACATAACATTTGCATCATCTCTTTGAACTAATGCTCCTTCCAACGGACCAAACTGTGTCTTCTTTGGGATGCTCTTGCGGGCGAAGATGCCAAAGCCTGTAGAGAATAAAAGATTTCCCTACTGTATCACTTTGAAAGTATTTTTGCTCTTACCTGGGGCCTTGCTTAATTTACCAATAGACAGAAATGAATTTGGGAGGCTGGCCCATGCCCTTGAAGGGACTGGCTTATCACTTATGACTTTGTGTTCCTCCTTCTCCGACCCTAAAGAAGCAAAATTATTTTTCATCTCGCCTAAATATTACCAGTAAATTACATTCTTGTTGTTTATCTACTTCCTCTGCCATTTCTTTGATCAGCTCTTCCTCCATGATAAGTTCCAAGCTTTTTTCCTTGTCGTCCACGTTTCGATCAGAGCGGTTTCGGAGGGCACTGAGAAGTTGCTCTAGAGCTATACCTCCGTTAGCCAAGTAAGACTGAGCTGCACTGGCAATCAACCTTTGCACATCTTGCAATTCTTCGTCGCCTGACGAATCAACCTAAAAAAATAATCATAATAATTTTTATCTGCATTGATTGATTCAATGTGGATATTTTACCTTGGCATCCATAACAATCTTTTTTTCATCCAGAAATACCATCGCTTGTTGTTCGTCAACAGAACCAGTGGACGAAGAGACACATATGTCTGATGTTTGAGGATAAAACTGCATTGTCTTGGGATAGACTGGCGAGTAGCACGCCACTGAACTCATATTCGGGTCCAGGGGGCTTACTTCGTGATCAAAGTCTCCAGTTGGCTGCTCCGGAAAAGAAGTAAACTGTTCGCCGCCTTCCACAAACTCAACCTGTTAGTTTATTAGAATAAAAATTAATTTATAATAATGCAAACAACATAGGAGATTTGGATCTGAAATTGCACCCTATGTTCATTTAGCTTCAATTTAAGGAAGGTAAAGAGTCAAGAATCAAATAAATGCGTTCCATGATCTCTATAAACACGTAAAAACAAAATATTTTTACTTGTTCCAGGTGGGATGATGAGGCAGTTGTCCAGTCCTCAACTTTGGATTCGTCAGGAGGTTCCTCAGGAGTGCCCTCCATTTTCACTAATGCGTCTTATGTGACAAGCAACCTCTCTGTTAGATGACACAAAGGTTTGGTTTAATTTTTCTGCTCGAAGGGGCCAAATATTTTGTTTGTGCAAAAAATGGTGGTCACAAAAAATGTGTTGGCAACACTTACGGAGAAAGACACAAAGGTTTGAGGTGTTATTGATGTCCTCTTGATTTGTTTACCGACATCGAGTCTCACTGTGTTTCTCTCGTAGTCCGCTTTGCTGTCTGTGACGAAAAAATACGAAAAACACTGATGTTAGTAGAACATTTTAAACATTCAATAATTATCAAACTGCAAAATAAATCACAGCTGGTTTGTAAACGATCGATTGCTGTCGATAAATTTAATATAATTTGTCTTCAGTTTAAAACACGAAGTCATTGTGTTAAAAACTTTGCGCGTCAAAAAATCGTGAGAGTATAAAAAATATCAAAACTGAAAAATTGTTTTTCGAAAAAATATTAAAATAATCACGAAAATTTCTTACCGATAGATCGATCGGAACTTTGTGCAGGTTTTTTTTCTCTCTCGCGAAACTCTTCTCGCACTTCAACGCAGATTGCGAGATTTAAGCGACTGCAGCGACATCTCGTCGCAACCGATATTGCGCTCATGCGCCGCGCAAACCACGCAACAAAAAAGGGCGGGAGAGAAACGAGGCCTCCCTCACCACTGCAGGATGCACACACACATTAATTTAATAAAATTTCGTCTTTTCGGAACGTATCTGACCGGCGGAATGAAAAACACGTGAATGCTGAATTCAGTGAAAAAGGATGAAAAATGCCACGACAATTACATGTTTGAGCTCGAGTTTCCTAAATAATAATAAGTTAAGTAAAATAATTCAAAACAAAATAAGTTCTTGTAATAATTTTATTATAATTCATCATAATTATATTATAAATAATTTTAAAACTGTTAATAACTGCAAGACTAAAATTAAACCAGAATAATTATTTTTACAAGATTTAAAACAACCAAAAATGCCACAAAATGTGTTGGATAATATAATGTAAGTTAAATGCGGCAAACGCATGCGCTTATCATATTGCGGCAAAGAGACGGCAATTTTCTTATTTTGTTTTTTTCAGCCACCTCACCAAAACTACAGTGTTTAACACCGGCATCGTCAGTTTGGTTATGTGGTCAGTTTCCTTCAACGCAAAAGTTGACGTCCAATGAAAAATGCGAAAAAATGGAAAAAATGTAAGTTTGCTACAATATCAAATGCAATTTGATTCTATTTTTTTTTTAAATGAAGTATATTTATTTGACTTTAATTTATTGACTTTAAATTTTTATCATTTTTATTTTAAAGTGCATAATAAATGCCCAGTTAAAATACGTCTCATCATTTTTAACGCATTTAAAAACTGTAAATTATGGTCGTAAAGAATACAATTCTATATTTATCGATTATTTTTCTACTGAAACAAACGTTTTTCTTTTTAAACTATTACATAACAAACAAATTTCCTCCGGTTTATTTTATTTACGTTTCCGTTTGACTAGGTTTTTATAACACAGCGCTTGTCGGCTTGTCCATAATCCAGTTGCACTCTGGCTCTCACTCTGAACTCCACGCTGAAAGGCTGAATTACGTCACGTAAAAATGTTAATCTGGCCGCCGCGTGAGTATAGCGCATAGTCGGCCTGTGAAAACAAACCAGTCCAGTCGGTGCGTTGACGAGAGCACCACGCACACCTCACAAAGTGCAAACGAGGATGAGCCAACAGGGCGAATCTAACGACGAGGAGCAGGAATTCAAGGAAAATGATTACTGGGTTCATGTTTCGCCTTATCCGTCGGAAGGTCAAATTATTTCGCCGGTAAGATTATATTGCCAAAAGCCGAAATACACAACATCTTATTTGAAAGTACGGGTCGTTTATTATTATTATTATAATTTTCTTTTTCCATCGACAACCCTTGCCTTTTTGTGCAACATTGATTCGCGTGTCATTTCTTTTATCCACGAGAATATTATTTTGATGAATTACGCCTAATGGTGATTTATATGTATTTAAATATATTAAAATTTATTCTTGTATGAAATTTTCATCTCATATCTTTCAAGCATCTCTCTTGTTAAAATTTTTATTTTTAAATAAATTTATTATTATATATAACATTTTTTTAAATATTAAAATTGAATTGCCCGGGAAAGTCAGAAACGTGCGAATAGTGATTAAAATTGTATTACATTGTGGTTTCGCAGCCCATTATGTAAATATTGATTACAAACTGAAAAACAAATAAATATAAAGAAAATAACAGTAATAAACAGCAATAAAGATATTGTGGTATCGTATTTCGTGCAGTGAAGAAATAAAATGGAAAGAAGTGGAGGAAGCATATATATGGAATAAAAAATAACGGGCTTATTGAACGCACGTTTAACGAAACGAAAACCGCCTGATCAAGGCACGTGACTTCACCAAAGCTTAACATTATTGACGTTTCTAAACTGGAAGCGGCGGCTGAGCTGCAATATAACACTTTTTGCTGTAAACGGAATACTAAATAAAGATTCCTGTCAGTGAGTTGCGCGGGTTTCAGTTTTAAGATAAATACAAAGAGATAATTGACGGCTGTTAGCCGTTTACATCCGTTATCACTGATAACAAAAAAAAAACTATTAGGGTCTTGCTTCAGCAAGTTCCGTAAAGCGGTGTTAATAATAATAAAATGAAGCAATTTCAAAAGTTATTATTTTAAATGAAATATTGAATTTTTTGATAAAATATTTCTTTTTTAGGCGGTTCCCTACACCAGTGCGCTGCATGCACCTCTGGCCAGTGGACACATGATCGTACTGGACGGAGAAGTCAAACCAGGTGCTCAAAGGTATAAGAAATATTATTAAAGAGTAAAATGTCCCTACAAAAGCTGCTATTGATATTCAGATTTAATGTTGACTTGATTTGTGGGTTGTCAGTGAAAAGCGACGTTGCCTTGCACGTAAATCCGCGGTTCGATGAAATGCGATTGGTGCGCAATACGCGGCACAATGAACGCTGGGGCGAAGAAGAATCTGTGGTGCCTTTCAAGTTGCCCCTAAAAAGAGGGGAGCCCTTTTACATGTACATTTTTGTAGCCGAATCAAAGTTTCTTATTGCTATTGACGGTCGTCATATGTGCTCATATCAGGTAAATTTATTCTACTCTACAAGAAAAATACAAAAAAAAAAATATAACTAATGTTTGTAAAATATTTTTTTCAGTTTCGAATGCCTCTGATTCGAATTAGTGGGATACACGTTGAAGGGGACATAAAACTGTTTCAACTGGAGCATCGCCGGAATTTGACTGAATACCCGATGCCTTCTTGTGCAATAGCAGCAGCATCTTTGCCCATTCCTACAAGATCGTGTCCTGCTAATCTAAGTACATTTTGCAGCCACATAGTAGGACCGGTAAGTCAGCTTTTTTTCAAATTTGATATAATTATATGAACTTACAGTTAGAGATTCTTTTTATGCTCTTTATAAATCAGGATTATATTAAATTTTCGTAATTTACGCCACAGATTGTAAATTTATACGTTGAATAATTTATACCATACTTTGATAACTGTTTGAATAGGGCACTCCATTTTTGGGGGACATCCCTGAGGGCCTTGCAATAGGACATCAGGTGGAGGTCAAGGGAAAAGTAAAAGTACTGCCACACTCGTAAGCTTTTTTCCAGAGTCAACTTCTACGTATTTAAAAATATTAATTTTTTCAAAAGCTTTGCTGTGAATCTGCAGAGAGGAAAGACGGTGTGGCCACAACCTCCAATAATTTTGCACATAAATCCAAGATTTAAGGAGGGACATATCATAGTACGAAATGCATTGCTCAAAGGTTGCTGGGGCAACGAAGAAAGAAGTGGAGGGTGTCCCTTGAAGCCAGGTCAGCCCTTTCATTTGGTGATACGCTGCGAGTCGAAGCAATTTAATATTGCAATCAATGGAATTGCTTTTGCGACTTTTAAATACAGGCACCCGATAGAAGATGTAGACACAATTTTAGTGGAAGGTGATGTCAAAGTATCAGACATTTACATTCGGTGATTAAACGCAGTGCTCTAAGTTAGTGTTTTAATTTTTCTGCAAAGAAAGAACTGGTCCAGCCATATGTTGATTAATTTTATGTCAACAAGAAAATTGTCCAATATTCTTCATTAATAGGCAACAAAGTTAAAACTAAGGACTTAAATTTCTCAAGAGAAAACAAAAATGTGTCCCTTTACTAATTAAAGCAATTAAAGGTGATTTAAATTGATATAACAGTTGTTTCTGTCTCTCTCAATGCTGTATAATTTTTAAAAACTGAGGAACCATTTATAATAATGAGACCTTATTTTGCTGGATGCGGCTGACTTCTATAGTAGAACAAAAAATCAATCAACAAATTATAGTGAAAATTTTCTTCAAAACTTGAATTTAACATTTTAATTAATAGTTTTTATGATTTCCTATTGCAGGTAATTTTCAGTTCCAATTCATTTCATTTTAAATTAATTATCATTTGAGAAACTGAATAAAATTAGTTTTGACTCAAATTTGTGTGAAAAAGGCCTGAACATCTTAATTAATTTTTTTTGCTCTCATAGTTTTTAAAATCCACTTAAGTTGAAAAAATTACTTACCCTAAATATCTTTTTTATATAAAGAAAAAATATAACACACCTCTTTTGCTTTCAATATAGGCAATATAGTTTAAAAATTTATACTTAACAGTTGGAGAGACTTTCTTACATTTATCATGTATTTTTATGACGGCTGGAAAAGTCTACAATGGTAAATTTCTAAACACAATTTATTGCCAATAACAAAACGATCAATTTTAATGGTAACAAGCACGGTAAGATTTATTCTCATTTTTTTTAGAGCTGTTTAATTTTACTAGACAGAGTGAGTTAATTGTACACGGAGGAATCTAATGAGACGGTTTTGAGACTTGCTCTCTTTTACAAACAACTTTTTCTTTTTATACAAATACAGAGTCAATTCATCTTCAATTAAAATTTATATATTAAAAATAACAAAACTGCGCAATCCTGACAATGACATTCATCTCTAATGAAGCTGCAAAATTTTAAAAATATTAAATAATGCAAATAAAATCACATTTTATAAAAAGGTCCACAAAATTTGCGTTCTCACACTTTCACTTTTGAGTGAGAAATTTTGCTTCAAAACAAAGCAGAAAATCTATTTAACCTTCAGATATATTACTGAATCTTCTCTCAATTTTAGGTGAAGGTGGGTTGCTGGTGGGTTGGATATTCAAAATAATAAATACACTGATACTAAATAATTGTAGGAAAAAGAACAAAATCCAAAGAATGGAATTCTATAAGTTTCTGCTTTTTGGCACTGAATTCGTAAAAAAATCTTTGGTTTTATAAGCAATTTTACAACAACAACAAAAATTCACAATCAGAGCGCAAAGCCCGAGTTACACACTTGAGTGGGGAATAACAAGCCAGAGGGAAAACAACGGGCGAATGATTTTTTCAACATGCGTGCTTCGGTGTTTTTGGAAGGGTTGAAAAAAGTGATTGACGGCGCCGAGAGTTTGGAAAAAAACGAATCGCTCTCGCTGAAGAGTCAATTAGCCGCACTCGGATATTTTCTGCAATCGGCGAACCAAAAAGAGGGGGCTTGGGGCTGACTAGCTGCACACGACCAGCACCGCGGCCACCCACAGCACCAGGCTCGCCCGCCAAAACGGGCCGCTCACCACCAACGCTGACCCTGTCCGGTTTGGCGACGTCACTGCGGAAAAGCAAATTTATATTAATTCATCTTTCATCTATCCAATTAATATATAAATTTGTGTTCATTTAATTTCTTAGATTCTGAAATTTAATTTAAGACCACAACTTCCAACGATTTGTGTAAATTATTTTTAAACTTCATTCATTGTTGATTCTTGAATATGCTTTTTACCGTTTTTTTTTTTTATAAAATTATCCTTGCTTAAAAATTGCTAAAAAGTATGTGAAATTTCATTGATAAATACTGTGTATTTTTTTTATTCCTGCTATTTTGATTTTGAATATTTATTTTCAATAACTTATTTATTTAATAAATTTAGTTATAGTTTGAAAAAATAATTTGCTGACCTCTTTCCGGTTTGGGTTCGACGGCAGCGGCGCTGCTGACAGGTCCATCCCTGGAGAAGGGCGGCGCGTCAATGCGCGACCTGACGACGACCTTGGCCGTTTCTGCGTAGACGCCGAGGATGGTGGCGTCGCAGCGGACGACGACGCGGCTCTGCGCGTTGAAGTGGAACGGCCGCAGCTTGAGCGCCAGGCCCGCCTGCGCCGCCTCCGTCCCATCCGTCGTCACCCGCGACCGCACCTCCTCCGCCCCCACCTGCGAAACAATTTCAATGCAATTTTGAGATCAACTTCATTTATAAAATTGTAGCAATAATTTTTAATTTGTATATTTAACAAAAAAAAAAAATTCCCATCGCAACAATGGCAAGATAACCTCGAAATGCACAAATTTTAGCCATTTTAAACTTCAAAACAAGAGTAAAATAATGAAAATAAGAGCAATTTGGCAATTCCATATTTCACGCAAAAAGGATTTTAGTAAAAAATTAAACATTCTCTGAAAATTCAAGTTTGATATGTTATATATTTATTTTATTTTCAAATTAAATAAAAAAAATCAGACCGTTTCATTTGGTAATTTGAATTAATTGGTAAGAATATTCTAATGTACCAGATTAATTAATCAAGATTAATCCTTCTTACTCCAGAACAAGGTCACTCTTTGCGTTTAAAGCTTCTTGTCTAATTACTAAGCTTTGCAATTGTTTGAATTTTGAATGCAAATGAACCGCTAATTACTTTCTGGTTTGCTTTGTTCAGAAAGAAGCAAGAATATATGCTTGAACATACAGAAAGCGATGGATTTGCAACGGCCCGAGGACAAAAATTCTCAATTAGCCTAATTAAAAGTTAATCCTGCAAAACAAAAGTGCTCCTCAAAGGATCACCGAGCCGATCCTCTTCCGCGGCTTATTAAAAGTTTTTGATCCTTTTCGGCGCGTGACGTCACAAATTATTATTTCGCGGCTTGTTAAATAATTAACGATGGCAGCAGGATTAAAAAAAAATGCTGCTCCGAAGGGGGTGAATTATTCACAAGCAGGTGAGCGGCACTTAGGAATGCAAATTGAATCTGAAAAATGGAGCAGCCGGTAAAAGACACTCGGAGCAAAATTTGCATGCGCCGGTGAAGAAAAAGAGCAAAATCTCTTGCGCGACTTTTGGAATTTGGGACCTTTTATGTGTTATCGCTTCCATAACCCCTGTTTTATTGGTAATAGCCGACATTTTGATTAAAGAAGTTTCACTATAAAAAAAAAGTATTAAAAATACCACTTTGACATGGATAATTTTATTTAAAAATCAATTTAATTTTATTTAAATTTTGCTAGGTAATTGAAAATTAAAGTCGTCCGATTTTTGATCAGGAGTAATTTATTCACATAATTATCCTCAATCTATAAACAAGGAACAAATGAAACAGCCATAAAAGAAACAAATCGTTTCTTCTCTCCTTCAAGACTGCTTCAAGATTTGTGTTAAATTATTCATTTGAATGGAAGTGAGCAACAGTTTCTGTCTTGTATTACCATAAGACCACCAAGGCCTTCAGTTGTAGAAGAGAATTTTTGTTCTTTTTTATGAGTTCGTATGAAATTTTCTTTTGTTCCTCAAAGAGGCTTTTGCTAATCAACTCGGACGAGCGAACAACAAAGAAAGGAATGAAAAGATGAAAGGCAATTTTGATTCGTTGCAGTTAATTTGGCCCTTTACTTAATGAAAGGGATTCCAGTTTTTTTTTTTTTTTTTTTTTTTGCAAAACACACTTCTGGTAGGTTGAAATTTTCACATGTAAGTCTTGAGGAGCAAAAAAGTTTCCATTTATCTGAAATAACATTCAACAAAGGAGTGAATTTTGTCGCTAGAAATAAATTTTGTCCGCCCACAATCAAATATCGTGTGGAGCTGCAATGTGGAGGAAACAAGAAACTGCTGGTACTCCAAGTTTGTTTATTTTCTCGCATGCTGGCTGCGTTTGCCCTCCGACTGCTGCTCCAGACGCAACTCCCAAACTTTGCGGAAAGTGGGAATTTTACTTTGAAATTCAAACCGAGCTTTGATGCCGCGGAAATTTGAAACTTGGCATATTTGCAACAGGAATTCATTGAATCGATGGAGGAATCCGCATTTACAATAATTAAAGCGATTGTTTTAATTAGAATAATGTAATGTAAGGAAAAAGCTTAATATTTAGTTTTATACATTTTTGATCGATATCTTTTATCAAATTATTTAAATTTATTTATATAAATAAAACAATATGTCAAACATATTTTTTTAAATAATGGAATCAATTTCTTTAAAAATATTGACATTCTTTTTATTTTTTATTCTATTTTTTTAATATATTAAGTCACGTCACGTCATGTCTTTGATAGCTGAAAATACTAATAAATTAGTCCCACAAAATTTGTTTGTATTTTTTGAGCAAACCAGATTAGGCCGCTGCGGTGTTTTGTGACTTTTGTTTTGCACGTCACGTGGCTTCACCCTTCCCATCGCCGGCTGGCTTTGCACGTTTGCGGCTCTTGATTTTAATTCCATTGCACGAAATTTTGGGGACACGTGCGTGAGAAACGGAGACGACGTGTGTGAGCGAAAAACTTTATTATATTTCCAGCAAAACTTTTGGCTGCAATTTCCGTGCGTCACTTTTTGGCCCACTTTTGCTCTCGAATTATTCCGCTCATCTCACTTGCAAATCTAATTCATTTACCAAAGAATCGTCTCCGAGTCAGGAAAACCATAAATTTAACTGAGTGAATTAGTTAATTAGTTTGGGAGGAACCTAAAATTGTCTTTTTTAAATGCCAATTTTGATCATTAATTCTGAATTATTAATATTAATTGAATCAAAACCATGGAAAATTTAAAAATCAAAAAGTTAAATCTTGTGAAAATTAATTCTCATGCACTGGAATCTGGAATCAAGCTTTTTCGCCATGCCCATGAACACGCCGTGAATTTCAACAAGGAGTTAACTAAACCGTTTTGTTAAGTCTTGAGGTGCACGTGTGAAGTTCCAGGGACTAAAATATCGCCGACTTTGAGGGATGTGCGAGGGGATAATGACGCTAAGTAAGCACCCCCGCGCGTTCAGAGGTTTCCTTTCTTGGCTCCACTTTGAGCGAGAAACGAGAAGACAGCGAGGATAAACAAAGCGACTCGGCGCAATAACAAATGGCTCGGCCGCAACGCCCGAGTGCCAATTTGCCTCTCCAAAAGTCTTCCAAATGAAAACGTCAGACAATCCAACCAACGACGTTTATCTTTTTCATCTTTTCCTCTCAATTTCAATGATATTAATTATTTTCTGATTTTCCTTTCATTTCCTCACAAAATGGTTTGTAATTAATTTAACTAAAAAATTGTTTTATTTAATTGTTATAAAAAACTTTAAAATTTGGACTCCTAATTGGATCTGCATCAAAAAGTAACCCTGATTGTTACAAGGAGAGAGACGGGATTAAATTTATGAGAGGCACAAACACTGTTGGGGAGGCAAAACAGCTGGATGCGGTCACCGGCCCTCCCTCCACCCTCTCCGTCTCAAACGTCAACCCTTTACTTAAACCAATACACACACATGCTCTGAAAAGCAGAAGCACTCTCTCTAAATTTTCTCCAAACCACAAAAGTTTAAATTGAATAGAAACACTCGAGGGGGCTTTCATGGAAAATTGAAACCGGGCGAACCTCGTTGCCTGCTCGTTGCAAAGAAAAAATGAAAAAATAAAGGACAACTGACCCCAAAGGTGACCTGCGGTCTGCTGGTACTTGAAAACCTAGGGTTTTGTCGTGTCCGAACTAAAAACTAAGTGGGAGGAATTCATACAAAATTAAAAATTAAATTGGGAAAATTTAATTTTAATAAGACAAAAATTGCAGAAATTATTTAAGCAAAGGAGTCAGTCAACAGCTTCATACTGTGACTGTGCCAGAAATTTCCAGGGCAATGAACCTAAAGATTTTCCTGGCAAAATAACAGTAATCTGCCGCACTACTGGTTCCTCCCACTTAGTTTTTTGTTGGGACACGACAAAACCCTAGGTTTTTAACGTACCCGCAGACCACAGGTCGCCTTTGGGGTCAGTTGTCCTTTATTTTTTCTTTGCAACGAGGTTCGCCCAGTTTCAATTTTCTACAAAAGTTTAATTTGGATTTTCAATAAGATATTTTTTCTAAATTCATTTTTAAAATAAAAATACAGCTAAATAAAAACTCGAATTCATCAGGATTTGGAGAAAACCTCAATTAATTAATTGATTCATCACACTGATAGTGATAGCAATTCCTAATTCAAATAATACAGTGCGAGGAGAAGTCAACAAGTTTTCTTGGCCAAGTTGACGCGAAACTTGCAAATGAGGGCTGCTGGGGTGCGACCAGACTTCAGTTAATTCATTTCAGGCGAAAAAGAAAACGGTCAAGAGGCGAGGAGAAAACTTTTGCTCGCGCGAGTGGAATACTTTGGCGGACCCTTTCATAATTCTCAGTCAGCTCGGAGGGCGGAATCTTCGCGAGTTTTTCACCAACAATTTTGCGAATTTGATTCGGTTGCAAGGAAAATAAAGAGATGGAAATTGGATGTGTCGGTCGCGGTAGCAAACAAATGAGAGCAATTGCGGCACGTCCGATATTACACGGACTGATAAGCGCAACACAAGCCAAGCTTTTCCTACCAAATCGCTTTTCCGGCCAAACGCAATTTGTTCCAAGAAATTGACGTCAAAACGTGATCGTTGCCGAGGAGATTTCCTGAAAAAATTTTCTTCAGATAAAATAATAAAATGTTCAAAAATAAAACAAGATGAAAATTGTTTTCATTGAAAAAAAATTTACCTCCACTGAAAATTCGCGGAAAACAAATTGCGATGTCATCGCAGCGATGAAAATATCTCTGCAAAAAATGTTTTGTCTTTGAATCTGGAATTCCGCCCTAAGCCCGAAAATCCATCTAGCTCGCTCTGATATTTGCTCAGAGGATTGGCATCTTTGGAAAATAAACGCGCCTTTTTACAAGTCTTTTGAAGTGGATTATGTCTGTTTTAGTTTGTTTTACTCAGCACTTTTGAATAAATAAACTAAAAAAAGAAAACAGCGCATCAAAATTCCGGGCCATCTCCCTGCCGGCGTTAGGAAAAAACGGAAAAAACCTCACGCAGGACCAAGAAATGTTTGGCCAAATAATTTGGGAAAATTAATTAAAGAATAATTAGCGTCGTCAACATTTGTTGTGTGGTGATTTCTCAATGTGGAAATGCCGCTTGGTGCAGTAAATTAGTTGCATGTTTGTTGGGGGCTGTCGGGGGAGTGAATTGCGTCGCAGCCGGCGCGGCCAAAACGCGGCTGATTGCGAATTCGCCAAACTCAGCGCGAAATGCGGAACAGGCAAACAAATTTATCGCCGCAAGTTTCGCGCAAAACAAATACAGAATTTGCTCGGCCGCTCGGAAAATAAACTTTGAGCCTTGAAACGAGCAATTTTATTCCTCGGCCAAACAAACAAAACGCGGAGGGCAAAAAACTGATAAATATTGATTGTGGTTGCAAAAAAATATATTTTAGAAATAAATCATGTAGTCTTGAATTTTATTTGAACAATGTATTTGAGTGTCGCGTAGAATGGAATTAGACGAAGAAGTCGCTTTTTGCAATCTGCACTTTTAATTCTTGTTTGCATTGTGGAAAAGAGTATAAGGATTTGGAATTCCATGGCAGCTGCTGCGAGGATTATTCAATTAAGTTTCCTTTTCTCGAATGTCAAACTCGATCTGCATCAAAAACGAACTCTGAATAAAATGCAGACATTTGCAATCAGAGAAGCTCGGATTGCAGTCTTTTATATTTTCTTCTATTTCATTTTGCTTTTTCCATTATATTTTGTGCTGCAATTCTTGCAAAAAGAGATTTTGAATTAAAAAACTTAAAAGCCTATAGGAACAAAAAAGCGATAGTTAATATTTCACAATCAATTTTTTGTTACACAAATTATTAAACATGAAGCATAGCGTTGCACAAAAGGGTAGTTTTAGTTTGAATGGCCGTCGAAAAGATCGGCCGTGCTCGCAGTTGAATTATTAATTAAAATTTGCGGCGGAAATAGTTGGTTCTTTTAGGGTCACGAGGTCAAACGCGAGCCCAGGTGGCGGAAAAAGTTGCATCCGCGCGAAGTTTCGCAATTAATCGCCGCGAGCGGAATTCGTTTGACAATCGAGCGGTGGAAAGAACGTTTTGACTTTTGCCTCCTCGGAGCTTATCGACGAGCAAAGCAACGCGTGTCGCCTCGAATTGCAGTGGCAGGCGTAATTAGAGCGGGGTTAACCTCAATCAGCGGCAACAAAACACAAACAGAGTCGCCGAGTTTTAATTAAGGACCTTTGCTGGCAACAAAAGTTTCTCATTCGCAGGCCAAGAGTGCACTCGGAGAAATATTTTTTCTTCTTCAAAAACTAAATTAAGAAAACTTTCGGCGCTGCTTTTAACCAACAAACTTTTCTGGGAAGAATAAACCACAAAAGGATAAAATGGTTTTCTGAGCCTTGAAAATTAATCTAAAGAAAGAAATTTTGGAATATTTTCATCCAGAAGTGTTCCTATTTTTCTATTTGAATATAATGAAAGAGTTTTTTTTTTTAATAAACTGATGAAATCAAATTGAAATTAAATACTGCTAATAATGGAGATTTCTCATTATGAAACTTTTGGAATACAAAACGCTTTTGAATAAACAATTTGGAAGCTATTTACGCGTCTGCTTGACAAACGGAGTCAACTTTTACCAAACTTGACGTGCAAAGTCGCGAATTTGCACCCAGAGAAGGAGTTAACGGTTTTAATGAGCAAGCAAGATTCTGAACTTGACGCAAACAAACAGAATTTCAGAGTCGCCTTTTTGAAATTTCTTGCTGAGCTTCATTTGCACGAAAATATTTGCGCGCGCAGAAAGTAAATAAAAAGTTTTCTAAAAAAAAATTCAATTTCAGCAAAGAAGAAAATATTTATTTTATCGCAAAAATCAACAGCGGGGATTTAAAATTAGCGTCGTGTTTTTCCTTAATTAAAACAAGGCTGTCGTAAAACGAGATTTGCTGATCATAACCGCGGTGCTAAAAGACAGAAAATGCAGCGAAATTTCAATTTGCGTCGCTTTATTGCCCGGGGGCGGCCGAGCGGCCCTTTATTGTGGCGTGTAAAAGCCTATTTATGCCTTTTCTAATTGCTCGCTTTTTTGCCTCAATTTACTGCCCTGTCGCGCCTTGGCAGCGCAATTAGCACAAAACTCTTAGATGAGGCGAAATCGCGTTAAAGAAACTTTTCTCACTTTACCCTCCGGAAAGTTCAAAAGTTGTTGCGAAACTTGCTCTTCCTTTCATAAAATAAAAACAAAACCGACACGTAAAAAATTTATAAATAAAATTATCTATTTAAAATTTAGAATTAACTTGAATCATTTGAAAAAACAACTCACGGGCATGTCGTTGATGTAGAAAGTGAGGTTGGCGGCCGGTCTGGAGGGGCCGGCGCTGCAGTTAGCCCTGAGGACGTTGCCCACTTCGTAGTCAGGTCGCTCGACGGTCAGCAACGGTCTCTTCTCGGGCAGGGCTGCGGTCAAAGGCAAAATGCGAATCTGTTTTGAAATTTTGATTTTGGACTCACCGACGACCGTGATGTAGTGCGAGACGAAGGCGGTGCTGAAGGAGGGCGCGTCGGCCGAAACCTCGCAGCTGTAGTTTCCGGCCACGTTGAAGCCCACGTCCACCAGCCGCACTTTGTTCCCGTCAGACTCCTTCTCCTGCACAAATTTCAAATTATAATTAATTTCCATGAAATAAGTAAAATAAACAACTATGTCGCTAAAAAAAATAATTAATTTGTTAATTTTATCATATTTGAAAGTTTTACCCAGCAATTTAGTTTTCAATAAATACAAACTTTAGTAATAATTTTTTATCCAGAATGAAGTTTCAAACATCCATATTTTGTCAACTTTTGTTACAAAACACAAAAATTATTGAAATTTGAAACAAAATTTTTTGGTATGAAATTGTTGCAGTAAAAGTTCTGCTTGTAAATCAGCTGCTGCAATTTTTCCGCCAGAGACATCAGCAGAAAAAAAACGTGGCCGTAAATTACGCTTGAGGAATTCGCCGCGAGATAAAATTTGACGAATGGCCGTGGCGGAAAGAGAACTTTTGAGCATTGGAGAGCATTTTTGGAAAATGCAAAAATGGAAAGGGCGAGTTAATAATGCATTAGGCGCTCGCTCGCCAAAACAAAATCAATACGGCCGTCGCAATTCTGGCCACGCACCACCCTTTTCCTCGCTCCCCGTTTTTAACCAAGCATGATTTGTTTTTTCCACGTGGATTCAGCGAAATTATTGGGCGGCGAAGAGCGCAGACAAGTCACCCCTTTTTATCAGAGAGGGTGGAAAAATGAGCCTTTCCTCCGAGCGTTTTGTCGGTTTCATTTCTTTTTTCCATCTCCGGGCTCTTTGAATTTTTTTTATGCAAATAATAATTAATATTTTCCTCCTCTATTGTTGTCGTGTGACGTCAGAGGCTTCAAGATTCACTTCAAAAAATAAATAACAAATATCTTCGATATTTTTGATAATTTTATATTAACATTAAAAATGTGAAATTAATTACAGTGTCTGCTTATTTAATTTTTGAATAATTTCTAGTGGATATAAGGGAAAATGTCAAAAATTAAACAAAAATCCAAACCACTGCAATTTGCACCTTTCAATTCTTTATGAAAAAGAAGAAAAGAAACACGGTGCGGGGTCCACTTTATCTTTCATGTTGCGAATTGAAGCAGAAATGAACGGCGGCGCTTGGGGCGAAAAGAGGCAATAAATCGCGCGCTGAGTTCAGCCTTTTATTCTCGCAACAAACGATGGGACGGAAAAGGATTTTCTCGTTTCCCTCTCGTTCCATTCAAATCGCGAGATTAAACCTGGAAAAGTAAGAAAGATATGCAAACAAATCAAAGCTGCAGAGCGATGAGGTCCGTTTATTATTTACGACCTTTGCGAATTAATTCCCGTGTCTTGACATGAATTATTTCAATTATTCCATTTATTATTTTCAGTCCGAACAGACAAAAGCTTGTTAGGGTGATTAAATTTATCGCTGAACGGAAAATTACTCACGGGACGCAAAATTTCATTAGTTTTGTCATAACTTTTCCTCCCGCGCGCGTAAATCTTTGTCCTGATGCCGTCAGCTGCAATAAAATCCACTATGCCGGAAAAAACACGTGCTCTACGAGCAAGGACGCTGTTGGGAGTTGGGAATTAGTTTTGGTGCGAAAGGAACGCAAAAAGTCTACTAAAAAGTTAATATCACAGAAAAAAACAGAAATTTAAGAAACATGAAAAAAAAATTGAAAACGACATGTGTATTTAATAATCACTTCAAATTTAGAGGAAATCAAATAAAATCCAATGCAAAACTTGTTTCACGATTAATCGTATTTCTATTTCCAGCCATCAGAGCGACTTGGTGTCCATTTGGCGACAAAACAAAACCTCAATTCAATCGTCAGCGACACGATTTTATCATTCGTTGGTTGCAAATGCACTTTTATTAACTGGTTGCGGAAAATACGTGCTTTATTAGGAAATCATTTCACAGTCAATTCAAGCGTCAAATCTATCGGATTGCATTGAATTGGATTGGAAAGAAGCGCTGAAAAATAATGCATCCATTTACTTCATTGAAGGCAATATTCAATTTTATCTATTTAATCCCATTTTTTTTATATTAAAATATTCCAGAAATTAATTTTGACACTCACAGCGTGACCTTTTAGAATTAATTTTGCATGATTAAACTTCGTGTCCACCCCTTTCAGGCACGCGAAAAGTGAAGCATTTTTATTAGAATGAAGCGTGACGTTGCTCGTCCGACACATTTTTGTTCAATTAATTAAGCGAAACTAACAAGACACGTGACTGCTAATGCACTTTGGGGGTTGACGAACCGACACGGACCACACCCTTGTTTCCCGCCACTAACGAGCCGTGTTTTTTTTTTTTATTACATCAGCTTCGTCATTGAAAGAAGATGAGCGAAAATCAGAATATTCAAGATTTTATCAGGATGAATTTGGGAGAATTTGCTTGTTTGCGTCAAAAAGCACCTTTTTGTTCACATCAAAAGTGAAACGACTTTTGGCAATCTCGGCACTTAAGCTTTCTGGGATGCGCAATTACTTTGGCATCATAAAACTAGAGCAATCAACAGCGGCCCATTAATTAAGCCGCGCACTCGCGATTAAAATTTCGCATAACTTGCAGCGAGCGAGATCTTCAAACCGCGAACGATGATTTGACGAGCGCAGCTGCTTCATTTTTTAATGATTTGAAGCGAGTTTTACGACGCGAATTAATTCACAAAAGGACCGAAAATAAAAGCAGGAATTTATCAAGCGCCGAAATGTTGCCAGTTTTCAAAATTTGGAAAATAAAATTGGAGCTTGGTGTTGTTGGTGGCGAGAGAAGTGATCAAAGCCCGAGGGCGAAAAAGGGACGGGTGGGCACACATGGTGTTTAGGTCGGAAACAACGAAATGGCCCGACGACTGCGGCGGATCAAACGCAATAATAAACACACGTCAAAAGGACTTTGGTCGTCACAAAGTGTAATTGCAAGTGAAATGTCACACGAATCTGCTCCCAGAGCGGATGGTTTATTTCCAGGGAGGGTCTTTGTTGGTCTCTTCTTTTGTTCTAAACTCTTCCTCAATCAAATATTTTAGGAATTAAAAATAATTATTTAATTTATAGTTACGATGTTAAAGTGGCTGAAACCTAATTTGATCCAAATGAACAAGTTTATGCTGGTCTTTGGCAGAAAGTTTGCGAAACCTCTGCGGTGGCGCAACTCGGTTGGAACTAAATCCGCTCGCGGCGTAATCACATTATTTAAATAATTAATCAGCAAAGTGAGCGTCTAATTATCGCCCAGACGAATTTCAGCCTAATTTACCTCGTTACCCGCGGCACTTTATTTACGCTGCGGAAAAGTCAAATGAGAAGAAACTCTTGCCGAAAAACACCTTCAACTAAAAACCCAGACCCTAATTAGGAGCACCGTCATTTTATTTGGTTAAAACCCTTTCCATTGCAAAGGAAAGAGGCGATGGACGCTCTTGATGAAAGGGTTGCTTTGAGATCAAATAACAGACATTGCTGGCTAATGAAATAAAACATCGCGAAAAGGACCAACGAGTTTCAAAAGTAGATTCTCTTTTACAGACTTCCAGATTATCTGCAATCTTAAAAAATCCCTCAAATTTCTAATTTTTTCATCTTTTTAAATACAATTTTTCTGCACTTCTCTGTAGTTTCCAATTAAAAATGGAAGAATTAGAAAAAATGCAGCTGAAACATGCAATTATCAGAATCTTGATGTTCTGCGCCTTAATTGAATCAATCCACTTCCAATTAGTGACTTTGTCAGCGAGCGAGGGTGATTGATGATGCTGAGGGGTGGTTTTGGGTTCGAACTCACGTCAATGTTGAGGCCTGCGAAGGGAAAGAGCTTGGTCGAGGGGCTCTCGACGGGGGTGTGGCGGAAGAACTCGCGGGTGCCGCGGTACCACTTGACCGAGTAGAGCGGCGCCCCCTCCAGGTCGTACTCGCACACCAGCGTGACGGCGGCGCCGCGACGCACCACGCCGCTGCCCGGCCGCGTCACCAGCCGCGCCTCCTTCAGCGCCCCGCAACCCCCTGAAATCACACAAAAGCAACCAAAACACATGGTCAGTTTCAATTCATTGAGACACTTTTGGGGTTTTGTTTTTATCTGGTAAGGAGAAAAATAGATTAATAACTGTTACAATTATTGTAAAAGTAAAAAAAAAATTAAAATTTTAAAATTGAATAATTTTTTAGAATTTCCCTAATCTATTGCTCTCAAATATTTATTAATTTGAATATTTTGATTTGCTTCAGTTTTAGGATAATTAGCTAAAAAGCGATGGAAACCGTGAAAGGTAAACAAAAACTTAGTTAATTGAGATACTTCATTATTAGAGTGATTTTGCTCTTTGAAGTGTTTTTGGCCTAATTAATCCACTACTTTTGATATTGCAGCCTTTGAAAACGCCAAATTATACAAACAAGCGAAATGCAACAAAACTCGGCGCGAGTGGGTTGAGCTTTGTGGAAATGAAATTAATTTTCGAACTGAACGTGGCCTCATTTCAATAATTTTGATGTGAAAAGGCAAGGAGAACAAATTTTAATTTTGGCTGATTCAAAATGTTTGTTCAAAGGGCGAAATTTGAATTAAAAGTGGCTCGGCACGGATTTTGCAGCAGTCCATTGAAAAAACACTTTTATGCAAAAAGTAGCAGAGAGAGAAATTGTTATCTCTCTTGATGCCACTTTTCACCGCGAGTGGAGGGGGCAAAAGGGGTCAATGGGTGCTTCTGTCTGTCTGGCCTGTCTGTCAGTTGATGCTGAGAGACCACTTTGGTGTATTAAAAGTATAAAAATTTAACTAATCTGCCGGTTGGAAAGAGGACCAAATTGCAAATTAATTGATTTAGTTTGCAAGTTTCAAAGAATTTAAAAGTTAAAACGAATTTTAAATTCGCAGGTGCAAAAAAGGGCAAGGAATTGGCTTTGACGCAATCGACGGTCAAGCACCATTAATTTGCCTCTTTTTGTTTCCAGTCCTTTGCCGACCAATTTGTCTCTTTTCCGCCATATCGATTTTGTCCTTTTTCGTCTGTTTTATTTTAGGAACCGAGTTGCAAAACTCGTTGGTGGGCGCCGGGTGCGAATAATTATCAAACAACTGGTGCGGCCAATGGACCAAATTGCAACAAAATTTGCCAGACGAGTTTTGTTTTTCAGGAAAAGGAGTTAATTCCCAGACAAGTCGCTCCTCGCTCGGTTGTTAATCTTTTAAAAGGCTAAATAATTGAAAAGGACAAAGTTCGCCGAGAAAAGGTCCTGGTTTGAATGTTTCAGGAGAGCGGCCGTAAAAACTTTTTAATTCCCTCACGGAAGACGCAAATTGAGAAAAGTCGTTTTTTTCTTGTTTGCTTCATTTGGAAATCAACCCTCGTCACTCTCAAATGAGCAAACGTTGACGATACTATTTGAACAAAGTTTGCTAAATTTCAAAGTGAATTGAAAATTTTCAGGAAAATAATATACAAATTTCAAAACAGTTTAAAATTTTCACTTACAGTTTTAAATGTTGGTGAAGTTTGCGACTTCTTGATAAAAAACAATTATTTTTGAAATAATAAGTTTTGCCCTTTCTTGGATGGATTAGAAGCTGGAAAGGAATAAGAAATCACGGCCATTAATTTAGGCATGTGTTCAGAATCAATTAAAGCTGGGTTGAGTAAAAGGGTGTCTTTTCAGAACGCACAATTTCACCTTTTCTCCTTCACCTTTTTATTAAAGGCGTATTCAAATCGCGGGCATATTTCACAGCCCACCCAACGCTTCTTTCCCAAGAGGCAAAAAATCCTTAATTTCCTTAAGATTTTCATGAAAAGGGAAAAGCTTCACTTTCGCGAGCTGCAATTTACGATCACGAACTTCTCGCCCTTTCTAAATCTCAGAATTTTTTGTTAAAAGCTCGCAAAATTTATCCTCAGCGGGTGCATCGATTTTCTTGAAGAAGAAAAGCGACTTTGCGATTTTCAAAGCTTCAAAGCGAGAAAGTGTCACGGACGTGAAGATCGATTGTTTTCTACTTAAATGCAAAAATAATGAAATTCATCGCCGTTGGCACTTTGCGAAGTAATTAATGGTTGAAAAAAATGCTAATGGCCGCTTATGCCGTTCGGATTGATTTACTGCCTCGCCCACATTATTGCACTCGCTGCAGATAAACTGCCACCGACGAGTGTTTGAATTATCGCTCAACACCGCTCCACGTTGTATGTCCCGTCGCACAGTCAGGGCACGTGAATATGCTCCGAATAAAATTTATTTAATTATTTTAAAAATTTAGTTAGGATTTAACTTATGAGAGAGGAAATTCAAAAAATGAGAGGAATATGAAACTCTAACTTTTCACTACTTCTCATAAATAGAAAATTTTTATGGTAAAAACCTGATATCCAATATTTCCTCACATATTCTTTTTATATTGTGATGGAATTTCTCCTTGAACCATCGTTTTCCTCTCGATCTAATTATTTCCAGCTTTTTGTTTTTGCGCTTCTCGACTTCTGCTCTACGCAAATAATTGAATCTGATATACCAACGCGCAGTTTTTCGAAGCAACAATAAATTTCCGCCGAGGACGTGCAATATTACTTTCTGGTTCTTCGCAGCAGAAGGAAAAATCGCGCGCAATCAGATCTGGCACAGCGAAATAAACTTGTCCTTTTCCAACGCCACCGAGTCAGACTTGGAACGGGATTAAGAATGTGTTTTGCACTTTTTCATCACGGACCGATTTCATTCTTCTGAAAACAATCCCTTGTCATCTCCATACTATCCAAAGAATATGACTTGTGGTTTGTGGTTTTAATAAAAAGAAACTTTTTGAATTATATTTTATTATGCAATAATTTAAAACTCAATAATTGTCTGGGAATTTAATTTTATAAGGTTAGAGAATTTTGTCCCAATTTATTTCGAAGATAAACACAAAATCGATTTCGAATTTCAGCGGAAAACTTTTCAAGAGCCGCGAAATTTCTTGATTCCCTTTGCGGCAAAGTTTGGCCAAATAATTCGTGTTTCGCAGAAACTGCGGGTCTGGGACGAGGAATAACACGGCGGAGTTGATGAGCAGTCGGAGCTCATCAAAAATGGAAAATTCACTTTAAATCAGGCGTGGAAAAGTCGTGATCGCGGCCCAACTTTGGCGAATCTTCATGAATGCGAGAGAGACGAGGTTGAATCATGCATGGGGTGTTTAGGCCGAGCGAGTCTCTTTTGTGGGCAGATCGAGAGAGGAATTTGCATTTCCACCCCAATCCTTTTCTCACCTTCCTGCGTTTATTTCCTCGGAGAACGCAAATCGCCGATTCAAAAGCACGCAAGAATAAGCAAAAGTGCCAAACACGACCTTTTCGCCTCCCCAGACCAGAAAAGGGTTTCCTATTCTGAGCACTTCAAGATTTGATCTTTTTCATTCCAAAACTGTAATTTTCCTGCAAAACAAGTGAAATTTATTAAATAGTCTTGTTTTTTTCCAAACCTTTAATTTTATTTAATCAAATTTTATCAATAAAAATTAGGATTTACAAGTTTTTGGGACTAAAATGGCGCACCCTTGGGGGGTTGTTTTGAGGCCGGAGATAAATCCGTCGTGTCTCGACAACAAGTGCCGGCGAAGGCATTTTTCTTTGCTTCCTGCCTCGCACGCACGCCCCGCCATCATTCATTTGCATATCTCGCGCGCACCACTTAAGGGTATTGCTGAGGAGGGTGGAAGGGGTGCTCGGAAAACGATGAGCTCTAAAATTTATCTCCCCAAAACAACGTACATTCGCCCCCGACACCTTCGCGGCCCAAATTTTTATTGCCTCGCCCAATCTACCAATTCAGAAGAAAAACACGCAGCGCAAAAATGTGTTTCTTTTTCAAGATTTCCATACGAATGTGAGATTTATCAAATTCGGTCCCTGAAAAATTCTGGAAACGTATTTTCCAGCGAAAAGCCTGGATATTATTTTTGTAAATATTTCAGTCAAGCATTTTCGCGTTATAAAAAATATGATTGCTCCGGCTTATTAAATTCCTGCTTTGCAAATTCCTGCTGTAATATTTTCCATCCTGTAAAGGGAATTTCACTTTAACGAAATCAACAATCGGAGTTTCCAAGAATTGGCAATTTATCGAATTCCAATCGCAAAATTAAATTTCTTTTTATTAGTGATGTGTCAGTTAAAAAAAATTGTGAAAGTAACGAGTTCTTTAGATCGTGTTGGGACGCAATTAAAATTTAATCTGCTCGCTTCTTGGAAAAAAGAGCGGCTGGCGAAAGAAGAAGCGTCGGTGGCGGGAGAAAAAATTAAGATGCAAACGACGAGCGAGTCTCTCATCCTCGCCGCACATTAATTCATCTCGGGCCGGAAAATGAGGAAAAGCAAAAAAAAAAAACACCAAACACGCCGCGTAAAAACGCTTCCATTTCCAAGAGCTTTTTTCGCCACCGCCAAGTGAAACGCGAAACATTTATTTTGATATTTTCACCACCGACAAAAACCAACAAAACGTTTTCCTTAAATGTTGCTTGATTTCGGCACAACTTTGAAAGTTTCCATTTGATGGCTGCGATTTAATCCAAGAGCTAATTTTGAGCCTTTCAACCAGTGACAAGTTAATCTCCCATTTCTATGGAATCTGATTAGAAGATTAATAATTTAAAAATAAAAAATTAGGCCATCTCGTTAGTATTCATAATTTAAGCTTTGCAAATTCTCACAAATCAAAGTTCACTAATGCGTGACCTAATAATAAGCTTATTGGAAACGCAATAGCAGAATTAATACTTAAAGCCAATGAGGGACGACGTCAGTTGCCACCCCAACAACGTGGAACAAGGTTTTTTCAATATTTATTAGAATTTCCAAAAAATGTTTCTACCAAAATGTCAGATCCTTCCCAAAATTTACTTGAAATTAATTCAACCGAATTGAAATTCGATCACTTTAGGAATTCAGCATAGCAGGTAATTAGATTCGTGTTTGTTGACAATTCATCAGCGAATGGAGAGGCCGATGGGTCGGACGCTTCCCCCGAGG